TCTGTGGGGTTAAGAGACCGTATCTGAGTGTCGAAATAAATACCAAATTACCAAATTCACTGCAAAAGGTACTTTCGATTAAAAAAATAGGTCATTGGGGGTATGGTGCCGCCAGCAGGTCAATCTGTACCTGTGAGGCGAGTGCATCAGCAGCCTCATGGCGCCTTCAGACTTCCAGATACCCCAAAATTGCTGCTCTGCCTTTGGCCAGACCCCAAAAACTTGGGGCAAAGTTTACCAAGAAAGTAAACGGCCAAAACTTAGGTATGTGGGAAACACACCCACAAACCACCTCCGGCTCAGCTATATAATTGGAGGCAAGGCCTCTTTGGTTCCTGATTGAACTGCTTAATGGACATGATCCCAGAGACTCAGAAATGAATCTCAGAACCCAGTGGCTTTAGGTAAAAATGCGTCTGGTCTCTGCAGTAGGCTACCGGTGCTGGGCCAACCCAGGTGGGAATAGGTTTCGTGCCTTGGCCTATTCCCCCTGGTGGCCCAGTGGCCGCCATCCGTCTAAGGCCACTGGATAGTCACATTTGGGCCCCCAGTGATGAGACACACAGGGCCTCACGGGATGAGGGTGGAGCCGGGCTAGTCCTCTCCACCCCAACGAGACCCCAAGTCATCGCCCACGAATGGCCTCTCTGGCTCCTGATCAAGCTGCTTAACAGCCATGATCCCAGAGACTCAGAAACAAATCTCAAAACCCAGTGGCGTTTGGCAGAAATGCATCCGGACTCCGCAGTACGTTACTGTTGCCGGGCCACCCCAGGGAGGAAAGGGTATTGTCCCTCCGCCTGCTCCCTCTTGGCGACTTGGTGGCTGTCATCCTCTAGAGGCCATTGGACACTCAGGCTTGGGCCCGCAGTGACAAAACTTGTTGGGTCTCACGGGATGGGGGGGGGAGGTGGAGCTGGGCCTGTCCTCCCCACCCTAACGAGACCCCAAGTCATCGCCCACAAACGGCCTCTCTGGCTCCTCATCAAGCTGCTCAGCGGCCTTGATCCCAGAGACTCAGAAACAAATCTTGAAACCCAGCGGCTTTTGTCAGAAATGTGTCCGGACCCCGCAGTAGGTTACTGTCACCAGGCCACCCCAGGGGGGAATGGGTGCTGTCCCTCCGCCTGCTCCCTCTTGGCGACTTGGTGGCTGTCATCCTCCAGAGGCCACTGGACAGTCAGGCTTGGGCCCGCGGTAACGAAACTTGTTGGGTCTCACGGGATGGGGGGGAGGTGGAGCCGGGCCTGTCTTCCCCACCCCAGTGAGACCCCAAGTCATCGCCCATGAATGGCCTCTTTGGCTCCTCATCAAGCTGCTCAACGGCCATGATCCCAGAGACTCAGGAGCAGATCTCTAAACCCAGTGGCTTTTGGCAGAAATCCCTCCAGATTTAAGTGTTAAAATTTCAGAATTTCAAAACCACATGGCCCTACTGCAGCCACACGACATCATATGTTAGTCATAACCAGCAATAGAACACAAATTGTCTATTGCCTTTTCAGCAGATCTGAGTGTTGGGGTAAAATCTCAAATAATGGTGGGTCTGGTGTTGAAGTAGTGAATGTGATCAAAGTAGAGAGAGAGTAATGTGGAGATCATCTGCCCCACAGGCAGGGGGAGGGTGTGGGATAGGGGTATACTGGGATTTTTGGTGGTGGAGAATGGGCACTGGTGAAGGTATGGGTGTTTCATTGTATGACTGAGACTTAGACCCAAAAGCTTTGTAACTGCTCTCACGGTGATTCAATAAATAAAATTATAAAAAATGGAAAAAGAAAAAAAAGTAAGGTGGAGTTCATGCACAATTCAATCAGCTAATCAGTGGCTGAATAAATAGCAGTACTCCTACAAAAAAAGAAAAAAAAAGTCATGGGGATATAATGTCCAGCAAAGTGACCACAGTTAAAATGGTTGCATATCTGAAAGTTGCTAAGAGAGTAGATCTTAAAAGTACTCATCACCAAAAAAAAATACATATATATGTGTGTATATATATATATATATATATATAATGCAAACAAGAAAAACAAGTTCTACAATTTGTGCCAAGAATTTAAGCACCATGCACAAACACAATGAGAATGGGAAAAGCTACAAGTTCTGGGAGTAACCAGAAGAACAGTATTCATTAACTGAGTTATACTGAAAGAAGATACAGTGAAATTCTGAAGCAATATTCTTACTGTCTCAACCTATTAACTCACTGGAAGAATATATATAATTAGTACTCCAGAATTAAAACAATTATTTGGAGAACTTTAAGTTTCCAATGGAGACTTGGAAAATGAGTAGATCTGAAGAAAGTAGCTTTCAGGGAAGAGCTTGATATTAAAATTTAGAGACAGGGAGCATTTACTTTGCATGCTGCAGCCCAGGATTCAATCCCTTGACCCTGAGCACCACCAGGAGTAGCTCCTGAGTACTAACAGGTGTAGTCCAAAAAGGAAAAAAAAGAGAAGTTTAATTTGGAGAAAGAAAATAACTAAAAGGAAGATGTGCCTTTAAGAACAGAAAAGAGGGACAGGAGAGATAGTAACAGTGGGTAAAGCACTTGCCTTGCACCTAACCCAAGTATGATTCCCAGCAGCTCACATGGTCCCCCAAGTTCACCAGGAGTGATCCCTGAGGACAGAGCCAGAAGCAAGCCCTGAGTACCATTAGATGTGCTTCTCCCCACCAGAAAAAAAAAGTGTCTGCATCTAGAAAATACCTTTCTATTGTCATTATAGGAGGACATAAAATAGTTCTAAATTCTGAAAATACAAGCAAGAAAACCTTTGGCACTTATTAAAAGAAATAGAACACTACAGTAAGGGGCTTAACTACATGCCTCCAGGAGGAATCCAAGAGATCTCATATTCTATAAGTTCCACTCACTTCTGATAATCCTTTCCCCACTCACTATTCCCAACCCTATTTCCCAACTTTGAATGGTATCCTGTCCTCCCATATGAATCTACTCCTCACCGCTCCTTTGAAAAGGTCTGAGCTTCTCCTTTGGGTTCATCTGCTCCTGTGGTCCCAGGTCTGGGCTTCTTGCCCTCTCTTTCTTGTGTACTCCCCTGGGCTGGGGCTCCACTGACTCCTGCTGAATACTTAATAACTCTCGTGATGATTTCAGGGGTGCCATCTTCTCCAAGCGAACTTCCTGCCCCTTCACAGAGACTTTGACCTAGAAACAACCCCCATTAATTGTCACTGCAAAGTCATAATGAGGGGCATTCCCAGAAGAGATTAATACCCCAAAAAAGATCATACCCTTCTGTCATAGCTGGGGGTGAGGGGGAGGAATTATAGCAAGCAAGGGTCTTTAGAACAGCCGAAATGCAACCCAGAGATTAAGACATAATTGCCTTTCTCCCCTACTTTCAAAGTTAAAAGAAAAAAAAAGCTAAACTCTTAATAGCGGAGCAAAGACACACCCAGGTAGCATCTCCAGATAAGCTGTATCTGAAAAAGTTACCTGTCTCAGGACCAGAAGTATGAGCATCACCAAGGGAAACTGTGCCCCTCTTTAATCCTCTCTATACCTGAATTTGTCCTTTATCCTCTATCCCCACTAAGCACTTATGGACTCCCCCAGCCTTCTCACCGAATGTCCAGGTCTTCCAGGTACTCTCTCTAAATCTTCCACCAGAGCCACTGCCTCCTCTCCATTTTCTGGACGCTGCTCCTGCACCCAATTCTGGATCTTCCCAGGTAAGATGGTCAGGAACTGTTCTAGCACCAGCATTTCTACAATCTGCTCCTTGGTGTGCACTTCGGGCCTCAGCCACCGACAGCAAAGTTCCCAGAGGTGACTGAAAGCTTCTCGGGGTCCAGATACCTCCTGGTAATGAAGCCTCCTGAAGCGCTGCCGGAAGGCCTCAGAGTTAGCGCCATTACCTCTCAGGGTGGGTTTGGCCATCGTTCACAGTGGGAAGGTCTGGGTTTATTAGGGCTTACACCTATCTTCCCATGCTCTTCGAGAATATACGGAAGATGAGTCTCTCGCGGGAGGAGTTTCCTCCTAAGGAGAGAGAGGTTACACCATCACAACTATACTCATCAGTCTAAAGTGCTGCCAGAGCTGCCCTGACTTCCCATCTGTTTGACACCAACGTCAGGACAACATGAGAGACATCTTTGACAGCGGCATTTACGGAATGACTTCCAGGACGGGCTAAAAATCAGCAGAGACTATAGGTCTGTTCTTCTACCGTCCCAGGCCGATAGTTCCATCCCTTTTAGCTCCCCTGATCAATGTTCCATAGGGAGTTCGAACCATACTGGAGACCTGGGCAGCGCGACTCTCTAAACAGAGGGGCCCCCACCAGGCTGAAAGCAAAAATCTGCGCAGCTAGCTCCCCCAGGTCCTCCGCGTGTCCCCCCCACCCCGCCCCCCAACAGCAGCACTCCCAATGCCCTCCCCTGGCAAAAAGCAAGCACTGCATACTGGATCTTGGTTTTCCCTCAGAGCGGAAGGAACCACACGGCAGACATTCGGAAATTACTGACAGGAAGCCTGCGCATCCGGGCAAGTTGCCTTTGGCTCCTAAGGCGAGGGCCTTGCGGACGTGGGAGAGAATCACACTAAGTTGGTGGAGACGGAGTCCAAGGGGACCACTGTAATGAATCTCCTGAAGTCGGGTACTGGCCAGGGGCTCAGCTCAAGGAGCGGCGGCTGAGGGGTTCCGGCCTCTTTGTCCTCGCTCCCTTTGGCCAGGTCACTCTCGGGGCTGTCAGGCAGTCGCTCCAGAGACCTCCGAGAGGACGAAAGCGCCCGAGGGGCACCCTCCAGTCCACCCACGGGAGTGTCTTTCTCTCGGCGTGCCCCTAAACCCTTTTGCCGCTCGGCCCAGAGGCAGCCTCACCCACTCCGGGTCCAGCCCCAGCTCCGACTCTCCAGCCTACTCATCCAGCTCCCAAGCCGGAAGTCCAAGCGGCCGGCTGGGCGCATGCGCAGAGAGCGCTGCGGAGGGACGCGCTCCGGAGCCTGGCGGGACTAGAGCGGTGGGCCCGGCCGTGCGCGGCGTATTTCCGTGACGCGGCGCCCGAGCCCGTGCTCGCTTCCCGTGCTCTCCTCTCGCCGGGGCCCTTCGGGACGAACCGCCCCTTCTTGGGCGGGGAGAGGGGCAGGTCGCGTGTCAAAGAGAAAAGCCCACGCCTCCGGAGTCGCCCGGGAAAAGCGCTGGAGGCGGCGGTAACGGGTCTGGGGACTCCAGGTCCGCCGTGGGAATGATCCACGAACTGCTTCTGGCTCTGAGCGGGTATCCAGGGTCCATTTTCACCTGGAATAAACGGAGTGGCCTCCAGGTACCCTTTGGGGCTCAGAGCGCGGGAAGGAGCGCGCGGAGAGGGGGACGAGCCCGAGCCGGGAGCGCGGGTGGAGGCGGTGGTTTGCGCGTGCCGCGCGGTTCGCGGGAGAGCTGTGCCCGGAGACCGGAAGGGTCTCAGGGACGCGCTGAGAACTTGGAGCGCGGTTGGAAACCCCGGCTTGCCCCCACAAAAGACCCCGCCTTCGGGGATCCGGAGGCGGGAGTCGGGCCCTGAAGCGAGGTGTCTGAGGTGACGGGGACTGGCCTCTGAGGAGAGGCTCCTCCCATTTTCGCTCCTGACTTCTGGAAGCCTGAGAGAGAGCGCAGCAATCAAGTCTTGTTCGCAGCCTCCCCTATGTCTCGGGCATCCCTTATGATCCCCAGAGCACCACCAGAAGAAAACCCTAAACACCGCCAGGCGCGGCCCCAAAACCAATAGAAATAGAGTTTTGAAGACAATAGCCTTAACACACAGTAAGGACCCAATCAGTTTTGAGTGAAAAACAAAAACAAACACCTTACGTCTTTCCCTCGTTACTTTCTTTTTGAGGAAATGTCTTCACTAAGAGAATTTAGAACCAGGTCTTCTTGTAGCCAGGAATATAGGAAGGCTCTGTACTGTGTGTGTGATCTCATTTAATTTTCACAACCACCAGTCTCTTATTTTACAGGTTAAGCTAGACTTGGAATGGTAAAGAATTCACTAGCATCACATAGCGAGTCATTGGAAAAGTTTTTGTTTTTTTTAAATCTTAGTTTGTCTAGTTTCCACATTTAAACTACTCTTTTATTCTGCTGGAAGTAATGAATGTTACCCAGTACTCTCAGTAAGGTATTGTGCGTTAGTGCATTGTTGGCCTCAGTTTACAGATGAGCAAGATGAAGTTCAGACAGAACTTTATGTGGATAGAATCAGTGGCAAGATTTATATCTAACTCTGGTCAAGAAAACATTCTGTTTCTATAGAAGTAGCAGAAGAAAATCACAGTCTAAAATTTAGCTGCGTAAACTGGGTTGCGATGGTTTCACAAACTTCATTGTGAAGGAACATGAAAAATTCAGTAACAGTAAAAGATTTATAAATGCATCATTACTTCAAAATCAGCTGGTAATTGCTAGCTCTTATATTTCTTAGGTGAAAGGGGTTCTTGGGTAGAAAAAGTTTAAGAGCTTGTTCTTTCAAGCCCAGGTTCTCTCTCTCTCTCTCTTTCTCTCTCTCTCATTTCTCCTTATCCCCCTCCCTCCCTTTCAGTATCTCAGTGTTTTTGTGCCACACCGGTGACACTCAGGGTTTATTCCTGGTTCTGCACTTAGGAATCACTCCTGGCAGTGCTCCATATGGGGTTCCAGGGATCAAACTCAGGTTGGCTGTGTGCATGCAATGTCTTACCTGCTGTACTATCTCTCCAGTATACAATATTCCTCTCTGCTCTTCCCTCCGCCCCTCCCACACACACTGTTGTATAACCATCTTGTTTTGTTTTGGTGCCACACATGGTGATAACTCAGGGGGTTACTCCTGGCTCTGTGCTCATGAGTCAATCCTGTTAGTGCTTAGGGTACCATATGGGATGCCAGAGAGCAAACCCAGGTCAGTGTGCAAGGTAAACGCCTTCCCCACTGTGTGCTGTACTATCCCTCCAATACCCACTCACATCTTTCTAAGTAAATTTCATTCAGCTTTCTTACTTCACTTAAAAAAAAAGAGAAAAAGTTTTAAGAAACTCTAGTCCATAAAACTTTATAAAACAGGGGTTGGAGTAATAGTAGGAGAGCATTTGCCTTGCATGCGGCTGACATGGGTTCTATCCCCAGCATCCTGTATGGTCCCCAAAGCACCACCAGGAGTAATTCCTGAATGCAAAACCAAGAGTAACCCCTGAGCATTGCTGGATGTGCCCCCCTCCCCCAAAAAGTAAATAAAGCATTAATTCTGTGTCACCCTCTTCATTTCTTTTCTTCTGTTAATGTTGTAGTGACAATGAAGGGTAACTTATTGGAAATCACTTATCAGGTATGGTATTCACTGGGGTAAACGCAGTGCACTCCTTTTTATTTACATTACTTTCATTCTTGCTCACTGGAGATCTTGTTCATATAGTTATGGTGCTTGCCAAGGTTCACTGTTGTGCTGACATACTCAGGCTCATTGGGATCGCACTACCTGCCATGGTGTCCCACACCTTTTTTAGGTGCTATAGTCTGTGGTAAGGGTAGGGGGCAGTATTGCCCTTTAGTTGAATTTTTAGTTGAAAATGGAAAATTCTGACACTTATTATGACACTTACATGAACCTGAGAGATGCTATATTCTGTGATTTTAAGTGTATGTGATTTTAAGTGTATGTTCCCACTTTTTTTGGTATGTTTCCACTCATTTCATGTTTTCACTTATTTGTGATGCTTAGTTAGGTCCTTAGAAACAGTACAGAAGACTGATAGCAAAATACAGGTGGGAAGGGAGAAAGAGTCGGACTAAATGAGTTTAAAATTTGGGAAATTGGAAAAGTTGTGGCGGTGGTTGGTAGAGATGGTTATACAACAGAGTGAATACACTTACGGTCACTGAATTGGACACTTATAAATGGATACAACAGTAATTTTGGGTGAGGTGAGGACACCACAGAGTGCTCACGGTTTACTTCTGACTCTCTGCTAGTGAAGGATCATTCCTGGCAGACTTAAGGACCCTATCTGGGATGCTGAATATTGAACCCAGATCAATCACATGCAAGGCAAATGCCCTGCCTGCTGTACTATCACTCTGGGTCCGAAAATTAGTCATTTTTGTTTGCTTGGGGGCAAAATCCAGCAATGCTCAGGGCTCATTCCTGGCTCTGCACTCAGGAATCACTCCTGGTAATGCTCAGGGCACCATATGGGATGCCAGGGATCTAACTCAGATCAATTGTGTGCAAGACAAACACCTTACCTGTTATACTTTGTACAATCTTACATTTTTATAGAAATAAAAACAAAATTTTTTAGTTTATAAATCCTAAGGATAGGAGTCTATGGATCTTTCTTTGAGTGATATTGTTAATGAGGCTTTAATTGCAGGCTGGAGAGATAGTACTGCAGAATCTTCTTGAGAAAAAGATAAATAATGGGAAGTATTTGAAGTACTTCAAAAACCTGCATGCAAGTGCTATCAGCCATATCAATGTTTCTACAAGTATTTCTCTTCCTGAGCAGGTATCACAGGACTTTCCATTTCTTCACCCCAGTGAAACCAGTGTCCTGAATCGACTCTGCCGGCTAGGCACAGACTATATTCGCTTCACTGAGTTCATTGAACAGTACACAGGCCATGTGCAGCAACAGGTAAGTTCTTTTTCTCAGGAAAGACCTTCAGTGGACAGGAGCTCTATCAGACTTTCAATGAATCTTCTGGTAATTCTTGGAAAATAAGTCTCAAGAAGTTGATTTTTCTTTTTCTTTTTTTTTTTTTTCTTGTTTTTGTGCCACACCTGGCAGGGCTCAGGGGTTTCTCCTGGTGGACATGGCCACCATATGGGGTGTTGGAGATCAAACCCAGGTTGGCTGTGTAGACTGCAAGCACCTTAACTGCCGTACTGTACCAGAAGTTAAAAAAATTTTAGCACTGAAGTTTTTTAGGTGAAGACTAGGTTGCCCTCAAAGGAAATATACTTAAGGACCAATTTAGGGCCAGGAATGTTGGTCTGTGGTAGAGTACTTGCTTTGCATGTATGAGGCCCTGGGTTCAGTTCCTAGCACTGAAGAAAAAGAAAGAGAGTGATTGTGCAATTTAGGTAGATTGATGTAGAGAAAATATAGTTGGCCTGAATTTCAGGAGAAAGTCAGTTTGAGCTGGACCAGAGTTCCAAGGCGAAAGGGGTAAATAAAACTTATTAGTAATAACTTTTATAATAATATAATAATAAATAATAAAAGTTATTATTTCATGCTCCTTTGCCATTTTGCCACTCTACCACTGATGGATAGCACAGCAGGTAGGGCGTTTGCCTTGCACGTGGCCGACAGAGCTGGGTTCAATTCCTTCACCTCTCTTGGAGAGCCGGGCAAGCTACTGAGAGTATCTTGCCCCCATGGTAGTGCCTGGCAAGCTACCCATGACATATTCAATATGCCAAACACAGTAACAACAAGTCTCACAATGGAGACATTACTGGCCCGCTCAAACAAATCAGTGAACAACGGGAGGACAGTGCTACAGTGCTACAATCTAATTTTTATATAATTTTTAAAAAATTAACTATATTGTTTAACTGTGTAGTCTTTTGGGATTTGGGGGTCACACAGCAGTGTTCAAGGGAGCAACTCAAGCTCAGTGCTTGAGTGTCATTCACAGTGGTGTACAGTGGACCATATGGTGCCAGGGACCGGACCTAGAGCCTCACACATCCAGGTCATTCACTCTAGCCCTTTGAGCTAGCTTCTTGACCCATATAGATTTTATATTAACATAATAAGTGAATTCCTACTGCCGAGGAGGAGCATTGTTTGCCACCCCCTTTGATCCTTTGGCATGAGGATACTTGCGGGGGGAGCATGCCTAGAAGTGCTTGGAGACCACCAGGGTTCTTGGGGCTGAGGGATGCCATTTGGCACCAGCAATCAAATCAGCAATCACACATGCAAAGTTAGTGCCCTACTGTTAAGCTATTCTCCTGCCACCCCAGGCTTATTATTTTTCAGAAAAGAAAGACTCAGGAAATTTTTCTTTTTTCCTCCCCCTTCACTGCCTTAAAGAGTTTTTGTAGCAAGCCTGTTGCAGGAAGACAGATATCACTAGAGATAACTATGAACCGTAAGAGGTAGTCTACTACCTAACATTCTTATTTATCAAAGATTTGCTTTTCCTCTCTTCCAATAATAATGTTGCCTTCATTTGAAGTCTTAGGCCCCAAAAGTCCTTCTCCCTCATGCAGGATACCATAGTATCCATTTGATTGAGTAGCTAAGAGCATGGTGTTCTTTGTGGGATTTCTGTATATAAGAAATTAATTTTTTTTCTCCTACTAATCTATAGAAGATATCTCAGACAAGAACCTCAAAAAGTTGGAGAAAAAGTTTTCCCCCTTTTTCACACTATTCCAAACTCTGTGTACATCTACAGTATCTCTCTTTCGTTTTTTAAATAAAAAATAAATTCAGTTCTCCTTGATTTTGTAATAAATAAAGACATTCCGTTCTTGAGAATGACATGAGCTCAGAATTAAATTGGCTGGTTGTTAGCCAGTCTGATCTATTTCACCCTGTACCCTGCTGTTCTTATTATAACTGTGAACATTTATCTTTAGGACCTACTAATTTCCCTTGCAGCATACTCTGGTAACTGCCTTACAATCCCTGAGCTCAAAGGAAGCCAAGCTTCTTACCACATTTGTTATTGGATTTTGTTGTTATTATATTCACCAATTCCTGATCACCAAATCCTAATCACCATATCAGTACATAGTCAGAGAGACTAGTCATTGGAATCTCTAGTCAGCTTAGTGGAGATTCCTCAGATAAAACTACTAAAGAAAACTCTTAGGTACTTGTCATGCGTGCATCCAACCTAGGTCCCATGCTCAGCATGCATATGGTACCCCAAATCCTGCTAGGAGTGATCCTGAACACAGAGCTAGGAGTAAGCCCTGAGTGCAGCCAGATGTGACCCAAAGTCAAGCAAAATTTTTTTTCAGGTTTCTGAAAGACAAGACTTATTTGTAAATCGCTTCTGGTGAAAATCTCAGAATTACCCATGTTAGCCATAAGGTTTGTGTTCCTGATGAATTGTCATACTAGGTAGGAGAAAGAGATGCTAGGAGAAAGATTGATGTCATTATATTTATTCATAAAATATATATTACCTCTGTTCTAGGAGTAACCAAACTTCTTTGACCTTCTGCCCACTTCACAGGGAAAAAAAAATCAATTACACCCTCCTAGAAATCTACCGTCTTTAAGAGTAAACAGAAGGTGTCTTCCAATTACTCCCAAGGTTACCACCTCCACGCCCCCAGCCCCCCAATTATTTCCTCACTCCCCGGGGGACAGTGTTGCCTACTTTAGGAAATACTGCCTATTCTGAGACCTGTGCTGGATGCTGAATAAGATGCAGGGACCAGAGTGATAATACAATGGATAGGGTACTTGCCCTGTATACAGCCAATCTAAGTTCAAGTCATCCCTTGTAGGATAACACACTTTTGTCCTTCCTTAGGTAGCTTAGGTTTATCAGGTCACACCCATCTAAGGACACTGAACTTGTATTGTAAGCAATGTCCTTTCTGTGTGGACACAGGAAGGCAGTTAATATTATGCTTTGTAACTTGGGAGTTGATTGACTCCGAATAATATTTACTCCTGGGCATCTGATTTCTTGACTCAGTTGCCCTTAGTTCCTAGCACCCCAAAAGCAGGGTCCCGACGAGGAACTGAATGGACCCAGGGCAAGCTGTGAGCTACCCTGGCATCGAAATGGGCCAGGCCAAAGAGCCACGATACTCAACTATAAGTTGAGGGCATGATCATGGACAAATGCTGTCATGATCCAAAAGTAAGTAACAACGAGACTAGGACCCTGCTGGAGCTAGGAAGATTAACCTGGCCTGAGGACTGCGGAATGTATAGTGAGATGTTCTCAGGAAGAACCAAACTAAGTTTATATCTCTTACTGTGCTCATACAGAATGACATTGCTAGAAATATTAGAAGTAGATTTATTACAACTATTTAAATAGATTACTAACTGAGGGAAGAACACACCTTTGTTGGGATCCCACCCTTGAGCGGATCTCCTAGTAATCTGGAGTAAATCTCTTTAGATGAAATTTTATCCTTAATCTCCTGGAGGAGTGGTCTTACCTCTCTTTGTTGATTTGTCAGTATTCAACCCACCTTTATGTCACCGCCTTACGTGATTGCTATATAAACTAAGACTGTAAGCTCAGAGAGGAGAGAGTCAGAGCAAGAGGGGCTCAAGCTTGAGAGAAAGAACAGCCGTCCTGATCCAGGCACACACAGGGCTCAAGAGCACCGAACGCAGCCGGTGAGAAAGAGCCATCCAGTGAGCCCGTGAACACACAACCTTCGGTGTGATAAGATCTTACAATCTCTTATGGTTCCTGAGCTTTGCCAAGAGGGATCTCCTGAGCACAGAGCCAGGAGTAAGCCCTGAATACAACTGGATATGGCCTAAACATAGAGTGGGGATAGAGGGGGAGGGGAAGAAAATGTAAATATAAAGGACCCTCTCTTTTATTCCATTCTTTTTTTGATAGCTTCTGAAAACTTATTAAAATTACGACTTTTTTTTTTATTAGTGAGACATCATGAGGTACAGTTGTAGACTTACAAATTTTTGTGCTTGGGTTTCAATAATACAATGATGAAAGACCCATCCTTCCACCAGTGCCCATTTCCCACCACCATGGATCCCAGTATCCCTCTATCCATCTAGATGCCCAGTATCCATCTAGATGCCTTTCAGATATTTCATAGCATGATTGCAGTGAAGATCTTGATCTTGTGAGGTAGCATATAGACAGAAGTTTAATTCCAGTACAGAAGAGAAACTAGGAAAGCAGTGATGAAGTGGGGAGGTTGTTAATTCCCTACAAGAGATTTCGGAAAAGCTTTGCAATGAAGACTGAGGAATTGAGGCCAGCAGGGAGAGTAGGTGTTTGTCATAAAGATGCATGCACAGTTATAGGCAAAACATGTCTGAGTGAAAAATAGAGTCAAGCAGGGAGAAGTAGAGTCAAGACACATTTGGTAAACTCTGGTTCACTTAGAAATGAGAATGTGAAATTGGAGTCAGTAAAAGATAATTTTGTGAAGATGGGTAGGGTAAGCCAGAGTACTGAAAGCATTGTATGCCATGTAGCCGAGTTTACATATTGTTTAGGAGCAATAGGAAGCTACCCATGAGATTTTTTTTTTTTTGCTTTCTGGGTCACACCTGGCGATGTACTCAGGAGTTACTCCTGGCGGTCCTCAGGGGACCATATAGGATGCTGGGAATCGAACCCGGGTCGGCCGTGTGCAAGGCAAACACCCTACCCGCTGTGCTATCTCTCCAGCCCCTACCCATGAGATTTTAACGTGGAAGTTATGAGGTTAAAATTGAGTTGTTGGGAAAAGTTCCACTGACAGTATTGAATATTACTTGGTTACTTGTGTCTGAAACAGTTTTAATGTTACATCTTAAAAGATCAGAACTCAAAGCTGTGTCTTCAGTCAGGTTTTCCTCTCACCTCTTTTTCTGCCTGTTAGGGGGTAAACGCAACAAAAACAGTACCACTAATAAAGGAAAATGTCTTCCTCAGATTTCCACTAATAAAGGAAAATGTCTTCCTCAGATTTCAGGGACTAAGCTGAGACATTGACTTCTCTTTTTTTATTTCAGGATCACCATCAGTCTCAGCAAGGCCAAGGTGGATTACATGGAATATACCTAAGGGCCTTCTGCACAGGGCTAGATTCAGTTTTGCAGCCTTATCGACAAGCATTGCTTGATTTGGAGCAAGAGGTGAGAAAGAGGAAAACTGGGGAACAGTGTCTCTGTATAGCACATTGGACAGCTCTCGTATTTGAAATACCCTTTGATATGGCCACGTGGGTAAAAGTTAACTGTTTTCTGTGGAGTTAAGGTATAATGCACCCTGTGTGATTGACCAAAGCATCATCAAAGAGCAGAAGAAAAAGTAGTGGCACTCAATTGCAAAGGCTTCTAAAACAGTTCATAAGAGTCTTAGCTTTGGTTTTATCACCTAAAAATAAAAATAAAATTTTAGTTTCAGTGAGGCCAGAGCAATAGTACAGGAGGTAGGGTGCTTGCCTTGCACGTGGTCAGTCCGAGGTTTAATCGCCAGCCCCCATATGGTTCTTCAAGCCTCACCAGGAATGAGCCCTCAGTGCAGAGCCAGGAATAAGCCCTAAGCACCACCAGGGTATGGCCCCCAAAAAAGAAAAAAAAAAAGCAAATAAGATAGCATTTTTTGAGGGGGAGGGAGGTTTTTGTTTTGTTTTTGTTTGGGGGCCACACCCAGCTCAGGGTTCACTTTTGGTAGTGCTCAGGGGAGCATATAGGGTGCCAGGGATTGAGCCCAGAAAGGCAATTATACAAGTCAAGCACCCTACAGGCTACACTATCTCTCTGACCCTGTTATATTTTACTTTGGAAGAAACTAGTGGTGCTCAGGGACTATTGTTGTCATGTTTCTTAGTGTTGCTCCCAGCAGTACTCAGGGACCATGTGATGCCAGGAATCAAACCTGGGCCTCCCACATACAAAGCATGCACATTAGTCCTTTTAACTATCCCCCAGGATGCTAGTAACCTTTTATAGATAAATATTTTATTAACCTAAAACCAGAACTAAGATTCTCTTCTAGTTTTCTTAGATAAGGTAGATTTGAGCTATTAGTGTGGAGCCCTAATCACCATATTTTGTTTTGCAGTTTGTGGCTGATCCCCATCTCTCAATATCACATGTCAATTACTCCTTAGATCAGGTATGTTCCCCAAATACAAAGTACCTTGGAATCTCTTAGAATAATTAGAACAATTTAAATTATGATATTATTTCTGAGACCTTTGGTAGTTTTGGATTCAGTACCTAGTATTTTATATCTTAAATGCCTTCTTTTTGGGGGGGGGGGGTCACACCCAGCGATGCTCAGGGGTTATTCCTGGCTCTGCACTCAGGAATTACTTCTGGCGGTGCTTGGGGGACCATATGGGATGCCAGGGATCGAACCCAGGTTGGCCGCATGCAGGACAAATGCCCTGTGCTATATCGTTCTGGCCCCTTAAATGCCTTCTTAGATCAGACTGTTTGAAAGCTTCAAAGTTAGTTACAACTTAATGTCTGATGTTAATTCTGTCTATTGACTTCAACATCAACATTTATGCCAGCCTCAGAAATAGAAACTGCTTCTGTATACCATTCTCTTTCTGTCTGCAGCCAGTTCCCATATTAGATTAACCTTTGGATACTGAATCTTGACTATTCAGTGAGGGGGTGCCTACCTACTTCATGTTAACTTAAACTATTCACAAAGCATTTCTGGGGTCAATTTTTTATTTTCTTGGTCTTTGATTGTACACCTTCCTAATTATCCTCTATTTTGCAGTTCCAGCTCCTTTTCCCTTCTGTGATGGTTGTGGTAGAGCAAATTAAAAGTCAAAAGGTTAGAACTTTCTTTTTGCCCTGGTAAAAATTTAAATAATATTTTAAATTAATTTTGCTTTGATTCTTTTAAAAATCTTAGCTTTTTTTAGTGTTTTTTTTTTTAATTTATTTAGTATTCAGCACGGTTTGGTTTGGTATAATATTACATGTCACGAATACGAAAACACATCATAACCCTGCCCCTAAGCATCCCCTGTCCTGAAATTGAAGGAAGTATTAATAGAACACTGCTGGGTAGGAAGAGAAAAATGTTTATACATGTTTGGAGTTGAGAGAATTTTGTACTATGTAGAAACATGAACTTAATTCTTGGAAAAGAATAGGTTGATGGTTAGGGTATTAAGAGTTTACAGAGAATTTGATTAATGGTTTATTTTACTACCTAAGTGTATCCATTCTTCTTACTGACTTTTATCACATGCATTGAAAAAATAGGATCTAAAATGTCAGGAGAATATCTTTTCTGACATTGTTGGTTACTGAATAAAAAGGCTTAGAGATTTCATCTTAGAAGAATCTGCTAGTCTATAATTGCACCAGATAGGACAAAGGATTTAAACATGATTAGCTCATTCATGGTTTCATGAACTGTTTCTGCATTTGTTTATATTAGCATGTTTACCTTAAGAAATATAACTAGTGACACAGTTAATTTGCCTTGTTTCCTCTTCATTTTTTGCTATATAAAAATTGTGCTACTTTAACTCTGTGTCAGCAAAGCCATGAAGGAGGTGCATTTTGGCTCTTTAGAGGTGATTCTTGTTACCACCTAAGGATATTGAGCTACATGCAGCTTGAAGTGCAATACTTCACAAATTCTAACCTCTTGGTAAAATAGATTAGGGATTGTGCTGAAGGTCACACAGATGGTAATAAATGACAGAGCTTGAATATAAACCCAAGTCTCTAAGATTCCAAAGACTATGCTCTTAACTCTAAACTCTTTCCCTGGGATAGTGAGATAGTACAACAGTTAGGGCACTTGCCTGCATGCAGCCAACCTAGGTTCTATCCCTGGAACCCCATATGGTCTCATTAGTCCTGCCAGGAGTGTTCTCTGAGAACCACCTGGTATGACTGAGAAACCAAAAACAATTTAAAAAATTAACTTTCTCCCCAAGTTGGAGGGGACCTCGTAGGTAAATGGAATTATGGAGATAGTCCATATCTGGTTGTCCATCTCAGTTACCTTCAGTTTCCATCAGATTTGAGCAGAGTGAGAAATAAATGCAGGAGTTTGGGGCCACCAGACTACACCTGATGGTACATAAAAGGACATTCACTGTAACTGTCACTGTCCTCCCATTGTTCTTCGATTTGCTCGAGCGGGCCCAGTAATGTCTCCATTGTGAAACTCATTGTTACTGTGTTTGGCATATCAAATTTTACCTAGCAGGCGAGATACTCTTGGTAGCTTACTGGGCTCTCCGAGAGGGGCGGAGGAATCAAACGTGGCTCGGCCAGGCTGGCCGCACGCAAGGCAAACGCCCTACCGCTGTGCTATACTGGAAATTGAACCCAGAACCCTATCTCCCCAGCGCTAGGCACAAGGAGTCTTTGAACCTTCCTTTCCTCTTCCCTTTGCTATCGTTGCCATGACCAGGCATTGTACACTGAGTTGAGGTTACTTGCACACAAACACTTGGTTGTAGTTCACAAGAGATTACAAAATGTTTTTATTCTGGCTTCTGGGCTAAGAAAAGCAATGACAAGTCACAGAGATAGCTGTGAGTGCATGCTGTGCATACAGGAGTACCAGTTTTGATTCCTGGTACTGCATGGTCACTTGAGCAACTTCCCGATGTGACCCAAGTACAAGCCAGGAGTAGCACCCAAGCAAAGTATGGGTATGGCCCCAGAACCAAAAACTAACAAAACAGGAATAACAGAGAGGGGAGGGGGGCGGGTAAGGGAAAGGGTGGGGAGGGAGGGAAGGAAACTGGGGACACTGGTGGGAAATGTACAGTGGGGAAGGATTGAGATTTGGAAAATTGTATAATTGAAACCCAGTCATGAACAACTTTGTAACTATCTCACTGTGATTCAATTAAAAATTTTATATATATGTGTATATATATATATATACCAAATTTTTGAAAAGGAAAACTCTAATAGAAAAAAATAAAGAATAGCAGTGCCACCAGAATTGTACTTAGCATCTAGCTGAGGATGGCGCTCCAAAGGCACACACTCTACCACTAAACCACATTTCCAGGTCCACAGGGATCCATTTATTAAAGTGGGGAAATTTCCACTTACTTCGAGCTTTCATTTTAGGTAGACAGTGTAAGAATTGAGTTAAATTTTAGGATACCCAGCTAAGTTAGAGAATTACTTGATGGTATGGGAGGGGAACCAACATGTTGGAATTAGAATTGCAGTCAGAACTATATGTCTTTTTTTCCAGTGCTGGGGTCACATTCCAGGATCTCACAAATGCAAGGCACTTTCTGTACTGCTGAGTCACGACGCTGACCTTACATATAAGTCTTTTGAGAGTGTTTGTCCCCATTCTCTGCTATATAGTTCCTTGATTGTATATAGAATGTGTTTGTGGGGCCAGAGAAATAGTTAAAAAGGTTTAGGCCTTTGCCTCGCATGAGGCTATGACATGATTCTGGTTTAATTCCTAGCACCACATCCATTCCCCCGCAAGCACAGACATGTGAACACTGATGGATAAGCCAAAGAAAAAGCACATTTGTACTACATGAAGTACTGAAATGGAATCCAACTTTATAAATCAGTAAAGCTTGTACCTTGAATGTATCGAGTCTGAGTTCAGTCCCCAGAACCAGGTGGTGGGGAGGATACAGTTTGACAAGGCTGTATTTCCACAGATTCATGGTTGTCAAATCCTGGAAACAGTGTACAAACACAGCTGTGGAGGTTTGCCTCCAGTTCGCAGTGCATTAGAAAAGTAAGTTATGGCCGAATTGGGGAATGGGGAGGGTGTGGGAAATTGGTTTTGCACATGTTTTATTTTCAGGTCATCCCAGTTCCCACTGGGGAGAGTTACAGCCAGGATAGAAAAGATACATGAGCAGAGCAGAGTTGAGTTATCAAAACAAGGATCTAGTTGCTGATAATTTTATAACAATTGTTTTTAAATTTTGATTTTCATTATCCTTGGAGAATTTCCATTATATGTGCTGGATAAATTTGTTTTGGGGGGGCTACATCCAGTGGTACTCAGAGTTTACTCATGGTTCTACACTTAGGAATCATTCCTAATGGGGCTCAGGGAACCATATGGGCTACCAGGAGTGGAACACAGGCCAGCTGCATGCAAGGCAAGCAACCTCCCCACTGTACTATCTTTCCAACCCTGACCTATTCTTAAATGAAAAAATAAGAACTAATAAATGGCAACTGCCTACAGTGAGATAGTGAATGTCACACTTAGAAATTTTATCATAACAAAATTATTCAAAAATAGAAACCAGGGCCATAGTGGACCCAGGATAGATTTCCCCAGCGCTACATATGTAGTGTAGCAGGCCACTTAGAAAATACTGAAGCCCCAGGAGGACTGCACAGTGTGGGCCAAACTTCCCCCTGACCAAAAAAAAAAAAAAAGAAAACCAAAGTCAGGGAGATAGTTCAGAGGGTTGAAGCACATGCCTGGCATGCAGAGAACTAGGTTTTATCCCTAACATCACATGGTCTCCAGTTTCTTACTCTCCTGTAAATCCAACCAAAATAAAACCCATTTAATACTGTGATAGTCAAAAAGAGACACCTGTAAGTCTTTAATTTTTATAAGAATCTTCTGGTTTACAACCTTTCATGCCAAAGCAGGAAAGAAAATGTGTCTTTACAAAACAAGAACATTTTCTGAAAATTTCAAACTTCAGAAAGGCTCAAAATTTGAAAATTGAGGGAATGGAGAGATAGCTCAGTTGGTTAGAGTGCATGCATTACATGTAGAAGGCTTGGGTTTATATCCTAGTATTACATGGTCCCCCAAGCCCCCAAACAGACCCCTGACCACCACAAAGTGTGGTCCAAACACAAAACAAATAACCCCCTTAGAAGTTTAATCCTGGGGCGGGAACAATAGCACAGTGGGGAGGGCGTTTGCCTTGCACGGCAGACCCAGGTTCAATTCCCAGCATCCAATATGGTCCCCCGAGCACCACCAGGAGTAATTCCTGAGTGCATGAGCGAGGAGTAACCCCTGTGCATTGCTGGGTGTGACCCAAAAAGCAAAAAAAAAAAAATTCTGTAAGTCCACCCACAAATATGTAAATTAAAATAGCACAATTATTTTTAGTGCAATTGGTTATTTGCCATATGATAGTGCCTTCCCATCCCCCTCTTTATCCTTGAGGAGTTTAAAAGGTTGTGGGGTTCAGTGTTTTCTAAGTGGACTGCTACAGCTCTTGCTTTTCTTACCACTCAGAATTCTGGCCGTGTGTCATGGAGTCATGTATAAGCAGCTCTCGGCTTGGATGCTACATGGACTCCTCTTGGACCAGCATGAAGAGTTCTTTATCAAACAGGGTCCATCTTCTGGGAATGTCAGTGCCCAGCCAGAAGAGGATGAAGAGGATCTGGGCATTGGGGGACTTACAGGAAAACAATTAAGAGAACTCCAGGACTTGGTGAGCAGAGCAAGAAGTGTAGCATAGTTCTGCGAGGAAAATGGTTTTTGATTCCCCATTCTCCAGGTCTTCAGAGCCTGGTTCCTTCTGTAAATCTTTAGATATAAGCATATGGTTTTATCTTAACTTAATAAATTAAGTTTAATATCTGTTTTAATGTGGCTACTAATAGAAAGTCTTTATGACTCTTTGTTTTCCCCTCTTCCAGTATATGTTTTCTTTCTTTTGTTTGGTTAGGTGTTTTGTGGTTTATTTTTTGTTTTTGGTTTTTTTTTTTTCATTTTTGTGTCACACCCAGGGATGCACAGGGGTCACTCCTGGCTTTGCACTCAGGAATTACACCTGGCAGTGCTGGGGGACCATATGGGATGCTGGGAATTGAACCCAGGTCGGCTGCATGCAAGGCAAATGCCCTACCCGCTGTGTTATTGCTCCAGCCCCTCCAGTATATGTTTTTAAGAGGTTACTAATAAATACAATCTCCTAAGTTAATGTTGTAGCTACCCTATGTTTTTTATTATTTATTTTTGGTTTGGAGCCTACAGCTGGCACTGCTCAGGGCTTACTCCTGACTCTGTGCTCAGAGATCACTCTTGACAGGGCTTGGGAAACCATATGCAATGCCAGGGGTTGAATCTGAATTGGCCAGATGCCTAAACACCATCTGACCTGGGTCTAGTTTTAAATATGTTGTGTTTGAGATTCTTGTGGGAAATTCCTATAGGTTAAGGCTACACCTCATGAGAGCAGTCTAACTTAAAGATTGATGGTTATCAATATATATAGAAGTTGGGGTTGGTGCCTTGCACACAGCTAACCAGGATTCCAAGTTTGCGGTCCAGAGGTGGCTATTAGGACAGTTTACCACAGAAGATGTAGTTGTCTAAGAAGTATGTACAGAGGGCCTGAGATTGTGTCTTGAGAAATACCAACTCTAAAGCCCAAAATAATGAGGACTGCAGTGATTTGAGTCAATGCTATCGAGCTGTATGGATCACATTAAAATCAATTAAGAGAAATCCAGGACTTGGAGATGAGCCTAATGAACTAGGTGGTGCATATTTGAGGTTCCTAAGCTCTCTTGGTTCTCAAACTTGAATTTGTGGACATCTGGGGAAGGTTTGAGACCTTGCATTTCTAACAAGTTCCCTGGTGAGACTGCTGGTCGGGAGCCACACTTTGCTATCAGTTAGTCCAGAGGTTCCCTAACTTATTCGGCCCACTGCCCCTTTTCAGGAAAATCACTCAGTTGCCTCCTTTTCCTAAGTGAACAAACAAAGTGTCCCCCAGTTGCATCCCAGGCTAATACAACCCACCCCCAAACCCCCAGCTCACTTTGGTCAAATAGTGGTAAGAGATCAGGCCATGCAGGTATATATATATACAAGAGAAAATCAAAGACATGCCAGCCAGAGGAGGGGGAAACAGCTATTCCATTGTGCAGGGTAGGAAGTCTTAGAGCATCCCAGACTTGACTCAATACATTTCATACAGTAGTAAAGGTACAATGAGGACTGAATTTATAATCACCAAATCACATCATCCTGCTGCCTGAAAATAGTATTACATCACTCTAACTCTTAAGTCTAACTCTCTAATTAGACTTCAGATGTAAAATCCTTTGTAGAAATATATATCATGGGTTAGGAGTTACTAAATCTTTGTTTTCCCATATTTATTTTGGACTTTATCTCTGATGTGGATTATTTTCTTCACTAGCGTCTGATAGAAGAGGAGAACATGCTGGCTCCATCTCTAAAGCAATTTTCTTTGCGAGTAGAGATTTTACCATCCTACATTCCAGTGAGGGTTGCTGAAAAAATCCTGTTTGTTGGAGAATCTGTTCAGATGTTTGAGAATCAAAATGTGAACCTGACAAGAAAAGGTAGTAATCTGGTTGCCCAGTATACCTCCCTCACAGGCCTTCTTTCTTGATCTCTCTGGCCCTGCACTGCCTAGTCAGAGGGAGTGCCCTCCCTGGACTCCCTAGCCCCTGGGATTGAAGAGCCTTGTCTGTCCTGGTATTCTGTCTGTCCTTGACAGTGCCTTCCTCTTGGACAGGATCCATTCTGAAAAACCAGGAGGACACTTTCGCCACAGAGCTGCATCGTCTTAAGCAGCAGCCGCTCTTCAGCCTGGTGGACTTTGAGCAGGTGGTTGATCGTGTCCGAAGTGCTGTGGCCGAGGTTTGTCTCCCCTTTCATATATACATATATATGTAATGTTTGTACATATTTATAATATTTACAAATATATTTATAATTATATATGAATATTTATATATTCATAAATATATATTTTAATGGAATCACTGTGAATTGGTACTGTTTTATGTTTCCTTGTTTTGTTTTTCTGGTGCCATGCCCAGCTGTGCTCAGGGCTTACTCCTGGCTCTGTACTCCATGATCACTACTGGTGGGGTTCAGGGGAACTATATATGGTGCCAGGGAACCAGCTGGTGTTGGCCACCTTTAAGGCAAGTTTACCAGCAAGGCAAACCACCTGCGAGGCAATCTTATCCACTATACTATCTGTCTGACCCCACTCCTTACATATTTATGAAAAATATAATGTGCCATTCCCCCAAATTGAATACTTTTGTTTCTTCTTTTTTATTGTTTTTGTTTTTGAACCATACCCAGCAGTGCTCAAGGGTTACTCCTGGCCCTGTACTCAAGAATCACTCCTGTTGGTGCTCAAGAGCACTGTATGGGATGCCAGGGATCAAATAATGCGTCAGCCAGCTACAAGGCAAATGCCCTGCCCACTGTACTATCACTCTGGCCCCTTGTCTCTTTTTGGTGTCCTTAGAACTTAGCTTGGAGGAAATTTTTTTAGTTGAAGGGCAAGAAGCAGCATATGAAAGCATTCTCTCTGTTCTTGATAAGATACAGAGATGTTTTAGCTTTTCAAACCTGACAGGAGTTTGCTGGGTACCTATCTGGTTAGTTAAATGAATAAAGGGAGTCTGGGTTTCATTTTAGGTAGTGTTTGCTGGGTTTGTCTGTGTAGTTAGCAGTAACTCCAAAGAATGAGCTAATTTTCTTTTACTGCCTTTTATTTTAGTATGACTTTATACTTCTTTGATTTATGGGTATTATAATCTTATGAGGAAGAATTCATTCTTGTAAATAAAAAAATTGCTCAGAAAGCTAACTTGCCTGGTGTTGCACAATATGTGATAAAGATGATTTCAGAACCAAGCCTTCTGACTCAGTTCAGTACTCTAAAATGAATTATGCTTTATCCATCAACTAAAATTGGGACCAGTAATTTGGGGGGAGGCTCTCCAACAGAGTTCTTGGGGCCACTTGGACTACATAATGGAGGTACTGGGGAAACATGTGACCAGTGCTGGAGATTGAACTCCAGGGCCTCTGCATGCAAGGAAAATGCCATCTTTTCAGCTACCTTCCTAGCTCCATATTTCTTAAATTTGTATTTATATATTTATATCTGTTTGTATTTATGTTACTCAGTCATTCTAGCAACAAAAACCTCTTTAGGTGATTTTTTTTTTTTTGCTTTTTGGGTCGTACCCGGCGATGCTCAGGGGTTACTCCTGGCTCATGCACTCAGGAATCACTCCTGGCGGTGCTCAGGACCATATGGGATGCTGGGAATCGAACCTGTGTCGGCCATGTTGGCTGCGTGCAAGGCAAACGCCCTACCCTCTGTGCTATCGCTCCAGCCCCTCTTTAGGTGATTTTGAAGAATAAATAGGCCAAGATGAGGCCCTGAGTTTGATCATTCCTCATATACATATAAATAGTCAGCCACATGTGCGCAGAAGCACACACACATATATATGCACACACATACTAGTATCAGTGTCCAGAATTACTAAGAAGCTTAGTGTCCTTGGTTAGAGTTGTAATGTATCACAAACATAATTTTCTTTCTGATCATCGTCTCAGAAATTCCTAGGTGTTGAAGACAAAGCTATAATATAGATACAGAATAAATGTTAAAGTGACCTTGAGGTATCTTTTATTTTTATTGTCCATGGGTAAGTAAGTGTCTTCCTGTCTAGAATATATGTTTCGTTCCATTCTGACTTTACTTAACACCTTTGATTATTACCGAGAAACCCTGTCCAAAGGGCCAATGTCCTCAGTTTTTTTCATATTTTTTTCAATTTTTCTGTTGTATTTGTAATAGTTGTTCAGAAAGTGTAATTAGTGGAAAAAAGTAAAATCTCACTGAATAAGATTTCAAATTGTTTCTTGTGAAATTTTGTTTTGTTTTGGGGTCACAACACCTGTCAATGCTCAGGGCTTAATTCTGGCTCTGTAGGAATTACTCCTGGTGGTGCTGAGAGGACCATATGGGTTCTGGGAATTGAACCTTGGTCTGCTGCATGCAAGGCAAATTCCATACCCACTGTACTATTACTCCAGCCCCATCTTGTGAAATTTTGAAATGAATATAGTGCTAGATATTTTATTTACAACTTGTAAAAATGATAACACAAAGTAGGCCAGAGATAGCTTGAGAGTCTAAGCATATTTTTGTATGTGGGAGAACTGGATTCAGTCCCCTACACTATGTAATCCTTTAAGCACCTCCAGAAACATCCTTTGGCATAGAGCTGGGATTAGCTCCCTGAGCGCCATCAAGCATGATCCAAAACCAAAAAGATCACAAAGGATTGAAGCTCGCATTTCAAAATGGTAATAGACTTTTTTTTTTTAAAAAAGGTTATTGTACCAGTAGTAATTTATTGTACTGAAAAGACATAATACATACTGTACTCTTTCTCATTTGGATAGCTCTCTCCTTTTCTTTTTCTCCATTTTTCTTTTTAAGTTTTTTGGTAATGCCCAGCAGGGCTATGGGTTGTTGGGGGAGCTACTCCCAGCTCTGTGCTTTGGGATTGCTCCTGGAAGTCTAGGAGAACTATTGAACCTGGGCTACTCCTGGAAAGCATGCACTCAGCCCACTGAGCTATCTTTTCAGCACCTTAGTTATTTTTTGTACATGGTGTTAGTTATGCTATCATTTCATTCTTTAGCTTGTGGCTGTCCAGTTTACTGAAATTTTTTTTTATTATTTTGGAATGAGAAGGTATTTGAACCATACCTGGAGATGTTCAGGACCCATTCTTGCCTCTTTGTACCCAGAAGTGATCCTTGTGGTGCTCAGGGGCCCATTTGCTTTGCTAGTGATTGAACCAGGGTTGGCCCAAAGTAGCCACATGCAAGGCCAGTGCATTGCTTGAAGAAACTTTTTTTTTATCCATCCATTATATGCTCTTAGCTCCATTGTCCATATTTGTATGGGTTTATCTGGGCTTACATCCCTGTTCCGTTGATCTAAGTGTTTCTGCTTATTCCAGCAGATAATTGTTTTGATGGGGTCGGGAGAGGTAGTGTAGGAGGTAGGACAATTGCCTTGGATGTGGCAGAACCGAGTTCAATCCCTAATACCCCATATGGTCCCCTGAGTACAGGGGCAGGAGTAAACCCTGAGCAACACCAGGTGCAGTCAAAACCCCACCCAAAAAAAACATAGAAAGAAATACAGATAAAACTGTTTTGACTTTTGCAGAGTTGTATTAAAATTAGAAGTAGGGAAATAGGATACTTCCCTTTGTGGGGTAGAGGCTGGGGATTTGGGGCCATACCCAGCTGTGCGCAGAGCTTTCTCTTGGCTCTTTGCTGAGGGATCACTCCTAGTGGGTTCGGGGGAACCAAATGTCAGTGCCGGCAGAAAATTGGGTCAGTTGCATACAAGGCAAGCATCTTCACCCCTGTACTATTAAGCCTCATTTTATTCTTTTTTTGCCTTCATAACTAGTTTTTCTCTTCATTATTTTTATATGGAAGCACAACAGACTTTTCTACATCGGTTTTATAACCTACAATTTCATGCATTACTTATACTTTCAGGGGTAATCGTTAAGGTTTTCTGTGTGTAATATCAAGTTATCTGCCAATAGTCACAATTTTATTTCTTCTTTCCCAATTTGAATTCCTTTTTGTTCCTTCTACCACCACCATTTTTGCGGAGAACGTGGGAGTGGTGATGCTGTAGTGTCATGTACTTGGTGACAGTGCTTGCACACCTGCTCATGGTGCTCACAGGGGCTTCACACCTTCATTGTGTTCACACACACTGGGTTTGGTGCTGGAGATTGTGGCTATGAACCCAGAGATAATGGCAGTGCCACTTAGGTTTCTGGGTCTCCAGGCCACTGCCATGGATCAAATTGTGGTTCTGTCATGGATCAAACTTACAAGTTCATAACTCCAGGGCAAACAGCCTACCACTAGGCTGTCCCTGGGTCACTAATGATTCACCTTTTAGTGCTTTTTGAATTGCAAATCATCAGCCAGTTTTGCCAGTGTTATGGCAGATAATTGCCCAAGTATCTTCCTAATGTAAGGAGAAAGCCTTCAGTTTTTCACCGTTAAGTAGAATGTTAGCCATAGGTTTGTCATACATTGCTCTTACTGTTTAGATATGTTTCCTCTGTCTCCATTTTATTGATAATTCTTGTTTTACAAGGATATTAAATATTTTCAAATGCATTTTCTCTATTGAGATATCATATGATTTTTAGCCTTCATGTTATAGTTTTCAGTTTCACATTTAGGTCATTATTTTAGAAGTTTTTATCATAATGAAAATTGTTGATTTTTTTCACAGCACCTCTGGAAGCTTATGGTAGAAGAGTCAGATTTATTGGGTCAACTAAAGGTAATAGTTATTCCTTTAACTCTTGAAATGGTAAAAGTGGGTAGTGGCTTCATTTTTCAGGCTCTCCTGAGAGCACAGCTTGTGCCCAGACTTCCAAATGGACAAACTACATAATGCCAAAAATATACTATAAGACAAAGTGTTTAATGTTTGCTTTCTTCTGGCATAACACAATTGTATTTTTGTTGAATAAATGATACCAAGACACCAAGTCATCCTGCTGCTTGGAATTGCTGAAGTTTGCCCCCTTTGAAGTGTCAAAAGTCTATATCCATTTGTGGATTAGGCTCAAACTGGTAAACTATAAATTATATTAATAAGTATCATTCCTCAAGACACTGAAGAGGAGCTCCTGGCCCTGATGCATTACTGAATTATAAATTGATTTTTTCCCCCTTTAGATCATTAAAGATTTTTATCTTCTGGGACGAGGAGAACTGTTTCAGGCCTTCATTGACACAGCCCAACACATGTTAAAAACACCGCCCACTGCAGTAACTGAACATGGTAATTGCCCTTAAAAGTGAAACTTGCCATCTTACTAAAGTTGTACGGTGTTCTAGGCTGTGGATGAACCAGATAGGCCTACAGAGCAGCCTGCTGAACTACAGGGCAGTCTTTGCAAAGATGAAAGGCCTAATAGGTAGACATCCTGAGGTAGTTAGGAACAGGATATCACTTGTCACCCATCTTGGGAGAGTTGGTATAGGCATTCAAGCCAAATGTTTTATCAGATTATAGCCTTTTATTCCTAACAGAAAACATTGGCATTCCCATTTGCAGTGTTGAATTTGAATTCTCTAGTTTGTTAATGATGGAAACCTAAGATGAGCTAGCCAAGGTACAAAAGGGAGTTTATTTGCTGTTGGATCTATTTTTCAGTGGGATAGGTGTAATTAGACATCAGAACATAAGAAACTTGGGACTCTAATACTGCACAATTCTCTAGTCTTGTCTGTGCCTATTGATGCTTTTCAGTGATCTTCGTCCATTCCCAGAAACATGCTTCATGGTGTCTGTGGGAAGAGCCAGACCCAATCTCAAAATAGTTCCGGGGAAAAGGTTTGCTTAGCTCATACTGCATGAAATAAGTCAAACAAAATATGCTCTCCTCAGTAGAAGTTCACCTTTTACCTATTGAGTACCACTTCCATTCAAACTCCATGAGTAGACTTGAGGTAATTATCAAAAACAAATAGAAAAGAAAATGAGGGTTGGCATGAAAATGTGAGGGTCGTAAGTAGGGTTACCATTTTTCTATTTTTAAAACAATACGCATCATATGTACATAAGACTTTTTAGATTGCAGATGTCAGAAAACCCAATTCATACTCAAATAAGGGGGAAAGAATATTGGTTCTTGTAGCCAAAAACAAAATCATTGGTGTGATGACTTCAGGCAAAGTTTAATTTAGTGGCTCATAGGCCACCTTTGGAACATGGTGTCATTCTGTCCTCTGCCTTTTCAGACAAGCCTGTACCATATGGTAACAAGATGGACCCTAACCAAGCTTACATCCTACTGCACCTCTTGTCTTAAAAGAGGGATACTCTTTCAGAATCTAGTCTGAACTAGCCTGGTAGAGCCATACTCAGAAATGCCTGGAAAATGGGGCTGGAGTGATAGCACACAGCGGGTAGGGCGTTTGCCTTGCACATGGCCAACCCGGGTTTGATTCCCAGCATCCCATATGATCCCCTGAGCACCGCCAGGAGTAGTTCCTGAGTGTAGAACCAGGGGTAACCCCTGAGCATTGCCGGGTGTGACCCAAAAAGCAAAAAAAAAAAAAAAAAGCCTGGAAAAGATAGTGTAATGAGATAGAGTGTTTTTTTTTTTTTTTTATCATGCCTAGGTTGTTTGGTTACCCCTAAGATCAGGTATTGTCACCACTAGTAGAACTTTATGGATTGTAGGAAACACGGTGATTCTCCAAGGAAAATCAGGGTGTTTTTCTTGGATACCAGGCAAGAGAAGAAGAGGAATGAATGAATGCTCAGCAGGCAGTGAACCAATGTTTCCTATTAGTGTTTGGTAGTCTGGGGTAGATTGGGAGGCTGGGATTCTGGGTTATTGAGGTAGCAAGCCCTTGTTAGAACAGGTGTTCCCCCTCACAGATGTGAACGTGGCCTTCCAGCAGTCAGCACACAAGGTCCTTCTAGACGACGACAACCTTCTTCCTCTGTTGCATCTGACAATCGAGTATCATGGCAAGGAACATAAAGGTTTGTTCCTCTTTCTGCACCTTTCTCCTGCTGCTCATCGTCTGTTCTCTCAGTTCTGCCTCCATCAACTCCACAGAAACAATACTGTTTAGGGTTTTGGTTTTCTCTTTTTGGGGGGGGTGTTCAGATTTGTGTTTGTTTTTGGTTCGTTTAGTTTTGGGGCCACACCCAGTGGTGCTTGGTGGATCATGCTGTGCCAGCAGTCAAAAGGGGCCTCCTGCATGCAAAGCTTGTGCTCAACCCGTTAAGTCCAGTGCCCTAGTTTTATATGAGAGGAAGGGGAGAGCCAGAAATACTTAAGTGAGGCTCTCGGGCTATGTCTTGTTTTGCTGCTGGAATGGTCTCTATTTCCAGTCAGTGACTTAAGAGTGAAAAAACAATCTCTGGAAGACCTCAGAGAATCTCACCAAGAAGATTGTTCTTTGCTAGCCTGGGTTTCCTTTTTGCTTCTGATAGCTCAGGCTTGAGTCAGCAATGTTGATGAATGTTGCTTACCTTAGTGAAGCTCTGTTTGTAGGTTAGCAAAGTTGTTGTTCTTTTTTTTTTCCTTGAACAGATGCCTCTCAGTCCAGAGAAGGGCCTTCTAGAGAAACTTCTCCCCGAGAAGCCCCTGCATCTGGCTGGGCAGCCCTTGGTCTTTCCTACAAAGTGCAGTGGCCACTGCACATTCTCTTCACTCCTGCTGTCTTAGAAAAGTGAGTATTCTGAGTTTCTAACTTACAATTATGACATCCTCACTTCCAGGGGAAGAAATTAGCAGGAATAGAATAGGTGGGTGGAAGCCACTCAGCTATATTTTTAGTTTTTTTTAAATTTATTTTTAATCACTGTGAATTAAAGTTACAAAATTAATCATTATTATGTTTCAGGCATAAAATGTTCCAACACCAATCCCTTTATCAGTGTCCACTTCCCTCCACCAATATCTTTTTTCCCTCCTGTCGCCAGCCTGCCTCTAGAGCAGGCACTACCCTGTCCCCACCCCTTGCCTCAGGCCCCTCCATAGTCCTGGTGTTCCCTTTCCTGATAAATCCCCACCACCTCTGATCCAGTGGCAAGCTTCCTACTGAAGACCAGTTTTCCTGCTTTTTATTTCTATTTCCTTTTGGGCTTTGTTATTCCCTTATGAAATTTCTTTATATCCCACATATGAGAGATCATTCTGTGTCTGTTCCTCTCCCTCTAACTTCACTCAACATGAAACTCTCCAGATCCATCCACAGAGCCTCAAACTGCATGACTTTATCTTTTCTTACTGCCAAGTAGTATTCTACTGTGTACCATAGTTTCATCTTATTATCTACTCTTCGGCACTTGAATTGTTTCCAGATATTGGCTATTGTGAATAGTGCTGCATTGGATACAGGAGTACAAATATGTTTTCTTTATTGTGCTTTTGGACTCAGGGTATCTTTTGATCTTTTGAGAAGTGGGATTGCTGGGTTGTATGGAAGCTCAAGGGCTCCTTTTTGTGAGTGATGACCATATTGACTTTTTAAAAGGCAGGGTCAGTCAATATTCCCACCAGCAGTGAATGAGGGTCCCTTTTTGCCCACATATTCTCCAACATCAGTTGTTGTTCTTTTTGATGAGTGCCAGTTTCTCTGGTATGAGGAAATATTTCATTGTTGTTTAGATTTGCATTTCTGATGATTAGTGGTATAGAGCATTTTTTAAATATACTCTATGAAAAATACAATGGCCATATTTTATTTCTTCTTTGAAGTTTCTGTTCATCTCTTCTCATTTGAGAGGGTTAGGTGTTTTTTTCTCCTTGTATATTTTTACCAGTGTTTTCTATATTTTGGATATTATTCCTTTTTTCAGATGAGTGGTGAGCAAAACATTTTTCCCAGTCTGTGGACTTTGTATTCTGACCATCATTTATTTTGAGGTGCAGAAGTTTCTTAATTTAATGTGATCTCATTTGTTTACTTGCTTGATTCGTGGTGATTCATCTTTAAAGATGCCTCTGACTTCATAGGCATGGAGAGTTCTTCCTATAATTTCCTCCTATGTACCTTATGGATTCAGGTGATATTGAGGTCTTTCATTCATTTTTGAGTTTTTTGCATGGTATTAGAAAGAGGTTTGCGTTCATTCTTTTGCATGTGGCCAACTGGTTTTCCCATCACTTGTGGGAGAGGCTTTCCTTGCTACACTTCATATTTTTTGCTCCTTTATCAAAAAATTAGCTGACAGACCTACTGGTCTGTGTCTGGATTTTCATTTCTATTCCATTGATCGGAGAGTCATGCCTTGTTTCAGTACTGCTGTTTTAATTGCTACCGTTTTGTAGTACAGTTTAAAGTTTGGGAAGGTGATGCTTCCCATCTTCCTCACAAGGATTGCTTTGCTTTTTTGGCAGATGGGGGCATGGGGTACGTTTTTGGTTTTGGAGCCATATCCAGTGGTCCTTGGGGAGCCATGTAGTACCAGGGATCAAGCTCAGAACATACACTTAAAGTTCAACCACCTTAAGCTAACCCCCATCCCTTTTAGTGGTTCACGGTCTGTAAATCAGATAATTCAAACTCAAAAGTGCCTTTAGGGGATTACCAGATATTAAGTCAGACAGCAGGGAGTGGTGAGTGCTAGGAAGAATGTGAGGATTACACCCTCAAAATTAGGAATTTTGGACCAGCAGGTGGTACAGTGGTTAGGACACAATGCTTACCATGCCCGCAGCCCAGGTTCATTCCCAGCATCACGTGGTCTACTGAGCACTGCCAGGCCTTCAAGGCTCTGCCACTTCCAGAGTAGTGTAGTTATCCCCAACATGACAGAGACCAAGCTGCACTGCATCCTTGGGCCCTTGAATTGAACTGCCAGCCTGGTTGACAGAGATAACCAGGAAAGGTCCCCAGGTTTCCAGACCTTCCAAAATAAAAGCTTACTTTTTATGTACTTTTAATTCAGTAGTTTATAGCTGCCCATTTGTACCCTCTAAAAAACAATCTCATGTTTCAAAAGTGTGGCCCTTAGTAATTCCATCAGATCTAAGATTCTTCCCTAACTTTTGTAATATTTTATTGTTATCAACAACAGAAGCCAAAATGTTTCCTGTGGACTTTAAGCCACCTGAAAGATTCCCTCCCAATTCCAGGAGAGAGAAAAGAGAGAGTTGAGAGTTGGGACTAGAACAAGGAACTGAACAAGATGCTTGGGACCTTGAGACCCAAGACCCTTGGGTGTCAGTCTTGTTCTGTATCCTGAGCATCTGCCAAGTGCTATTGGTAACTTGATGTCCCCAAGTAGGGGAACTCGAAATTCAGAAGGAGTTGGGAGAAGCACACATGACAAATACTTTTGAAATACACCCCCACAACATTTCAAGGGACTTTTAAAATTCTGTTACCAGTTAAAGCACTAGCTCCAGGCCTGGAAGCTGTCTTGCTAGGTTAGGTTTGAGCAATTAAGAAAAGTGAAATGTTAAAACAAGACCTGCATCATCTTCCCAGTGTTGTCACAACTCTGCTTTAGAGGGAAGAGTATGAGGTAATACCCACAGACACACAATTCTCTTGTGACCCTTACCTCTTGCTTAACCCAACGTACAGTGACCATTTGCTTCAATCCCATATTTTCTCTTTAGTTCTTGTAAACGTTATTTTCTAAGTACCAGATTTATGTAATCTGATATTAATATTTTTCATTCTGAATCATTTGCTGAGCCATTTTCTGTTCTACTGCTGAGGTTCATGCAGTAGAACTTCTGTTTGAAATTCCACTGTGTACCAAGCTGTAATTCATTTATCCTTATATCTGTTCATTTTTTCCTGCCTTTTGGGGAGGAGTGGGTGGTACAAAGTTGCATGTGGTGGGAGTGGGATGTGAGCTTCTTTTCCTGAACAGCCAATATTTCTGCCCTAGATACAATGTGGTGTTCAAGTACTTGCTGAGTGTGCGCCGGGTGCAGGCGGAGCTGCAGCACTGCTGGGCCCTGCAGATGCAGCGCAAGCACCTCAAGTCCAACCAGACTGACGCAGTCAAGTGGCGCCTGAGAAATCACATGGCATTCTTGGTGGACAATCTTCAGTACTATCTGCAGGTCTGTGCCAAGGGAGGAGGAGCATGGAGGGAGGGTGATGAAAAGAAATTCAGGAGGTTGGCAGGAGTTACTGAAGAGAAACTGCATTCTGTTGCTTATATTGGGGTTTGAGCAGAGTTGGACTTTTCACCAGGCATATTTCTTCAGGGCATTTTAGAGGAGAGCAAAAATAAACAGATGGAGAAAGAACAGTAAGGTGCTTCTCCACAAAGCACTGTCTCACTATTAACCTGACTGCTAGTTGGTTGTAACTCCTGCAATCCTGTAGAATTTATCAGTTAGCAGAAGGGATGTGAAAGGACAGGATTGCCCCTGGGGAGACAGAGGGAGTCAGTGGCTCCCTAAAATGTTAGGAATTTTAGGCAAGTAACTTTCTGTAAGGCAAGGCAATGAATATAATGGTATTTGTCAGCTATAAAGTGGTTTGAATGGGATATAAATGGGCTCAAAAGATTTCATTCTATCGAGCATCTTAATGTCCTTGAATGTGAGATGTTGAAATTCTTTGTGTGACTATCCATCAGGTGGATGTGCTAGAATCTCAGTTCTCACAGCTGCTTCATCAGATCAATTCCACCCGAGACTTTGAAAGCATCCGGTTGGCTCATGATCACTTCCTGAGCAATTTACTGGCTCAATCCTTCATCTTATTGAAACCTGTAAGTAAGTCTGGTTGGTTTCCCCAGACTGCTGCTAACTTACTGTTTCTTGGGCTCTGAATTGCCAGGTTGTGGAACTATCATTAAGAAATTCATTGTCAAGCAAACTCCTGGTTTTTAATCCTTTCTGAGCTGGCCTTAGCAGAACCCCAGATTTATCTTGTAAGCCACAGGATGGAGTCAACGACATGCAACAAAAGTTTGGGGCTTTTTGGGGCTTTCTTTTTTTGGTAGTTGCAATATGAGTTCATTGTCATCGGAGCACTTAAGTTTGGAAAATGCTTTTCAATGCAATTTTTGGGTAAAAAAAATTCAGGAAAAATGTTAAACATATGTTGGTGAGTAGCTAACTGAAAATAAAGTATAATTTTTATATTGTCAAAAAAAAAGAGATTAATTGTCAGGTATATCCCTGAAGGTCCCCAAGCATCGACAGGTGTGGCCTATAAGCCCCTGAGTATGGCAGGGTTGGCCCTGGTGGCACAGACAGCACTGCATCCTCCACCCAGGAATGGCCTCCAATCCATATATTGCTTGGGAGGCAAAAATTACCATGTTTTTTTTCCAATTTCCATTTTTACATATTTTATGAAAAAGGCCCTCCTGTTGTTCGTCGATTTGCTCAAGCGGGCCCAGTAACGTCTCCATTGGAGACTTTGTTGTTACTGTGTCTGGCATATCAAATATGTCACGGGGAGCTTGCCAGGCTCTGCCGTGCAGGCAAGATACTCTCGGTAGCTTGCTGGGCTCTCCGAGAGGGCCGGAGGAATCGAACTCAGTCGGCCATGTTGGCTGCGTGCAAGGCAAACGCCTTACCCACTGTGCTATTACTCCAGCCCAAATGTCTTTGCATTTCTAAACTATTAGGTGGGAGCTGTAGATGAAAGAGTATGTGCTTATTAACTCTCAGGACTTAAAAAAATGTTTTCTCTCACCACACAGAAAGATCATATATAACTATAAGAACTTCCATAGCAGACGTTTAGATCATGATCCTCTAATTTGAAAGTTTTTTTGTCCACAGAAACCAGACTAGTATTTCTTCAGGGTGTATGATGAAGGTACTTACGTGTATTTCCTGCAGGAAAGTAATTTTTACCCCTAGCTTCACACTGGATTAGAGCCACTGAATTAAGTCTGTGCAGTGGAACCCAGGCATCAGTATTTTTTTAAAGCTCACGATTTGGTTCCAGTTCCAGGATGAAAAATCTTGAAGATTGTCATGACTGCGTAAATTCTAAAATGTTAGTTTCTCGCTGATGTGACCTAGTTATTATTTCTGTTCCATACCACCACCAGCCCCACATACTTGTTCTGGCATGTGGGGCCATTCAGTTGCTGCACTACTGGAGAGGGTTCTACAGAGCTGCCACTCCAAAGGATTCTCTCAATGGAAATGAACCTCTGTGAGACACAGTAGATTGTCCTTGTAAGGCTCTAATGCATCCTTGGGTGAAAGCAGATTATCAGAGCGGGTGGTTGTCATTAAATATTTATTGGGTGCTTACTGTATGCAAGGCACTGGGGATACAAAGAGGTATAAGACATAGTTCTGCCCATAAGGAGCTCACAATCTAGTTGGAGAAACAAGACATAACACAGATCAGTAACAACACAGATAGCCTGAGCAAATGCCCAGTGAGCAATACAGGGACTATGCAAGGGAAAACATCAGGCTGGTGTTGGGAAGGGAACCATCCATCGAGAGTGGGATTTGAACTGGTTTTGAGGAGAGTATGCCACACACAGAGAACACTAGAGGGAAAGTTCAAAGCAGGAGCTCACTCCCTTGGGTTGAGGAAATGAGGCTAATGTGGGGGTTTGTCCGGGGGTGACCAAGATAGAGCAACTTTATTGGGAAAGGGAGGGTTTTTTACACATTGCATTGAGGGTTGGCCAGGATTTGCATGTAGTATTGCCTCTCCAGAAGCAGACTTAAGTCAGTTCTTATTCACCCAAATCTTTATTTTCACAGGTGTAACTCATCTTTTTCCTAATGCCAACTCTGTTTCCTGGATAGGTGTTTCACTGTCTGAATGAAATCTTAGATCTCTGTCACAGCTTTTGCTCACTGGTCAGTCAGAACCTGGGCCCACTGGATGACCGTGGGGCTGCCCAGCTGAGCATTCTGGTTAAGGTGAGTGGGCCTGGCCACTGGAAGTCCAAAGGCCTATCCAAAGAATAATCTTCCATCGACGTCAATAAAGCATTTCCCGCTATATAAAAAGATTAAGTTGCAGAAATTCCAAATGTTGGTATCTAAAGCAGCTAATTATGTGCCTCTTCATTCACAGTGTTGAAAATAGTTTAGCCCTAAATTATTTATTCAGCCCACCAAAAAAGCATTGGCTTGGTTTTGCTTTCTAGCTTCCTTATTTGTTTTCCAGCTTCCTTATTTCCTTGAAACCCATATTTCAGTGAGATAGTAATTACCTGCTTATATCCAAAATATGCAAGTTTACACCAGTCCCAGTACAAAATACAGTCACTTGAAACTGGCTATTCCAAATGAGAAAATCCTGCTTTCTATGAAATGAACATTAGAGATGAGTCATTTTAGGAAATAACAGAATGGGAACTGGGAAGACCAGTGGTGCTATCTCTGAGCAATGCTTTCCAAAACACAGCCCTTATATTACCCACCCCTCAAAATTTTGAGGTCAAATTGCTAGATTTCAAATCCTAAGAACTGTTAAGTTTAACATTTGGGTTCTTTTCTTTGCAGGGCTTCAGCCGCCAGTCTTCTCTCCTGTTCAAGATTCTCTCCAGTGTTCGGAATCATCAGATCAACTCAGATTTAGCACAGCTACTGTTACGATTAGATTATAACAAATATTATACCCAGGCTGGTGGAACTCTGGGCAGGTAGGAATGATTGAGGAGCTCAGTAGTTTTTATATACGTGGCTTTTTAATGAACCAAAGAATTCCAAAGCTTGAAGAAGTTATTCATCATCTAGTTTCATTTTATAATAATAAGGAACCTAAAACTCACAAAGAGGGCTGTGTTTATTACTATTATCAATTTAATGGATTATTTTCTAGTAAAAACCATGTAGATAGTATAGTACTCATCTGGTTCTGGGGATCTAAGTTGCTGGCTGTGCTGGGAAGCAGCTGGACTTCTATTCGGAAGCTAACAGGCTCTGTAGCCTTGGCACCCTGCCCTGATGACCTCTATACCTCCACCTCTGAAAGAAGAAATTGCCCCTGCTTAATTATACCTTTAAAAAAAATTTTTTTAAAAAAAAAAACAGTAGAATTCAGGCTTCTCTCAAAAGTCTTCCTTACTCAGAACACTTTGTAATCCTCCTTCCACTCTGAATGTCATCAAGCAAAACTTTTTCTAGTCAATTTTAGTCAAAAGAAATGTGGCATCATCAGGTTTTTAACTGCTGGTGCAAGGGTGTAACAGTTAAAACTCATTGGTTTTTATCATAGATTGCCTTGATTCTTATCTTTGAAAGCATATTTGATGGAGTTCCTTTTCTTCTCTTACAGTTTTGGGATGTGAGAGTGTCTGATTCATAAACTGAAGTAACAATCACACCTTCTCTAGTCTGTAACAGAAGATACAAAACCAACATCCCGTTCATCTAGCCACACACCAAATGTCTACGGCCTAATGAGGGAGCATGACCTTTTCTCATAGAAAAGGAGCACATTTACTGAACAGCTGGGGATACAGCTCCCATCATTCCCATCCGGCAGAGTCTGCTCCACTTCAGGGAGAGTTCTTCACTTGTCTAAGGTTACTGGAGTAAGTTCTGCTTACTGATACTGACCATTCAAGATCTGTTACATTGAGAACCTCTGTTAACTCTGTTTATTCATCCAAGAGTCACATACTATACATCTGTTACATGCCTCAGTACTATTTAAGTTGCAGGAAACAAGGCAATAAACATCTGAAGTATTTTGTGGCGCATGTGAAAAAAAGAACTCTATTTGTAGATAGGCCATCTTCTGCGTGTTACCTCTAAGGAAGCAAGGCACCAGGTAAGATAAGGCTTTCCCTCATACCACAGCCTTACCTCCAGAAAATTGAGAGTCTTAAGAACCTTAATCCTGTGTATCTTGATAATTTTAATAATTTCCTGTTGTTTAAATAGTAAAAGGGCAATTCTAGCTAATGTCATTTATGTAGAGTACTTTTTACAAAGAATTTAAAATGTCTTTTAAAATGTAAGTGTCCAGAAGATAGTACAGTAGTTAAGGTACTTGTCTTGTATATGAACAAACAAGGCTTAATCCCAGGTACTGCATATGATCCCTAAGCCCCACCAAGAGTAACCCCTGAGCACAGCCAGGTATAGCCCAAAAGCTCTCCTGATCCCCTGCAAAAACATATTTGAAGTCAAATTGCTAAATTTCAAATTCTAAGAATTGCAATAACCGTAGGAGTTGGGGTTCTCTAAGTTTGGCCCATTACATCCCAGAAAATCATCAGTGTTCATGTAAGCATGAACAGAAATATTCATTGAACCATCCCTTGTAACTGAAAAACAATGCAGCAATCTGGTCCTCATCTCTACCACCTACTATTAACTATAGTCTGTGCAGTTGTCAGCTAAAGATGACTCCCTTCCACAACTGCTTCTGGGGTAGATTTAGCAAACTATGAGCCATGAACTATTTTTTAAGTAAAGTTTTTATTAGAACACAGCCACAGTCATTACCTATTGTCTCTGGTTGCTTTCATGCTCGTGTGGCAAAAATGAGTGCTTGTGACACCATATGGCCCACAGATCCTAAAATATTTACTGTTTGGCCTTCACAGAGAAATTGCTGCTGACCCCTACTTTAGAAAATCAGAGGACACCAACAGGGATGATACTAGAAGCAGGGAAGAAATAGCTTCCAGCAATTGTGATAACAATAAGAGTAATAAAATACTGGATGTTTGGCTATTTCCAGGTATTCTCACTGTGCTTTGTATGTTTATTTTTACAAAAAGTCATCCATTCAAGCTTATGGTCATATTCCATTCCCAGCAACTTCATTGTTTTGGGTACTCAAAGTTACCCGTTTTTAGTGAACTCAGCTCTAGAAACTTTTTTTACCTTAATTGCTAGGAAATTTAGAGCTGTGCCCAATTCCACCTAACTCTTCATATAGCTATTAATTTAAGCCTACCATTAAGTCAGGCTTTTAGAAGCACTGAATTTTAGATAGTTTTTTGACTCAACAATACAGAAAGATTTAAAATTAACTCATTTTTTTGGCTAGCTGTCCTCCTACAGTGATAAGTCTTGGCAGAAAAGATAGTATTTTTGTCTTGCTATTCTGAGACTTGAAAAAAAAAATTATGAAGAAATCCCAGTTACTACAACCAAAGAGATTCAACATTTATTTTATCATAAAAGTCCGGCAAATAAAACTATATACAAGATCCATGCAAAGAATCCAATTACACACAAAGACACATTTAAAACCTGGTTAAAACACAATTTCCACAACAGCAGGGAATAAAACCAGTAAGACCAAGTATTCTTAGTGAGAAACATAATCATGTTTGTATTTTGGATGCTGCTTAAATCCAATTCTCTCCCCAACAATGAGGCACTGGATGACCCATTCCTGTGACACCACAGGCAGCTGCAATGCTTCAGCACACTTCAGCACCGAGGCCGGGCATGAAGGGTCCGTCACCACCACATCAAACACGCCTAAAGCAATATCTGCAGGAAGGAGGGAAGATAGATAAGGAAAGGAGACTTGAGCTTCCCATTAGAGACAGATGTGCCTTCTAGTCAGTACATCCCACACCAAAGCCCTTTGCAAACAGTACTACTGACCACAACCAGAGATTGAAGTTATCAGTATATGTCCACTTTATAGAAACGCCTAGTAGGCATACCACATGGCAGCAAAGGCCTTTACTTCACTCATCTCTTGAAAGTTGAACTTTAAAATTATACATATAGTCAACTGATCAGTACTTAGGCCAAACAGCTCTAAATCCTTAGAACAGAGACAACCACACTTTCCAGGTACCTTTGTTATGGGCACTTGAATGGTGCTGCTTCACAGAGGCTGCCCCCCCAGTCATGAGAATCTCAGACCAGAGCTCCAGGAAGTTCTGCTGTTGGTCTGATACCAAGAGTACCTTCAGATTCTGGAAAGGGTTTTCGCGGGGTTGCCTGTAAAGGAAACAGATACAGCATGAATATCAACATTTCTGCAGAGGGATTCAGTGTACTTCTGAATGCTGCCAAAGCCTGAGTTGGGGCATCCCCATCTTCCCTTTCTGTGACTGATGGGTGTCAGTCTCTGGAATCTTGGCCATCTGATTTTGGTCTGTTTTGAGGATGAGACTAAAATCATGCTCCTGAGCCTGTATTTTCAAGTTACCTGTTTAAAAACGTAATGTTCTAACCTTAAGAAGTTGAATATACTGAACCTACATGAAAATTCTCACATGCCCTAGAAGGGAAAAAAGCCTAGATGAACTGTTAGAATAATCTCATTTTATATCTCCTATTATCATTCTAATTTTTAGAAACATTTACCCTCTCACCTTCAAAAGCTTGCTGTATCTTCCTCCCATTGTAGATGGGCTCTCAAATACTCACCAATCCAGAATTCTTTGTTCCTCAAGGCTGTACCCAGCTGGCAGCAGGTAATTCCGGTAATTCTGGAGTTGGTTGGCATGGCAACTGTCATGGACCCAGACATGAGAGACACAAGGAATCCCACTGGCAAGGCACAGGAAGTACTTCCGGGTACGACAGTGCTGATCCGCAATTAGGAGACATTGGTAGGCCGTGTTGCACTAGCATAAAATAAATGGGGAATATGGGAACTTCTGTGGAAAGGCACTTAATAGTAGTCCTATTGAGCCACAGAGAACAAATCTAAAGATTGCAAATATAATGCCTGCCCTTTTTTCCAAGGCCTCTTTTCTTACTGATAGTTTTGAGCCAAATGGGTTCTCTAGATATTCTCCTTTTATCACATTTCATTTTCTAGCAACCAAAATCTTTCTTAGCCTTTTAGCCTTTCAAATTAAAACTCAGAAATACTGTAACAAATTTCTTCTAAACACAAATTTTAATCTGCTTTTACCTCCACAACAGAACCATAACCCATTAACTAACCCAAAGTTCTGATTTCTTTGAACACATTAAAAATTTAATTTTATGCATCAACTTTTAGACAGTTTCCCAGTTCCTGAAATCTGAGTACTGTATCAACCTTCCCAACCTCTGTAAGACCTCTTTCTCAGCAGAGCAAGCAGATTCCTCTAATTACCATCCGTCTGAAAACTCACCTGGGCTTCATTGAAGTCTTCAAGAATATAGCCAGCTCCTGCTCGAAGCTGGGATTCAGTGTACTGCTTGTTGAATGGAGGAATTTCTAAAATTTCTATATAAAAACACAGATAACCAAGATAATTATTACTAGTACTTGGTTTCTTATTTACTAATTTATACTTGCTTCCTACTGATTTCTTTCCACTCCTGTTACCTCCACAGCATTGTATCCCAAAGACAAGTCAAGGATTTCCCTATGGATCAGAAAGATGTCTTGAAACTGCTAAAATCTGACCCAAAGGAGTGGGGGAGGGGGGGAGGCAGGTGAGATACAATACAGCTGGTAACATACAGCCTTGCACATACCTGACCTGGGTTCAACCACCGGCACCCCATAGGCTTCCCTGAACACTGCCAGGAGTGATCCCTGAGTGTAGAGCCAGGAGTAACCCCTGAACCTGCTGGGTGTAGCCCCCCCCCCCCAACACAAAGTAACAAAATAGAATGTGAGATAAGGAAGGACAAGACAGGAGAGGGATGGAGGATATGAGAAATGGGAGATTGGTCCTAGACCTTAAAGATGTCAAAGATTTCTGCACTAGGACTAAATTATGGGACTGTTAATGGCAACGGACACAACCACTTCCCATCGTAGACTTAAACTTGGATAATAACCCTTAACATCAACACATTCTTCCTACTGTCTACTCTGAATCACTTCTGCTGTAACCTAAGCCCACTTCCTCCAATTCTGAATTGTGTGGAGATGAATAGCACTTTTTATAATCAAGATTTCAAATTTCCCCTTCATCAGCATTTTCAGCCCCTGTATACTCAATCTTTGAGAAATAAGAATGCCCAAAGTAGAAGGGGAGTCAATTATTTTAACTGTTTCAGGTTAGCCAGAAAATCCTGTTTCAATCTTTTTATTGAAAACTATCTACCTTTGATGATCTTGAAGTACCTCAGGACACTGAACATCAATGACTGCTCTATAGTCTTGAGGGTGGAGTAGAGGTTATGAGAGATGAGGCTGAAGTTGTAATGACCCTAGGCAATTACAAATTGCTTCTTTTGACCAAATATCTAATTTGAGCTGTTTTCTTGTCATCTGCTCCTCTCATATATAAATCACACATTAAAAAAAAGAAGAAGAAAAAAAGACATTAGAGATTTTAATTAGGAGTTCTAAATCCTAATGAACAAAATAAAGCAACTATATTCATGAAATTTCAGTGCCAGGAGCAAACCCATCCCCCATATTCCCAGCGGTAAAACCTGACAGAACAATCAATTGCTCCCTTCCAGAGATGGCACCTATCTGGCGCCCACCCTGCCTGTTGGGGCTGCCCCAGCAGTGCTAATGCCCCACTAGCCTTCTGCACTTCCGTTTACGTCTGATTGTCCACCCTGGTCCCTTGTATTGCTCCTCTACTAACTCAAGGTTATCCCAGTCTTCTCAAAATGGAAACCCACCCTAGAAACTATAGTTGAGAAACTCAATCTAATGGCAAGGCTGGAGCAATTAGAGCTGGTAAGTGCTTAGCCAAGTTTAATCCAGCACCCCATATGGTCCCCTAGAGCTTCAACAAGAGAGATAACTGAGCACTGCTGGATGTGGCCAAAATTTTTTTTAAAAAAAAAGGTAATGTCTATTTTTGTTTTGTCCTTGCGTCCTTTCAACCCAGACCCATCTCAATACACAAGTCTCAATGGCAACACTAACACTCTACTCAGTCACTGCCAAGGCCCAATGTGGTCTTTCTTTTTTTGTCAAGATTCTATTTTAGATGTGCTTCATCTAGGACAGTTTCTAGTCCTTACCGATGTTGATTTTTATCTGTACTTCCATACATTTGTGTAATCAATAGCCTGTGTAGATTGCTGGCTTCTGTAATTTTACTTAATTACTTTAATTTTACATTTGATTTATGAGTCATCCTGCTGTAAGAGACTAAAGTTAACTGATTTTTAATTCTATCGTTCTAAATCAGAGCAATTTATTTGGTCAACTGCGCCTTTTCAGAAATAAGTAAGTACTCAGCACCCTCCAGGATATCTGGAGCACTTTTAAACAAAGTGCTCTTCTCTTCTACACAAACACACACACCACAGACACACACACACACAGACAGACACACACACACACACAGAGCAATTCTCCACTCTAATGGCTCCAGGAACTCCAAGAGGGGGGGGGACCGGACATAGCCCTCTTCAGATAACATTGATATAAATCAAAAATTTAAAAGGTACCAATACCCAACTCCAATGTCAATTCCTGTGACTGAGAAGAACCATGTCTCGTAAAACTGACACAAATATCTTTCTGAGTCATATAAACTGAAAGATAAAAGATTCCCATTTATCTACAAGACTTAACACAGTTTCCTGAAAACCACAAATCAATAGAGGATGATATCTTCAAGTTTACTGAGACTGAGAAAACCCTAAGCATGCTCATACACTAAAGATAACAAAGATTCTGATACTGCCAGGGCACTGTCCAAGGATAAACATAAATCATACATTTATCATAACCACATTTCCTAATTCGAACCAGGAGATTCTGCTAAAAACTACTTTTAAATTCCTCTGCATTCATACAAGGCCTACTTCCCTGTACTCATGAATTACGGATGCTCTTAAGTCTAAGGAATTAAGATAGCCTGCAAAGTTGGCTTTGTTGACCAATCAACAAATTTAATATCTAGAGAGCTGCCTTGTGAAGTCCTAAACTAGGGAAGAGCTTCAAGAGTCAATTAGGGGATAAAGACTAGAGATTCAACATTTTTTGAAAACAAAAGAAAATAACACCAAGAACAGTGTTTTAATTCCATGACATCTCTCTTTGCAGAACATTCAAGGAACTCCAATTATTTACGATCAAATAAAACTATATTCTTGGCTAAGGAACTCCTCGTAACTATGTACAACTGCATCTATCTGAATTATGCCTGACAAACTAGGTATTTACATGCTTAACTTTGAAACTCCCCCAGCACACCTGATCCCACAGCCTAATGCTGCTCCAGAGTGGCTCTATCTACACTCCACCCAGACACCATTAACCACTGCAACACTCATTCTTCCCATGTCCATGCACAGAGCTGCCTGTGGTTGCAGTTGGTTAGACTGAGTTTTAGTTAATTAGGAAAGAGGCATTAAATACCCACAAAGCAAACCTTACTACAGCAGATTTTCTGAAAACCATGTTCTCTAAGTTAAATTCCCTCTTGGAAGATTCAACATTAATCAGACTTTTTTAAAAAACATCATCAATCTTGACCTTAAGTCTTTACAAAGATAGATACTGCTGTCAGTCACACTGTGTCCATCTGTATTTGTCAATTCTCTAAATGACAGATGAAGTAATTTATACTGCTCCCAATGCAGCCTTTGTAGCAGACAGCATAGCTATGCAGTGTATGGGTTTAGTTTAAGACGAAGAGAGGGATAAGAATCGAAAGAGCTTAGAAGCTGTTTCTCTGAAATCACCCATCACATTCTCAGTCTTAACGGTCCTTAACAGAATGAATCAATCTTGAAACATGAATGGAGATGGCAACGCACTCAAAAACTGGCCTGTCCAAGATGACTGTGGTAGGATCAAATAATACTGAGTTCAATACCAACTCTATCACAGATCCCCAATAATGGGGAAATTACTTATTAAATTTCTAACCGTGTCTCCCCATCTGTCTCATTTCATTGCTTTGAGAAAATACCCTATAAATAGGGTGAGAGAAATTAATTTACCCTGTCCAAGATCCCAGCTGTCATTTGCCCTGTCTTCCACACAGATAGCAGAAAGGCCACCAGACCCATTAACTAAATGGAAAGGAAGAAAAAGTACTTATGTCAGACCCCAAAGGCTCTCTAGGGCCTTACCCTCCTCTTCTTCACTGCTTCCTGTAGGACCATCTGGCAGTTTGGAACGGCTGGTCAACTTATCACTGGTTGTAGCCATGGTGAGGAGAAATGCATAGCCCAGAAACAAGGTTTTGTTGAGAGGCAAAGGCCCTCTCTGCTCTTCCAGGGCAGATGTTTCACCCATGTTGTCTCCACTCTCACAGGGGCTCACAAACTCTCCTGCCCCCACTGCACCTAGGAAGGGCAGAAAAAGAGTTACTAGAGGGATAAAGGCACTGCCTGGGCACCAAGCATGATAGGATGAGTAGAAAATGTTCTGATAGAACTTTCTGAACTATAATTCAAGGACCATTCCTATGGTCAGCATTCTTAGGACCAATTTCATAATGCAGAGAAATTATATATTTTCTTAATTGTTTTCATAAATGAAAATCAACTAGTATTGGTCTTATATAGCTAGACCAAATACTGAAGTCATCTTAAAAAAAAAAAAAGTAGTTCCAATAAAGATTAGTTAAAAGTGAAAGGTTTGGAAATCTTCAGCCCACATTTCCAGGATTTCCCTGATTTGCTGATTTCCCCCAGGAAAAACTGATGTAATCTTAAAAATAAGACAAAATAAAATACTTTATTATCAAGAAATATCCCCAGGGGTCTGGAGCAATAGTACCAGCAGGTAGGGCATTTGCCTTGCACGAACATGACCCGGGTTCGATTCCCAGCATCTCATATGGTCGCCTGAGCACTGCCAGGAGTAAATCCTGAGTGCAAAGCCAGGAGTAACCCCTGTGCATTGCCGGGTGTGACCCCCCACCAAAAAATAAATAAATAAATATCCCCAGGATATACTTCTACCCTATCCCTCACCAGGATGGTGTAGTGTGTGTTTGGTAATTAAATGCTGATGGAATCATATTAAAATAATCTGCTTAAATGTCCCAGTTCCAACACCAAGGAGTAAGGAGATAAGTGAGACAGTCCAGGACTCCCAGAACACCCATGCTAGGAGTGCCCCAAAAAGTCCTTGAGAAGAAAATGGATACCTGACTTGGAGAAGCAGAACCGTAGGCTCATTAGGAAGCTAAGATGACAGGTCATGTCTTCCTAAAATAAAACCAGCAGCAAGAAAATAGTCTGACAGAGTCTGGATGAGCCTGAAGTCCAACTGCCTGAGTTTGAATTCTGGCTTACTGTGTCATCCTTAGGAAAGTGAGTCAAATCTCTGCCTCAGATTCAACTGGAAAATGAGTTCAAGCACCTGTTCCTCATAGAGATTATATGAGATTCTATGAAGCATTATTATCCATGTCATATGTGCTGAAACACAGCAGAGGGGGTGGAGCTGATAGAACTCAAATGCAGGAAAAAAAAGAAAGGAGTTCTTCTGGTGCCAGAATAATGTAACGACCAATGAACATCCCTTTGTTGGCTAGACTGATAGGGTTGCCTCATGACACACACAGCAGACTGTACCTTTCTGTCTCCCGAAGCTATAGACACTAAGGCAGAGAGAAGAGATTCAGTGAACAACAAACTGAACTCTATTAAATAAGAAACATGAGGGACTGAAACAGAGTAGGTTAGTGCAGTCGGGGAGGGAGACACAGGCTGAAGTAGAAAATCTCTATAGAAAGTCTGGGAAAGCAGAGGGCCCTCAACACAAAGGAAAGGGGAACAGTTTCAAGAGGCAGAAAATAAAAACCTGATAAAGGAAGAGAGTAGCACAAATTTCAACTCTGTATATGCTTAAATTCATTTCTTTCTTAGAACACAGACTGGAGTCAGCAAATGTTTGTAATCAAGATCCACCTGTGACCACTGAACTCTGATGGCAGATGCAGGAAGGTGGGGCAGTAGGCAGAGTCTTGGTGGGACTGTACAGAACCCCAAATTTATAGCCAGGACCAAGGGACCATTATCTTAGGTTAGACTCCAGTCTCTCCAACAGTGGACTTAACTTCTTTGGTCTGAGGGAGAGTAAGACAGAAGGAAGCACTCACCAGGTTTCACAGTAGCAGACTTCCGGCCTCGCTTGGCAGGGGACCGTTCCTCTTCAGAAGTGATAAGTTTTCTTTTGCCTGAAGGAACTCCCACAGAGGCTCGAGGGCTTTCTGTGACCTTACGAGTAGGGGTTGTGCTGCTACTGCTAGAAGCCGGGGTAGCCGGGGAGCTGATGTTGCTGCGCCGTTTCCTCTTTCCTTCTACCAAATTGTCTATGGTAGGATAAGCCAAAGGTGGGTCAGCAACCATGCTCTGAGCTCCTGAGCACCAAGATACTGGGTAGAACCTGATTACATACAGCCATACCCTTTCTTCTACCTCCCAAGAAGCCTTTTTTTTTTTTGCTATGTTGGGGGCCACATCCAGCAGTGCTTAGGAGAACTGTGCACTACTTAGGGGTCACCCCAAGAGGAACTCGGGACCAAGTACCGTAAAGGATTAAACTAGACCTTCTGCATCAAAGCAGTGCACTCGCCCTCTATTGCTCCAGCTCCCCAAGAAGCCGCTTTGAAGGCCACCATATTTTCTGTTTTAGTCTTTGCCACAACAAAATGTGTTTCATCTCCAATACAACTGTGGAGGCAGGAAAAACTGAAGATTTATGGCCAAAGAGATAGAGCAGTATGCTTAGCATTTGCCTTGCATGCAGTTGACTCCAGTTTTATCCCCCTAGCACCAGAGAGAAGTGATCACTGAGCAGAGCCAACAGTAAACCCTAAGCACCAACCGATGTGGCGTAAAAAAACAAAGAAAAAAATAAAAAATAACACCAGAAAACCAAGGACTTAGTATTTGTTACCGTAAAGGAAGAGAGCCATGGCTACAGAAAATGAGAGTTTACTATAATCTCATAAGCTACAGTGGAATAGAAATGCTTAAGGAATCATTAGCAACTGCTCTAGAAATTACTCATCCTGTCAGAAAATACTACAGTCAGGTCAAAGGGCCCAGAGGAGAGTGGGTCAGGAGGCAAACCTCTTTTTTTTTGTTTGTTTGTTTGTTTCAGGGGGAAAATAAAGGCATGCCAGTCTGTAGTAGGGGCATAAAAACAGAAAACCATGCAGTACTGGGGATTGAATCCTCTTATAAAACATGCATTACAGGGGCTGGAGCAACAGCACAGCGAGTAGGGTGTTTGCCTTGCACGTGGCCAACCCGGGTTCGAGTCCAGCACCCCATATGGTCCCCTAAGCACCGCCATGAGTAATTCCTGAGTGCAGAACCAGGAGTAACCCTGTGCATCGCCAGGTGTGACCCAAAAAGTAAAAAAAAAAAGACATGCATTCCAGCCTGTGAAGCTATCGCCACAGCCCAGGCCACAAAGGTCTTACCTAAGCTGATATCTGCCGCCTTGGTGAGGGGTGTTACTGCTTCATACGGGCCAAGACCATATTGCTCTCTCAGTCTGTTCCCTTGCTCCAGAGACAGGATGACAGCCATTCGCTTATACCACTTCCTTTGTCCTTCTTTTTCAATGCTGTAATACAGCTCTCCAGACTCCTTCCTATGACCTTTAACCACTCCTGCATGGAAAGCAACATAAAAGAAGCTTGTTGTTGGGGGCTGCTCAACCTCCACTCACAAAGGCTCTGCAGAGCAGGCCTTAGTCAGAGAACAAGGAGATCCAACAGTAGACTGAAGTTAGGACTTCACAAAATCCCATCTGCTAATCTCAGACAACAACACTTAAGATACATGTGGCTACTACAGGACTGGGGCATGGAAAACTTCTTGCAAAGAGGCTCTTAGTTATAAAATAAGGCTTATAATGCCAAACTTGGAGTTAATTCAAATAATAGTTGAAGTTAAATGGCTTATTTATTTTTTGGGTTTTTTGGTGCATGCCCAGTGGTGTTCGGGGGCTATTCCTGAGCCTGTGCTCAGTAGTGATCATATGCAGTTCCAGAGATCAAACCTACTCAGTGGAATGCAAGACCCCTATACTATCTCTCCAGCTCCTGAAGTGGCTTCCTAATGATCTGATTACAAATTAGTAAGCTTTTCCTTCTAGATTTCTTTGGAAGTCTACTAAAAATTCTCAAGTTAAATTTTAGGTAAAAAGATGACATTTTAAGAGTACACGTGTCTGTGGAGAAAAATCAAAATAGAGATATAGAACAAAGAAGGGTAGGCTGGGCGAAGGAGAATCAATCCACCTCTCCAGCCTCATCTCCAGAGATCTAGCTGATTCAGAAAGATAAGTAAGGCCTTCTGATTAGAACACAATCTAGAATATAAAAGGAAACTGGGCTAGAATTCTAGAAACCTAGTAGAGGCCTAATTATGATGCTTGTGAAAAAAACTCACACCCCACAACTGATCATGAACAAACATACAACATACATACAATATAAAAACAGCATTAACATAAACATAGATTAACATTTTCATTCCTGTAAACAAAGGGATCTATTTGTTCTCTCCCATAGACTATGCTTGAATGAAGAAGGCCTAATAGAAACCCAGAGTGTGTACACTTAAAAAAAAGAATATAAAGGAGAATACTCCTTATCTGCCACAGAATCCTTCTTTCACCTTATTCATTTTATCTCCTATCTTAAATTTCTATTGCCAAACTTAATCACAAAGACACCCTCAAAAGCACAAAGAAGTCTAAGATCAACAATATATTTTACACTAATGAAGAGCTACTAGAAGCGATCTACTATTGACATGAATAACAGCCTCAAGAAATGGGACACAGAATCCCTACCCCTTGATTCCATGATTCACTCTGGATACAGAATTGTCTCCATTGTCCACAATGGAGGACCAAACGTGGACCTCCAAGAGTGAATTTACACCTGAAAGAAGAATGAATGCATTTGATACAACTATGTAAGTCATAAGTCATACAAGACCTCAATTTATATGCTACTGATGTCACATTAACCTCATGATGTTTTCTAAAAGGTCAAGTGGCCCATTAATTAAATAATGGAGCAAATAGCAACTGTTCAAATTTCCAGCAAGGATGTTTTCAGATGAGAAATTCAGCACAAACATGTCTCCAAATTTTATCACTGAAAGGAGAAAGCATTTTGAAGAAATGGTACATCAAACAGCACAGCATAACACAAATCCCTCACCATCTCCAGTACAGAACTGGCTCCTTTAAAACAGGAAAAGGGAGGAGAGGTGGTAGAGGTAAGAGAACCATTTGTTCAAACCAGAGAAAGTGACATGCGTACATACATACAAACACAGCACTAACCACGTCTTCCTAAGCAAAAATATCTCACTATAAATTTCCTATATGGTCCCCATCAAGGCAAATAGTAAGTTTAAAAGTTTCTGATGAAAGAACTAAGAACACAAAGGAAAAAGCAGTAACATTCCATTGGAGAAGCAGGAATAAACCAATATAACCAACTGTCGAAGACTGACATCACCAGTGCTGTCCTGTAAATGGGACATGCCTCCCGCAGCAGATAATGGGATGAGAAAGGCACTTCACCTCTATAAGCTTTGAAATGTTCCTTTCAGGACCCATCACTCCAATTTAATCAGAACAAAATATGAGACAAACCCAAATCAAGGACCAGCAATTCCTCAAAACTGTCAAGGTCATGAAAAACAAGAAAATATTAGAAGTTGCCACAGATCAGGTCAAAGGACACGTGAGAACTAAATGCAGCGTGGCAATCCTGGATTGGCTCCTGAAATAGAAAAGAACATTCAGAAAAGCTAGTAGATTCTAAAAAGTCTGGGTTTAAATAACAGCAAAGAGCCAGTGTTGTTTGATTTTGACAAGTATATAGAGTCAATGTAAGAATTTGACAACACAAAAAGCTGGATGAGGGGTACACAGGAACTCTTATACTACCTGTACTTTGTACTTTACAATTTTTCTTTTTAAAAAATTACAAAATTAAAGGCTGACTGAACAACAAACAAAGTCAGTGGTGAGAGGAGCCAGTACTAAGGAAGGAATTTCTGACATTAGAGGTGCCAGGAGTAAAAACTCTCCTTGTCACTAATACAAGGGAGGCTTAACCGGGACACAGCTGCATCTGTCCTTACCTGCACTGAAATATTCGTCCTCTGAGAGGGCTGTTACTTCCGTATCCAGTGGAATGGGGTCACACAGCAGAATGTCTTTGCCCAACACATCACATTCGTACCCATCATCAAAGAGCAATTTATACTTCCCAGCTCCCACATCTCGTGTGATTTTTCCAGAGTAAAAGTAACCATTGGATGACCATTTGGCGACAACACGGAGTCCTACAAAGCTGTTCCCTGGAGAGGAGGCATCCAGGCCGTCAGAAGGGCCAGCAGTGGCCTGGAAAGGAATCTCCGGAGAGTCGCTCCGACGCAAAGCACCAGCACCTACATCTGCTCGCTTGGTGGGGTCTGGCACTCGGGGCACAATGCGGGTGAAAGATTTATCATCTGGTGACATGTTGGGTGAAATGTCCTCTATGCCCAAGGGGCCAGGTACAGCTGTCTCTCTAAGAGATAAGAAATGAGAGAAGGCAATGAGAGTAAGAAGACAGAAGTGTTTAACTACCAAATTCCCACTTCCTTTATCTATGGTTCTCTACAGCCCAGTCTTTGAGAACCCCAACACAGGCATAAGAAGCCTGGTCTCAGCAGCCTCATACATATCCCTGCCCACTCCCCAGGCAATGTGGGCCCCTCTTACCCCCACACACTCTCTGTACCCCTCTTTTCTCTACTCCCGTTTTTTTTTTCTGAACAGACTAAGTGTATCTCACACTACCCGGGTACCTGGTTCCAGTGGTCCGAGAAGGCGGGCGGCCCCTTCGCCCGCGCCCACGAGGCGTGACTGGAGCCTTCCCTCCCTGTCTGATGCCAAGGCCTGCATCACCATCCTCCTCACACACTGGCGCCCCTGTCTGACTGACCCCTTTTCTAGGACTAGAGAATGAAGACAGGTTAGTCTGATAGCACCAGCCACTGGATCCTTTCTTCAAAAAGTTGCCCCTTGGCCCTTGACTACATGGACCCAGGCCAACCTGGCAGGCCTCCACGACAACAGCAAGTTGGTCCTAACACCACCACCAAACTCTCAGCTGGGGAGTGGGGAGGACAGGATGAATCACAAGTCAAGGACACCCTTTTCTGCAAATCTGTTCCCTTCAACAAAGTTTCCTATTGCTGCCCTCAAAAACAGCATTCCCATTCCTGTGCTGGCTTCTAAGAACTTCAGACTCTTAATCCCCAAAGGGGGTAACAAAAAGCTAAGGGATGTATTATATTGGAGTAACTATCCCAAAGTCTGTTCTCCATCTAAGTAGGTTATGGAAAATGGGCGTGGCAGGAGCATATCCTATGCCAACATTCCCAGAGTCCCCTCACCTATTTTCTATGGGGGCTTTTTGGCCAATGAAGTCAACCTCCCACAGGGTTCCACCCTAATTCCTAAGTAAACCCAAAATGGGCAAGGAACAAAAGGGAAGAGGAGTTAACTTGTCCTAGATGGAGGCTTGGGAAGTTCCCATTACTCCCCTTTTCCTGTGATAGCAAAACGTCTGCAACCCTGCCCCTGCTGTGGCTCTCTCTGGACACCCTGTCTGCACCTCAGTTTTCCTGGGCCTCCTCGGGAACTGGGCAAGGCAAAATCTGCGGGTTCTGTCCCACTGGTTTTCCCTTTGAGTGGTCCGGCTCCTCGCCCTGAGCTGCCACTGCTGTGCATGGCTGAGAGACTTGTCCCACTTGATGTACGGTGTAAGCTGGAGGCCTTGGAGGAGAAGGAGCTGATATCCCCCAGATCGCCTGAGGAACCCCCAGTCTGTGAAGGAGAAACTTCAGTTTCACACTCCTGACACTCTACAATTGGCTCTTCGGTTTCCTGCAAGAAGAAATGAATACAAAATGCTAACATGCTAAATGAAAATCACAAAGATGGTAAGAAATTTCAATTCAGAAAGAGCAGAGCTGGGAGGAAATTTTCTGGAATAATGGAAATCATCTATTTGTTCTGAGTAACAGTTACATAAAGTTGTTAAAAGCCACTAATATTGAATATTTAAGACCTGCCCATCCTACTGGGAATGTATTAAGAGAAATATAAATGCAGGTTGTACTAGATTGGGAAGAAAGAGACCTCGATCCTGAGCTCACATAAATTATTTTCCTATTGAACAAGTTTATAAGCTTCAGCTACTGAGATACCAGAGTATTACAGAGATACCAGATACTTAAAGATAGGTAATCCTATCAGGGGGAAGACAATAGTAAAGAGGCAGGAACATTAAAGTAGGAAAAGGAATGCTTGGTTTCTGAGTATTTGATTAGCAGAGGAAAGCAGTAAAAGTTAGGTATTTCATATAACCTTTCAGTAAGTGAGCAAAGAAATGGTAAGGAACAGAATAGCTTAGGGACCGGAGCAATAGTACAGCGGGTAGGGCATCTGCCTTGCACGTGGCTGACCCAGGTTCGATCCCCGGCATCCTATATGGTCCCCCAAGCACCTCTAGGAGTAATTCCTGAGTGCAGAGCCAGGAGTAACCCTTGAGCATAGCTGGGTGTGACCCAAAAAGAAAAAAAAATAAGGAAAGAAAAGAAAAAATAGCCTAAAACTAATGTTACTGTCTTTAAAAGGTTATACTCAAAACACCAAGTTTGAGATCAGAGAGATAGTACAGAAGATAAAGTGTTTGCCTTGTATGCTGCTGACTCTGGTTTTAACCCTGGCACCACATATGGTCCCAAGTGTACTGTGCCAGAGGTTACTCCTAATAAGAGTCAGAAATAGGCCCTGAGCACTACTTGGTGTAGACCAAAAACAAACAAAAAAGCAAGTTTTCATTACCTAGGGACGTCAAACTATTTCACATATTCATTACTCCAATGGACTGGCATTGTTTAGTTGCGCCTTGAACTGTTTTAAGCATCCTTCTGTTTTTAGTTTGCCATGTTCTTGTTTCCTGGACAACACCCAGCAAAGCTCTAGGTCTACTCTCAGCTCTGTGCTAGTGGGGAGAGAGGAGTCACTGAGGACAGTGCTCAGGGGACCATGAGGTGCCTGGGATAGAACTTGGGACTCCTTCATGCAATCACAGCCCAGAGTTCAATATCCTTTGACACTAATTCCCAGGCTTAGCAAAAAATGTTTTAATCTCCATGTCTTCTGCGCACAGGATTAAGAAACTACAACACAAGTATTATGGAACTGCCTTCCCACTCCTAACAACGTGCAGTATCATGCTAATTGGCCAGAGAAGATATGGAGAAACAAACATTCCTAAGAATTTATGATGTATCTAGGGAGTAACAATACATTCACATACACACCATTATATAATTTCTGATCACTCCCTTCATGAAAAATCTCTTGCTTAGAACCATAAAATCATTCATTCTATTCCTTTCATTTTACCTCACTGTCTATATACCAAGAGATTTCTTTTTCTCTGCCCACTCCTTCAAAACTAATTCTCAGGACTTTGTTCTTATTCTTTTTTTGCCTTTTTGGTTTTAGGATGACATCCAGCAGTGCTCAGGGATTACTCCTGACTGTTCGCAGGTATCATGCCTAATGGTACTGGGGGAACCAAGTGGGGTGCGGGTGATCAAATTTATTGTAGTTCAAAAACTAAGAAGCGAAGATTTTTATAATAGTGATTCAAAATATATGAATCCTAAGAGTTGTTTACTCATTTGATCTTCCCTTTTTTCCCATTACCCAATTCTAGCAAACACTTAACTCTCCAAGATACCCTCCCATCTCTACAGTCACCATAGAGTCCATTTTCTTTCTTACTGAAATAAGACTTACAATAGACTTAATTCTATGTTTAGGCATACAGTGTTACACCACACCCACCAACAAAGTGACACTATCCCTCTAACACTGTTCCTTGTTCCCTTTTCACACCCTGGATTGAACACAGGGCCCCATACATACGAGGCAATTACTTTACCATTTTATTATCTGAATAGTATTCCAAAAGTTTTGAATATATATATATATATATATATATATATATATATATATACACACACATGTATATATATTATAATTTTTGTTACTTATCTATTCTTGGGCCTTTGAGTGCTTTACAGATCCTGGTCATTGAAAATAGCATTGCAGGACCAGAGCACTAGTGCCTTACATATGGAAAACCTGTTCCAATCCCTGGCACCACCCACCAGGAGTGATCTCTGAGTGCAGAGCCAGGAATAATCCCTGTCAGGTGTGACCCAAAACACCCATTCCCCTCAAAAAAGAAAAGAAAAGAAAAAGAACAAGAAAATAGCATTGCAATGAGCATAAGTGTGAATCTATCTTTTCAAATTAGTGCCATTTGTGTTCCTAACATAGATGCCAAGGGTTAGTACTATAGACCATATAGTAGCTCTATTTTCAGTTTTTTAAGAAGCTACCATACCGTTTTTTCATAGAAGCTGAAAAGCCCAAGCATTTTATTAGATATTCTTTCCTCTCCCCAACCCCTATATTCAGAAATTCACCTGTCTGTCAATTTTCCCTTATATATTTCTTACAACTACAATAATTGCTCATCTGCAATTTCAGTTTCCATAGTTTCAATTAACCATGGTCAACCACAACCTGACATTTTTATACACAATAAGGTATTTTGAGAAAGGCTATATTCATATAATTTTGTTCTAGCATAAGGTAAAAGGTAAAGGCCCTCCCGTTGATCGTCGATTTGCTCGAGCGGGCCCAGTAACGTCTCCATTGGAGACTTTGTTGTTACTGTGTCTGGCATATCGAATACTCTCGGTAGCTTGCCGGGCTCTCCGAGAGGGGCGGAGGAATCGAACGCGGGTCGGCCATGTTGGCCGCTTGTAAGGCGAACGCCCTACCCGCTGTGCTATCGCTCCAGCCCTAGCATGTTCTAGCATATTGTCATAATTTATTTTATTAATCCCTTACTGTACTTAATTTATAAATTTATAAATTAAACTTTTTATAGATATGTATATATAGGAAAAAAACAGTATACATCTGAAGTTTCAGATACCAAGTGGTGATCTTGGATTAAATGTCCAAAGGTAAGGGAAAACTACATTTCTCATCTTTCAGTCTCTCCTGCCACTCTCCTAAACCATCACTTATTACCACATTATGCGCTAAACTTAATCTACTCCAATCCATTGTTTTACTGCTACCCACCTGACATTCCCAACATGCAAGTCTAAGCACGTCATTTTTATCTCTAAAAATCCCTTAAAGGCTATCCTTTAAAAATCTAAACTTGGGGCTGGAATGATAATACAATAGGTAGGGCATTGGCCTTGCACACAGCTGACCCCTGTTCTATCCCCAGCACCCCACATGGTTCTCCAAGCCCTACCAGGAGATATCTCTGAGCATAAAGCCAGGAGTAAGCCATGAGCACTGCCAGGTATGACCAGAGAAAATAATAATAATAATAATAATAATAATAATAATAATAATAATGGGGTATGGTGCCGCCAGCAGGTCAATCTGTACCTGTGAGGCGAGTGTATCAGCAGTCTGATGGCGCCTTCAGACTTCCAGATACCCCAAAATTGCTGTTGTGCCTTTGGCCAGACCCCAAAAACTTGGGGAAAGTTTACCAAGAAAGTAAACGGCCAAAAGTTAGGTATGTGGGAAACACACCTACAAACCACCTCCAGCTCAGCTATATAATTGGAGGCACGGACTCTCTGGTTCCTGATTGAACTGCTTAATGGCCATGATCCCAGAGACTCAGAAACAAATCTCGAAACCCAGTGGCTTTTGGCAGAAATGCATCCAGACCCCACAGTACGTTACTGTTGCCAGGCCACCCCAGGGAGGAAAGGGTGTTGTCACTCCACCTGCTCCCCCTTGGCGGCTCGGTGGCTGTCATCCTCCAGAGGCCATTGGACAGTCAGGCTTGGGCCCACAGTGATGAAACTTGTTGGGCCTCACAGGATTGGGGGGGGGGGGGGGGCCTGGAGCCGGGCCTGTCCTCCCCACCACAACGAGACCCCAAGTCACTGCCCATTGCTCCCCCTTGGCAGCTTGGTGGCCATCATCCTCCAGAGGCCATTGGACAGTCAGGCTTGGGTCCGTAGTGACAAAACTTGTTGGGCCTCACGGGATGGGGGTGGAGCCGGTTCTGTCCTCCCCATCCCAATGAGAACCCAAGGAGAACCCAATGAGAACCCAAGGAGAGGCCACGAATGGCCTCTCTAACTCCTGATCAAGTTGCTCAACGGCCATGATCCCAGAGTCTCAGGAGCAAATCTTGAAACCCAGTGGCTTTTGGCAGAAATCCCTCCAGATTTAAGTGTTAATGTTTTGGAATTTCAAAATCACATGGCCCTACTGCCGCCACGTGACATCGTATGTTATTCATAACCAGCAATAGAACACAAATTTTCTACTGTTGCCTTCTCAGCAGATCTGAGTGTTGGAGTAAAATCTCAAATAATAACGGTGGGTCTGGTATTGAAATATTGAATGTGATCAAAGTAGAGAGAAAGTAATGTGGAATTCATCTGCCCTACAGGTAGGGGGAAGGTGTGGGATGGAGGTATACTGGGGTTTTTGGTGATGGAGAATGGGCACTGGTGAAGGTACGGGTGTTTCATTGTATGACTGAGACTTAGACCCGAAAGTTTTGTAACTGCTCTCATGGTGATTCAATAAATAAAATTATAAAAAAGGGAAAAAAATAATAAAACATAAACCATCCTTTTGCCATTAGTTAGATTTACAGAGACTTGCTCTTTACAGAAAGGACAGCATGACAGTAATGGTTAAAAAAGAGGCCAAAGGTAAGGCAATCCATTGGTTTAAATAGAATTCCAGACCTCTTGTCTGTTTTGTTATTATCACTGCAGGGGTCACACCTGGCACTGGTCAGAGTGCATAAGGGGTCCATCAGGGTCATACCAAGCAGCACTGAGAGGAAAGGACAAGGCTTCCTATTTTTATTTCAGTTCTCACAGCTAATAGAAACATGAAGAAAAATAAAATATTGGCAGTTAGCTGCACAGAATAGGGGCGAGTGGGAATGGGTGCTAGGGGTGAAGAGCTAGAATAATTTTCCTATAAACAGATACCCAGAGCATATTGTTACCTCAGTCACTTTTCTTTCAACTTCTGTTCCATCCACATAATACACATCTGTGATGACACGAGTGACAAGTGTGCGAACTTCACGAATTGTTCTCATGTGGCGATGCAAGACATGGCCATGTGGGGGCTGAGGCATTTCAAACTCTTCTTCTCCCTATGACAGAAGATACAGAACACAGGCATGGGTCTCACTGCAAACTGGCAGATCACAAATCAACTTTAAGATGAGCAATGTTCAGAGGTCCCATGAATCTAATGAGATGGAATTTTCCAGTTGCCTTCTTTTCTATTCACCTATAGATATGACAGGGAAGTACCAACTGTATAGCCAACAACTAGAAGAGTTTGTTAATATCATCAAAAATGACACTTGTCTAAATCAAACCCAAATATTTAATACTTTTATCTAGGATATTTAACTAAAACTTTGACCTTTCAAATACATTGTATTATTGTAATCCTTCTGATTTTTATGTTGAGTTGGGAGTATACTAGCTTACACCTGCAATAATAGCTCCTGAAATAAAAGAAAGGAATTCTTAGAATTTTATATAGCCAGAATAAGCTACCATAGTTTTCCATAGAAGCTGAAAATTTTTGTTTTGCCTGCATTAATAAGTGAACACTACAGTTTATTGGTGTGTGAAACCAAGGTATACTGACTTCTCCTAGAATTAAAGATGAGATAGGTAATCCATTCCCAAAAACCAGGAGAGCTAAAACTAGTTTAAGCTAGTTCCAAACCCAGAAAAGAGTAACAAATTAGAATTTTGTATCCAATTACACCACAAAGAATAATCAATTAAGTCATTTAAGATTTTTTTCCTGAGAACCACCAGGTGTGAATTTATAAAAACCAAATGAATTTATAAAAATTCTTACATTCATGTTTTCTCATAACATTGATATCATATTTATCTACATCCATGTCATTCCCCCTGCCCCATTGCACACTTGTTTCTCCCACTTGTGGTAGACAGATTTTAGGTTCAACAGTCAATTTTACAGAATCCAAGTCTTTGAAAAGAACTCTATGTATCATCACAATAATGGTGATTCTGACAATGTCATAATAATCTGTCTAAAAGCTTTCAATAATTTACCTGAATAAATCCCACATCAACAATATCTGAGAAGAAAAACTACTAAAATTAAAATATTAAAGTATATGAATAAATATACATAAAACAATTGTATGAAAATTCTCTAAAACAGTTCTTTAAAATACCTTTATATATACTCTAGTTAATGAACAGTCAGAACATTAGTTTGTCCACATCTTAATCAGGGGGGTTCCTGTAACAGAACTGAGGTAACCTATGCCTCCTGCCTGCATATACAGCCAAGCCCTGGACCAGTGGTCTAAAAAGTTTTAGTGCTTTATATATCCCTGAGATATATAAAGAAGCATCCCTGTTTCTTTCAACTACAGCCAGACTAATGATCACTTCAAGAAGGACACTTATATAAACATGTCTGACAGAGTAAGAAAGGAGAGACAGGAAAGAGGGGCAGATAAAAAGAAAGCTATGCTTACTCTCTCTTCCAAATAGTCTTCTGAAAAGAGGTCTCTGAAAAGACAAATAACTTGAGGAACTTGTCATTATTGAGAGGAAAACAAAACGAAAATAAAACCACACTTTCCCTTCATAGAAAACCTGGCTCTCAGCACACTTAACATATAAAATTGAGAAATTTCAAACACAAGCCTCACATGCTTTTCTCCAAGCACTGGCCTGAGTCCGATCCAGACTACAGTAGATTAAAAAAAAAAAATCACAGACACTTGGAAAACTTCCATACAACCTTATCTTCAACCATTCTTGAAATACTAACAGACTAATGCCATTTTTTTTGTTATAAACACAAAAACATGAATATTTCTATTATAAAAGTTACCATTTTAATTTTGAAGTACAGTTTATGGTAGTAAATACATTCACATCATCATACCCACCTCTTAAACTGTTTCATCTTTTCCCATCCCAACTGAAATTTTGTATCTCTTCACCAACTACATTTTTCTAGCACCTATCTTTTCTTAGCAGGTGTACCTAGCTCTTAAATGTGCTATTTCACTCTGGATGATATGATAGTAGTATGGTATCAGCAGTGGCTATGGTGGTGACAGCAGCAGCAGCAATACTGAGAATAAAAACAACAGGCAGTAGCAGCAGTCAGCATAGCTTAGGCACTTACCATGAGCCAGGCCCAGGCCCAGCACTAAAGGTTTTATGTGCCCTTTGTCAGGTAATCCTCACGGTATCTAGATGAAATGGTCCAACCCCAAAGCCTTAGTCACACTGGCTCCTATGATGATGACAATGATGTTAAGTTGGGAGAAGGGATTATTTCCCTTTTATAGAGAGGAAAAATAAAAGTGAAGGAAAATATAATGCAGTGGTTCTCACATGATTGCTACCTTTTAATCAACAGGTATCACGATCAATCACGACCATCCTGTTGTTCGTTGATTGCCTCAAGCAGGCCCCAGTAACGTCTCCTTCGTCCTAGCCCTGAGATTTTTTTAAAAAGTGCCATATTCAAGGCTCTTTCAGGGTTAGGAGAATGAGACCCATCATTGTTACTGGTATTTGGCATATTGGGTACGCCACGGGGAGTTTGCCAGACTCTGCCGTGTGGGCAGGTTACATTCCGTAGCCTGCCAGTTTGTCCAAAGTAGGAATGAGATGATAAGATGTCAGCTTCCGGGAGCTGAGTGTGATAATCTCTGGATCCTGGCTGTTGTTGGGGTTACACGGCAGTTGGTGGGTGTAACTGTCTAGCTACTGGCAGGTCCAGTCCCAAACCATGCAGGCTTGGAGATCTCAGCCCCGGGTCCCACACACCTGGGTTCCTCTGCCAGTTCTTTTATGCGTGAGGCTCATCCAAGTGTGTGAAGAGTGGTCCCAGCATGGCCTTGGCTGGGGCCTGGAGGTCTTCAGCTGTTGGGCCCTGGTGGAGACAGTCAGGTACAGGGTAGGAGACTCTGCCTTGTTCTCTCCTGGGAGCTGAGTGTGATAATCTCTGGATCCTGGCCGTTGTTGGAGTTACATGGCAGTTGGTGGGTGTAACTGTCTAGTTACTGCCAGGTCCAGTCCCAAACCGTGCAGGCTTGGAGATCTCAGCCCCGGGTCCCACACACCTGGGTTCCTCTGCCAGTTCTTTTATGCATGAGGCTCATCCATAGCAATCAATAGGTAGCAATCCATAAAAACACAAACTAGGGGCTAGAGCAATAGCACAGCAGGTAGGGTTTTTGCCTTGCATGCAGCTGACCTGGATTCAATTCCCAGCATCCCATATGGTCCCCTGAGCACCGCCAGGGGTAATTCCTGAGTGCAGACCCAGGAGTAACCCCTGTTCACTGCCAGGTGTGACCCAAAAAGAAAAAAAAAAAACAGAAACCAAATTGTAATGCAGTAGAATGCAAAATTAAGGGAAAAAAATCAAACAAAATAAGGTCTATATAATATGCTACAGTCTCTATATTCAAAAGGTTAAACTATTTTATTTGATTTTATTATTGTTTTATTTCTGCAGTACTAGGGATCAAACTCAGGGCCTCAAACATGCAAAGCAAGCACTCTACCACTGAGCCACATCCCCAGCCAATAAAATCTATAAAAACTTTAAAGAAAGTCTGAAAAAACTGATAAGCTTTCAAGTGTCAGAGACTATGCTACTAAAAGGTGAAAATAAATAGAATGCTTGTAGCACCAAGAAAGTATGGGTAAACAGAGAAAGATTACAGATGCCAAGATTAAAGAAAATAGAAAAGCAACATAGCATAATGATTAGAATACCAATTCTGAAGTCATATATGCTGAGTTCAAATTCCAGTTCTACCACCTACTGATGGCAAAATCTTGGGCAAGTTACTTAACCTCTCTTCAGCTTGGTTTTTTTACCTGTGAAATGGGAATAATAATACCAACCTCACAGGTTGTCTTGAGCACAATGCTGATATACTGTAGGTGTAGGTGTTCAAAAACAGGAACTATATTATTTTATTTTTATAAAACAAACAACTTGGATGATCAGAATGAGAAGCACATCACTAGTGAAGCTGTCCTAGGCAGATCCCAAGTAAAGATGACCTACTAGAGCAACTGTAAAGGAAATTTAACCACTATTAGTAACTTCTGAATTTTGCCTGCAATGGATCCACTACTACCTGATGAAATTCTATAAACTTTCTCTTCTGTTAATATATACATTTCAACCAACCACTTCTTACTCATTTATACAAGTATCAACACATCACTACTCTATTTCAAAGAACCTGTTTTCTTGCAGCTACACCTCTATCAACCCCAATCCTTTTCTTTCCATTTGTCTACTCTTTGCCTTTGTATGCAATCTATGGTCACTTAAGGACCTTCCCCCATCTCTCTACATTCCTGCTACTACATATTTCAAACATAGTTGAAACTGTCCTTCCTGCTTCTTTACACCTTTCTTCTTAACTTTCTAACTTTTTTCATCTTAGAAACCATAGTAAAACAGACTTGGGGGAGAAGGAATTAGCTCTAATGATTATAAAGGGGATGGAAAAAGAGTAACAGAGGAAAAGACTGAATGTAGATTATAGGACCCAGACTGTATTTCTGGCTTTCTCTTTCACCAAGTGAAAATATAGTTCATTAAATTTTAGCACTATTCCATTTTCCTTATAAATAGATCAGCATTGGCTATAACTACCCCTAATACCTAATTCACTACCTACTTCCTATCCTGGATAAACTTTTTTCTTTTAACTATTGTTCTATATAACAGCAGTAAGAATTCTCATAAGATAGAAATACCACAAGTTAAATTCTCTAGAATTACCAAAGATGAAAAGAGGACCTTTAAGGGCCTGTCTCTGTTCTCTCACCTGGCTATGTAGCGACTCTGTATCATCCCCAGGAGCACTGACTGGTTTCTCACCACTCCCCTTCTCAGTCTGAACTGTGGCATCTTGTTTTCCAGAGTTCTGGTCCACCGTACTTGTTCCTTGTTCACAAACATTCTTTACAGTCTGAGTTGCTGCTGAAACAGTTTCTCGGACCCAAAGGGAATGCTCTACTGTCTGGATTCCTATGTTATTTTGACTGGGTCTTTCAATCAAGGCCTTAAAAGGTTTATCCTGATCATTGTTTTGTCCTTCTTGCTGGCCTTCTGGGACACCTGTCTCCATTGCTTCCCCATGAGGACTGGATGGGCCCTGTGTGACCATATGCTGGGAGACAGGAAAAGTAGAAAGCCTAGTAGGACTACTGGACTTCACAGACTGTCTGTTCTTTTCATCACTTCCCAATTTTTCCTTTTCTTCTTGAGTACTTGGGAAGTGGAGCAAATTCTCCCTAAAAATCAAACAAATGAAGAAACCATGTCAAGTAATCAAGTATGTATGTGTGTAAATACAAAAGAGAGCCATAATCTGACATTTCAAGAAATTTGGGAAAGGGAGAAAACAAAAGGCTGAGCATATCACTCCTATAAAAAAATAAAGGTTCACAGAAATATTCCACTGTGATAACTAAATATAGTCATTGAGCAGGAGATAGTACCTGTCTTGCACGCAGCAGACCTTAGTTCAAGGCCCTCTACAACATACAGTCCCCTGAGTACTTCGAAGAGTAAACCCAGAGCACAGAGCCAGGGTTAACCCCTCATCACTGCAAGGTGTAGCCCCAAAACTCAAAAACAATAACCATAAAATTTAACACTATTATAGTTTCTGAAACTACAATAAATGATACTTCAAAAAAATGTTTAACTTTATGAATAGTACTAACACCACAAGGTGTGGGCCCCAAATAAAAAATAATAATAATTCAATAACTACTGTCCCCCACCCTAAACAACTCTACAAAATTTACCTCAAATCTATTTATTTTTGCAGAACTTCTGAATAAAATTCACTTTTGGAAGGGAGAAACACACCCAGAGGTGCTCAAGGATGACTCCTTGATAGCACACAGGGACTACATGCAATGCCAGGGATCAAACCAGGGTCAGATGCATGCAGGTAAGAAGTGTCTTAACTGCTGTACTAACTTTCTGGCCCCTAAAATTCACTTCTAAGGAAAAATCTAGCAAAGCACTATTTTTGGTTTTGTTTCTAGGCCACACTATCCAGGTCTTCCTCATGGCTCTGTGCAAAGGGATCACTCTTAGTGGGGCTCACATGATGAATGGGTTGCCAAAAATTAGATCCAGATCGGCTGATGCAAAGAAAGTGACTGTACTGTCTCTCCAGCCCTTGAACTTTTCCTTAATTAACAAGTTATTAGGCTTTTTTTTCCCTCCCCTGAGTCAATCAGAATAATTCCTCTCTCTCTCTCTGAAGATCAGGTGGGGTGTTTAATTGTAGCTTTATCCAGCAAACTCCTATTAATTATCAGAAGTCTAGATTTCATCAGTCTCATGTTAGTCAAATGAAAAGTGTTTAAACCAGTCATTTCTTCCCAGGTTCATATATGCTTGGTCCCTGAAGAGAGGTTTGAATCGAGCTGGCCCTAGTTATGCATAGATTCTTTTTCTATCCACAGATTCTGAATCCTATGACTCAAAGGAGTGGAGCACATATTTGGCAGGACGACCTAAGTTCATTCAATCCTGGCAATGATACTTCAGCTCCAATTCTAGTATCACCAAATACAATTCTAATAACCCTAGAGAGTTGGAGCACCAAGCCCCAAACCATTAGCCCCTACACCTGAGTCAAATGCAGCCTGGAGTGGCCCCAGGGGCCTCTGTGCCCCTGGAAGCACCCTGGATAGGCCAATAAATAAAATAAATAATACTTGCCTGGTGGGTGCAGAGGGGGAATCATGACTTTGACTTTCATCATCTTGCTGAGTTTCACAGCTAAACACAGACATGGTCTTCTGAGGACTAAGACATTCAATTAAAGCAATACACAGTGTGAGTTTTGAAAAGTTCCTCTACAGATTATTCTTTTAGGCAAAAAGAAGAAATAAAAATATTTTATCTGAATCCAGAACTCCAAACCTTTCACCAAAATGCAAATTCCTCATACCTGTTTCAAATTAGCATAATAAAAACTCTCAAGGAATATTTTTAGGGAATTTTGTAGAAATTTATATTAAATTCTATTAAGATGCAATCAGTAGAAGAAGTGGAGTGTAGGAAAGTCTATAGGACAAACAATGTTTCGTCAACAAAAAATTGATGGGAGGTGGCAACTGGAGAGACAATACAGCAGGCAGCATTTGCCTTACATGTGGCCAACCTGGATTGGATCCCCAGCACCCTGCTATGGTTCTCGAAGACCTTCCAGGCATAATCCCTGAGTGCACAGCCAGGACTAAGCACAGAACACACCAGGTATGGCCCAAACACAAGAAGAAAAATTGCTGAGGGGAAAAAAGGGAGTAGGGAAGTAGATTAAATATATTTAACATAAACTTATCATTGGTTAGTGAATAGCACTAGCGGCTCACACTTGGATTTTTACACTGCAGACTATCAACAGGTTATTATTGACAAAATTTCACTTTACACTTTAGTTTGGGGCTGTCCAACAAAGCAGAACACCATTTAATGAAACTACCAGATGGCAAGAAACAAAATCACAGTGCCGGCATATATATGAGATATCAATCAAATGCAGTATGTAGACTTGCCTATATCTTAATTCAAAGTTTTTTTAATTGTAAGGCAGAGAAGTCTTCACATTACTTGATGACATTAAAGACTAACACAGTTTTGTTTGGGTTTTTTGTTTTTGGATTTGGGGCCACAACCAGCAATGCTAAGGGCTTACTACTGGCTCTGAAATTACTAGTGGCAGTGCTGGGTGACCATATGGGATGCTGGGGATTGAATCCAGAGGATTGACCCTGTGCAAGGCAAACACAATACCCACTGTACTATCATTCAAGCCCTGACTAATGCGCTTCTCGGCCTTTTGGCTAAGATCAAATGCAGTATCTGTTCTTATCAGTAAGATATGATAACAGCTTTATATATTGAAACTTGAAATAAAAATTCTTCTCTTTAAAAACAATTAACAAGTCCACACTGGTCATCAGTTGGTTATTTTTGTTTTGGGGCCACACTCAGCAATGCTCATGGATTTCTCCTGGCTCTGCACTCAGGAATCACTTCTGGCGGGCTTGAGGGCTCATACGGGATAACGGAGATTGAGCCTGGATCAGCCATATGTGAGGAAAATAACCTACCCACTGTACTATCTCTCCAGTCCCTCAGCTGGTAATTTTTTTATTTAAATTCAAATACGTAACGTTCATTATACAATTCTGCTTTTGCAACTATTTGAAATCTTCAGAGAAATAATATGACAGCAAATAATCTGAACAGAGTCTAGTTACAATACTTAAAAACAGAGGAGTAGGGGCCAAGCAGAGGCAAAGCTATTCCTATGGGAACCAAATGGATTTCGTTCCCTGCATTTATCCCACCCAGCACCATCCAGCACTGGGAGTGGCCCCTAAGTACCAACCCAGGAGGAGTACTTGAGCACCTCTGAGAGTAGCTCAAAACCAAACACGCAAATCTAAACTAAAAAACATAAAAAAAGTCAATGCTTCACCTAAATGCAGAAAAGCAATAACATTTGAAGTATTTTATCAGCTTATTTAGTGATTTCTGTGGCAAACTCAATAGTAAACACGTAAAGTTCTATTGGTTTGTTTTGTGGTGCTTAGAGATGAACTCAGGGTGTCACACATACAAGGCATGTGGCTCTTCTACCACTGAGCCACCTAGCAAAGGTTCTAATACCAAGTTTCTCATATAGAAAATTTACTTTTACTAATACCAATGAATTTTATATCATTTTACAATTCACCAATCTAACATCTGCCTTAATTTTTTTTCTAGTATTTTCCATGTCCCCATTCCATCAAAAGATAGAGGAAATTTCAGCAGCATATCCTGTTCCCTCTTAATGGGCACATGAACAGAACTAATAACACACTGCAACCAGTTTATAATTCTGTAAAAATTAAAAAGATAATCATGAACTCCATTTTCTTCAACTTATAACTAAGGACCCTAAGGAACTCATATTTTGACACAAGAACCTATAGAACAAACTGCTCCAAGAAATAGCAAAAGGTTAGCAGATCAAAAATAGCAAAAATAGCAGATATGGGAGAAAAAAATTCAACCGAGAGTCCAATTTATTCTACAGACATGTTTTATGTGAAACACGTAAATTTCACAAAATAAAAAAAAATAAGAGGGATCAGACAGATAGTACAGCAAAGAGGCATTTGCCTTGCATGTGGCCAACCGGAGTTCGATCCCTGGCACCCTATATGGTCCCCTAAGTCTCACCAGGAGTGATCCCTGAGTGCAAAGTCCTGAGTACCACCAGGCATGACCCCAAACAAAAATAAATAAAACACAGTAAGTTTTCTTATTTTGTTATTTTGTTTTTTGGGGACTACATTCAAGTGCACTCAGGCATTACTCCCAGCTCTGTGTGAGAGAATCACTCCAGATGGTGCTGGGGGAACATACACAGTGAAAGGATCAAACTGGGGTCAGAAGCATGCAAGGCAAGGTCTTAACCACTATAACTATCTCTCTGGCCCATTTTTCTTTTTAAAATCCAGATTTCACAGTCAGGAAGGGGTATAGCAGGTAAAGTGCTTGCCTTGCATGCAGCTGACTTGGTATGATCCCTGGCATCCCATATAGTCGCCCAAGCAGCTCCAGGAGTGATTCCTCAAGACAGAGGCAGGTGTGGCCACAAGAGACTAACAAAAAAAATCCAGATTTCTAGGCAGAGGTATGCTTTGCATGCAGAAGGAGCCAAATGGAACCACCTGGCCCCAAGCACTGTAGGGGAAAACCCCCAAGCAATGACGCCATTTAAAATGTTACTTTAAAAGTTAAATTTGGGGCTGGAGGAATAGCACAGTGGGTAGGGCGTTTGCCTTACACACGGCTGATCCAGGTTCGATTCCCAGCATCCCATATGGTCCCCTGAGCACCACCTGGAGTAATCCTGAGTGCATGAGCCAGGAGTAGCCCCTGTGCATTGCCAGGTGTGACCCAAAAACCAAAAAAAAAAAAAAAAAAGTTAAATTTGGTTATAATAGTTCACAAGGTAACAATCAACCAGTTTGAAAGGTTATGCCTTAAAGTACACTTCACTATCAATACGTGTTTCGCACCTTGCTTGCTTAACTTATTCACAGTATCTGCCTAGCCTGATTTTAGAATTTCAACAACTACTGCTAATATTTTCATACTAAATGACTCATGCAAGAAACAAATGACAATTCTACTCTCTCAGCCACCAGATGGCAAAGTTTAACCACCAAAGTGTCAGGCTGAGGTCATACTCATCCGCAAAGCATTACAGCATTCATGACAAAGCAAAAATAATGGTTCAGACAGGTAGGGAGAAGAGGAAAAGGCCCAAGAGCAGGAGAATCTCAGATGAAATAAGGCCTTAGCTTAGCTCTCCTGTTAAAAACTGCATTTCTTCAGCAACAGCAACAAGCAATGTCTCTTCAACCAAAGGGGAAAAGAAGTCATGTCCACATGAACAAGAGAGACAAACAGAAAACACCTTTAAAGTCATTATTCTAAGAATAGCAAAAGTTTTATTGGACTTATATAAGAAAGCCTAGATTCAACACATTATCAAATCCTTCATGCTAGAGTTTCAAGTCCTTCTCTTAACAAATCATCTTTCCCTCATTACCAGTGAGTGGCTATACATATTAAAACTCCTCTAAATAGCAACCATCTCCAGTTACCTGGCAACAGCCTCAGCAACAGCAGCAGATCCACTTTTTCTTTCACCAATTGTAGGCTCTGAAAAAAAACATAAGCAGAGAAAGAAAATTTGGTATCATATCTTAAAATCTGTCCTACCAGTATTTGCAACAAATAAAAATGGATAAAATAAGCAAACAGAAAAATTCTTACATAATTCAATGATACACATTTTTCTCACTTCCACAAATCAATTTCATTTTAAACTTCCTGTAGACTAAGCAGTTTTCCAGAAAATAATAAAAATTTCCAATCACTGAATGACTAAGCAGTAACATTTAAAAATAAAAGTGAATCTTCTCTTGAATCTCAATTTCACTCTTCTCATAGAACTAAAAATAGCAAATAGGAAGAAATTTTTTTTGTTTCCTCATTTATAAAACAGATATAAAACAAGGGCTGGAGAGATTAAGTACAGTGGGTACGGTGGAGGCCTTGCATGTAACTGACCCAGGTTTGGTCCCTGAATCCATATGGCTCCACAAACACCGTCAGGAGTAATCCCTGAATATAGAGCCAGGAATAAGCCCTAAGCACTGCTAGGTGAATCCAAAAACAAACATGATAATATTTATTTATTGTGGTGGGAGGAAGATGAGCCACATATAACTGGTTCTGTGAGCAGAAGTGATCCATGCCAGTACTCAGGGCGTATGAGATGCCAGGAATTTGAACCAGAGTGGCACCTCATTTAGTCTCCTGAGAACTGCCAAGACTAATTCCTAAGCACAGAGTCAGGAGGAAGCCCTGAGCACAGCACGGTATGGCTCACACCAAAAAAATTTAAAAAAACTTGGGCTGGAGAAATAGTACAGCAGGTAGGGCATGTACTGCCTTATATGGGGCCAACCTGAGTCTAATCCCTGGCATCCCATATAGTCCCCTGAGCCCTGCCAGAAAAGATCACTGAGCACAAAACCAGGAGTGATCCCTGAGCTCAAAGCCAAGAGTAAGCCCTAGGCACAGCAGAGTGTGGCAAAAAAAAAGGGGGGGGGAGTTTGCCATAGAATAGGAAACATGTATATATCTGTTTTTAAATATTCAGATTATCCTCTTAGATAATATGATTATTCCAATGTCAAATTATTTTAGTTTCTCCAATTGTATGATGTCAAAGGCCTTTCAGAATCTGATTTTGGGCCTGAGCAATATCACAGTAGGTAGGTCATTTGCCTTGCACACAAGTACACAAACAAGATTGACCCCAGTACAATCCCCAGCATCTCATATGGTCCCTAGACCCGCCAGGAGTGGATTCCCTGAGCAAAGAGCCAGGAGTAAACCCTGAGCACCACTGAGTGTGGACCAAAAACCAAAACAAACAGAACCTGGTCTCTACTTTGCAGTAGCTACTGCCGTGTATCTTCTCTATATTGGCCACATCAAACTGTTCTCAATGTGGGAAAAACAAATATACAATGTGAAATCCACAATGCTATATTTTCTACTCTCTTCAGAGCTATTTCTGAATACAGAAATCAAGTACTGTACATAGACAGACATAGGTTTAATACAGAGATCTACGTAGCACAATTACTAAGAAGAGATCATAAAGCATCTTTAGCAACATTCCACTGACTGGTCAAAAGCAAAAAATTAAATCTGTAAAAACAATTTATAAATACATTAGTAATTACTAAATCTCAATTATTATTATTAGACCAAAAACAACACTTCCCAGATAATCTGGAGTTATTCATTAATATCCAAGACTTGCATAAAATAAAACTTACTTTCCAGGCTAAACTGCAAAGATTCTTCACTTGCCTCAGTTTCAGGACTAACCAGTTTCATTCTTAGACACAACTTATCTGTTTCTGGGGTAGTCCCAGAATCTCCTTTTTCATTCCCAAGTATGGGATCATTTGTCTCCACCATGCTTTCAGACATCACTTCACTGGTTGCTACAGTGCCTTCTGGATAATTGCTAATACCTGAAAGAAGGGAGGCGTGAGGAAGAAAGAAACTAAAATATAAACATGAAAAACAAAATCATTTGCCTGTTTGGCTCCAGAGCTCTGCAGGAATGAGAGGAGTTCCTAGGATAGATCCTGTTACAAGTATCAACATCTACACAATAGTATTGACACCTGGTCTTAAGAGGAGCAACAGGATTCAGTTCCACTTCTGCATCTGGACAAAGGATGCTGCATGAGCCCTCAGCCAACCCACATCTGCCAGCATCAGGCATAGGTAGCAGGAGACTCCAGATGACATGACCGTTACCTCCCAGCACTGACTAGAGAAAACAAATAGATTAATGTAGCTGACTACCAGCTGCTTCCGGAATGGAGGAACTAAGCTTTCTTGCCCTGTCAAGCAGCAGACTGGTTAGCCAGAGAACTGAATACATAATACTACTTCTATATTAACTTTTGTCTCTTCTTTATAATATAGCTTTTTGTCACTACTTAGCACTTGAGCCCCAGTGTCTTGTGGAGTTGGGGAATATTTCAGTGAAAGAGAACATGCTTGGCATCTGAGGCCCAGGTTCAATCCCTAGAAAAATCCCTTTTGTTTTATAGGGACAAAAACAAGAACAGATTCTTCTGCAAATAGTGGGATCCATATATATTTTCTTTCTTCCTTTCACCCTTTCTTTCTTTTCATCATCGCTCAAGTCCTCCTAGGAGTAAATTCAGAATCAGACACCAAGGCCTTATTCTTCCTAATGCAAAATTAAGCCTTATCAGGCAAACTCAAGTCCACAAATCTAAAAGATTGGTATGCACAAAGGATGGTACCTCAGGAATTCAGCTTTAAATATCATTACGTTTCAGTTACTCACCTATAGGAGTACTGTGTCTCTTGGGCTCCAATTTTAAGTGCCCAATAAGAGGTGGAGTTGCACCCGTCAATGGTGGAATAATATCACCTTCTTTAGGTAAAGTGAAATGAAATGGAGTTTCTGAAAAAGATAAAAAGGAAACAAAAACAGATGTACATTTAAAAAATTAAGTGTAAAACTATTTCGATTATTCTTTTTCTTTGCTCCTAAATTTGCCTCATTCCAAACCTCCCTCCCCAGGCCTCCCAATCAACTTTCTATTTTTTCTTTTCCTTTCTTCTTAAATTTTCATTTGGGGGCCACCCCAAACAAAGACGTGGCAATGCTCAGGTCTTAATCCTAGCTGTGCTCAGGGATCATTTCCTTGTGGGGCTTGGGGGACTCTAAGTATTTCCTGTGATCAAATCTGGGTCTGTAGTGTGCAAAGGAACTGCCTTACCTGCTATCTCTCTGGCCCTGCCCCTCTATTTTCTTTACCTTAAAAAAATAAAATAGGGGCTGAAGCAATAGCACAGCAGGTAGGGCGTTTGCCTTGCACGAAGCTGACCTAGGTTCGATTCTTAGCATCCCATATGGTCCCCCTAGCACCGCCAGAGTAATTCCTGAGTGCATGAACCAGGAGTAACTCCTATCCATCACCGGGTGTGACCCAAAAAGCAAAATAAATAAATAAAATAAAAACAGTGCTAAAGAGGCACCTGCTCAGACCTCGGGTAAATGCTCAGGGTCCTGAAGTACTGGTGGATGTGGCCCAAAAACAAATAAACAGTTTAAGTATCTCTTTAAAAAAAAATTAGTACTTACAACCACTGGACAGGCAAAGAGAAAGCCCGAAATCTGGAGGTCATGAGGCACATGAGGTTAAAAGGAATAAGGACCAAAATCTACTAAGGGACAATGCCTCCAAATAGAAACTTGAATAGTTTCAAGCTTAGGCAATTTAATTTTATGTAATGCTAACTGAAAGAGTTCATTTATAAGCTTTAGCAGTCCACAGATTTCTTCAGATTAAAATGTCTAATGTTGGGGACAAAGCAATAATACAGTGGGCAGGGTGCTTGCCTTGCAAAAAAAAAAAAAAAAAAACGGCTGGGGAGAGGGGGCCAGAATGATAGTATAGCAGGTAGGGCTTTTGCCTTGCACACACCCTTACCTGCATTCAATTCCTAGCTAGCATCCAATAGGGTCCCCCAAGCACTGCCAGAGTAATTCCTGAGTGCAAAGCTAAAAGTAACCCCTGAGCATTGCTGGGTGTGACCCAAAAAGAAAAAAATAATATGGCTGTGGAGGGATGGCAGCTGGAGAGATAGTAGAGTGGGTAGCATTTGCCTTGCATGTGGTCAACATTGGTTCAATTCAATTCCCATATGGTCCCTGAAGACTTGCCAAGAGTGATCCCTGAGCGCACAGCCAGGAGTAAGCCCTGACCACCGCTGTTTGGGCTGGCAACATAGTACAGCAAGTAAGTGCTTGCCCTGTATGCAGCCAACCTTGTATCCAGCCAACTCCCACCACCCCATATGGTTCATGGAACCCCACCAGGAGTGATCCCTAAGCACAGACCTAAAAGTAAGCCCTGAGCACCACCAGGTGGCCTAAACAAAAATAAATAAATTTTTTAAAATGAAAATTTAAATATGTTAATATCTAGAACTTACAATCTATGCAAACAGCTGACAAAGGATCAAGGACTAAACCTATGGTTTAGCAGTACTGATCAGCATTCACTCTAAGTCTTAGAAGTACTGTTCTATCTCAATCTCTGCACAATGGTATAAGCTTCACCCTTTTTTTTTTAGAATTTTTTTTAAATTTTTGGGCCACAGCCAGCTGTACTCAGGGGTTACTCCTAGCTCTGCACTCAGGAACCACTCCTGGCAGGGCTTGAACTTGGGTAGGTGGCATAGAAGGCAAACATCTCTACCTGCTGTACTACTCTCCAGCCCCTAAGCCTCACACTTAAATAAGTATCCCCCAGTGTATACATTTTGTTTAGTCACTATTGACAGAAATATGAAACCTTCATCAAAACATAAAACATTTTTTTAGTCTTCATTGTATTTAACTGCAGTTTATTTTTTCCTCCAGAGTTTAACCTCACTCCAATTTATCTCTCAGAGATGAAGAGGCAGGGCCAATGTATGGAGGCCTGATTTTCATCTTTAAAGGTAGATTCAGTATGATTTCGAACAAGTTTCAACTTTTTTCTTTCAGAGAGAAAGCTCAAAGGGCTATAGTTCATGCTGTATATGTGGGAATCCCAGACTCAATCTCTGGCACCCACAGGGTCCACCAAGCACTACCAAGTGTAGTTCCCAAGAACCGTGCAGGAAGTAGTTCCTGAGCACTGGAGTGACCGACCGGCACCTCCCCAAAACAGAGAAAATATGAACTTTTAGAAATGGAAGAAAATGAACTTTATTGAATATAACTGAAAGGAGTGTGACAGAGAGGTAGTACAGCAAGAAGGTTGCTTGTTTTGCATGAAGATGACCCAGGTTCGATCGCTAGCAACCAATGTGGTCCCCCAAGCCTTGCCAGAAGTGATTCCCTGAGCACAGAGCGAGGAGGAAGCCCTAAGCATTGCACAGCTTGACCTAAACACAAGAGAAGGAAGGAAGGAAGGAAGGAAGGAAGGAAGGAAGGAAGGAAGGAAGGAACTTAAAAAACACCTCACAAAGCCTCACACATTTCAAAGACAAATTTTAAAGAAATTTCACTTCTGGATAAACACCTATGCACAATAATCTCAACAGAAACTATGTTTCATATTAAATTAAGCATATTTTTGAATGTCTATATTGTAAAATTAGACAGAAGTCCTACTTAAATGAGGTTGAGAAGATAACCAAGAGTACCCAGGAAATGGAAAAAGGGACCACTTAAGTGAATGATGATTGGAGGGATGGATCAGGATGGGAGATGTGTGCTGAAAGTAGACTAAGGACCAAACACGATGGCCTCTCAGTATCTGTATTGCAAACCATGATGCCCAAAAGTAGAGAGAGAATAAGAAGGAGGTGCCTGTTACAGAGGCAGGGGGTGGGTTGGGGTGGGGGTGGTAGGAGGAATACTGAGCAGTGGCATTTTCCACATTGGCAGTGGAAAATGCAGTGGAGGATGGGTGTTCGATCATTGTATGACTGAAACTCTATCATGAAAGCTTTGTAACTGTATCTCACAATGATTTTTTTTTTAAAGGGAGGGGGGGTTCCTAGGAATGTGCCATCAGCAAATCACAAGGCCCAACATGCCTTGTCCCTCCAAAGGAAAGTGATGCTGCTTCTCCAGACCCAGAATGGAAGAGGGGAAGTTCCAGCCTCTCCAAAACTGGCATTTGATCTGGCTAAGTGCACAGGTCTCTCTTCATGAAACTACATCTCCAAATTGCCTTGTTTCCAAATAAAATTTGTTGGTAAAGTTACTCCTCTCTCCCCCCAAAACAAAAACCAGTGACGAGCGGAGTTTGGGGGTTGTTCCAGGGGAGTGTTTAAGGGATCATGCAATGCTCAGGAACAAACCCAGGGTTTCTGCATGCAAAGCATGCAGTCTAGCCCTTTGAACTATTTTTCGAGCCCCCAAAAACTGGCTGGTTTTTTGTTTGCTTGTTTGTATGAGTAGAACAGTATGAAATCTTTAGTTCATTTTATCTAACAAACCACAATATAAAAAGAAAGCATTAATTAATTAGTTCCTTCTCTTTGTCAGTACTAGACACAATTTAAGAAAAGTTACATTTCCCCAGAGAAACAGATCAGAGAGTTAAGTCTGTGCCTTGAACTCAGCTGACCCTGGTTGGATGCCCCATACTACTTAAGATCCTCTGAGCACTGCCAGGAGTTCTTCCAGAGCAGAGGCAGGAATAAACCCCAAGTTAACTCAAGGTATGGTCTAAAAACAACAAAAGTTACAATTAGCACCAATGATCCAACACAACATGGCAAGCTAATGGAAAAAACTTCAATGCCTCATTCTTGATTACAAAAGTCTGTCAACTACTTTCTCTGAGTTTTCCCCAACCACCAATTCCTTCTGCATAATGCAAAACATATTTCCTATAAAAAAAGGACATTGAACTCTTGGACAAATACATGAAGAGTTTCACCAGAAGATAAATTCCTAAACTCTTTAGTAAGCATTTAATAATTAAGAGCTGCTACATTTCTACTCTTCAATTGTTCATGTTCATAAAACTTTTATTCAATGTACTACAAACACTTTTCTATTTCTCTGCTTCTAACTAATCATCTGAAAAACACACTGATCTAGTTTAAGGCTGCCCAATTCTGCAAATTAAAAACCTTTTAAATTTACTGATATTTTCCAAAAGGCCAATTCTTTCTCTAACAGCAATAAACACTCGCACTCTAATAAATATACTTTAAATATAAATTATATTAACAACTAAACCTATGAAAAACTGATTTTTCATAACTTTATTTGTTTGGGGGGCATAGCCAGCTGTGCAATGGGTTACGCTGGCTCTACACTCAAGGTTCACTCCTGACAGTGCTCAGGGAACCACACGGGATGCCTGGGATCAAACTGGGTCAGCAACATGCAAAGAAAATACCCTGTTCACTCTACTATCGCTCGGGCCCCTCTGTAATTTTTCTTTTCAAATCACTTCTTAAAAAGCTGTTAAGTATGCAATTTTCTATGTTATTTGTAAGTCATTCTTATAAAGACAGGTTTTTTTTGTCTGATGACAAAGAGCAATTAGGTTGATTACTTTTGCAATGATTCTTTTGAACCTCTACGTAAAAAAAAAAAAATCCTCTTGAGATTAAGAAACCTCAGTTCTGTATTTCTTAGGTAAATTTTTTTATAATTTCTTTTCCAGCAGGTAGACCCAGATGTATGTATTCAAAAATCATGTGATTTTCTTACATGAGCATGCCATGAAATCAGTGAAGAATGAGATAGCAATTCTTGTGATCTCAAAGAAAGAATACATTATATTTAAGAGTCACTCGTTGTCAGGGAACCTGATTAACAGAATATGTGGCCTGATTAAAATACCCTGTTGGCAGACTTCATCTGCTACCTATCATTCCCTTACATTATCTAAATTACCAATTCCCTTTCTGCTTCCCAGATTATCATGGGCTGTTCTGTTAATCCTGCACACCAACCCAAGAGGAAATATATGAATGTACAAAACGAAATGTTATCACTGTCAAAAGAGCTGAGTGGGAAATTTGTCCTTATTCTCTATAAATTCTAAGCAGGACACATAGTAGAGTTGGTAGGGTGTTTGCCTTGCATTTAGTTGAGGCAGCCTCAATCTCTAACACGCCATAGGGTTCCCCCCACAAGCCTTCGGGGAATGATCCCTGACCTCAGAGCCAGGAGTAAGCCTGAGCACCAGATATGATCCAAAACTGAAAATAAAAATTCTAAGGAACCAGGAGACTTCATTAGCCCAAAGCAATATTTAAAACCTAGTTTCAAGAGATTTTTCTTAATTCTAATTTTCGGTTACAATCTAAAGGTTACTCTACTCCTTTTGTTCTCAAGAGAAAAGTCACTTGTTGCAACTGGTTGCCATCTGATCAAGATAAAGCACTTGCCTTGTAAAAGCAGTCAACCTGGGTTAGGTCCCTGGCACCACATACAGTCCTCAAGCACCACAAGGATTGATCCCTGAGCAAAGTCAGGAATAAGCCCTAAAAACAGTCAGAAGTATACTCGGTCTAAAAATAACAATTACCATAACTTCTAGGGCCTGAAAGAGCTCAGGGGTTAAGTAGCTTGCCTTGAACCCAGCTGGCACAAGTTCAAATCCCTAGCACCACAAAGGGTCCTCCAAACACAGCCAAGCACTGAACCAGGAATAACCACTCAGCATCACAGGGTGTTGGCCAAAATGACCCCTTCCCACAAAAAGAATTTCTAAATTGCACGACACCATGCATAAACAGTCTAAGAATGTCCCTGACATTAAGGGCCAGTTAAAATGAGATTCTATAAAATAAGCCAAAGAAGGTTAGCGCTATAGTACAAAAACATATATAGCTTTCCCAATAATTATGTAAACACCATTTCAAAGTACCATTGGTGAACTTAAAGACTTACTGAACCTGTTACAATTTTTCATATCTTTTAATCACCATAAATATACTTATACTAAATAGGTTTATGTTTCCAAGTATTACCTGTATGGTTTTATTTTCATGTGTCAAAGTTTCCATAAACAAATATCTAAAGAAGTCCCTAAACTATTAACAGTGACAAACTCCAAATGGAGAAATTTACAGTGATTCTCTCCCTTTCTTCCCCACTTCCCTCCCATTTCCATTTCCTAATTGTTTGAACACTTCACAACATGAGTTGTTTTCATCAATGATGCTATTAACATAAAACATCCTAACTTTGGCAGAGAGAAATCTAAAAAAAAAACCTGGGGTTCACCCAATTCACATTATTCATTTTGTCCTTAAAAATGAAAGAACCAAAAGAACTATTAAAGTCTTATGTTATTCTCATTTAAATTAGTCTCCCCTAAGATTTAACAACTATGTATGTTAAGCATAAATTTTTTTGTACTCTAAAAATACTCTTGTGAATGATTTACTTTATTTTAGACTAATTACCTAACAGTAAAAAAGGTATCACTTTTTCAAGTTATTTACAACTAAAATTATCTCATTTTAACCTCTTATAAATAAATTTTTCCAATCAAAAAAAAAAAACAGGACCAGAGAGATCAAACAGCGGGAAGGGAATTTGTCTTGCATGCAGTAGACCTGGGTTTGATCCCCAGCACCCAATATGATTCCCTTAGGACCACCATGAGTGAACCTTGAACACAGTCTGGAATAAGCCCGAGCACCACAAGATGTGGCCCAAAAATCAAGAAAAAGGGAAAAAGAGGGGCAGAAGTGAGTAGGGTTTTTGCCTCGTACTCTGCTGACCCAGGTTCAAGCCCCAGTACTCTACATGGTCCCTCCCCCCTCAGCACTGACAGGAGTGATCCCTAAGCACAGAGCCAGGAATAAGCCCTGAGCACTGCCAGGTGTGGCCAAAAAAAAAGGAAAGAAAAAAATAACAATTTAATTTCTTTTAATATTTGAGTTACTACTGGCTATTTATATACATAAATCTAAATTAATGTTCAGGCTTGACTTAAGCATGCAGTTCTCTTACCTTCTGTACAAAATTACAATCTGGTGGGAAACATAATTTACACCACTTACCACTAGAGCTTTCACAGAAGCTTTGTGAGGCATGAGCGGAAGCCTTCTCCAGTTGTTGGGCCTCTACGCCTGTGCCCAGCTGGTTTGCGTTAGCCATTTTTGAATCTTCTTTTAAGGAGACTCTTTTATCTTGAGGCTGAATCTGCTGCATCTCCTCAATAGGTCTCGGAGCATCATCTGCTTTCATGTCAGTTAAGAGAGGCTGTGGAGAGTCTGCCTCAATAAGTTCCTTTTTTTCGGTCACTGATTTCAAATCTCTTTCACTGTCTGCACTCTTCTCCTCTTGGGTATCAGACCTATTCTCAGCACATGGTTCAATTTCAGGAGCATCATCCTCCCATGACTGGGAATCTGAGCATTTCTCTACTCCTTCTAAAGGTTCACAGGAAACATCAACTCTTGGAGATGGTTCTTTCACATCTACAATGACAACACTTGAGTCCTCTGAAGTGGCTTCTTCCCAAGCTTCCTGATCCTTGTGTTCCAATTCTTGGTCAAGTACTGGGAGTTTTGGAGGGGAGTCAATACTAATCACACTGGTTTCAACTTCCATCGCTTCCTGGCATTCTTGTTTGGCAATTTCCTTTGAAAGACACAATCCTTGGGACTGGGTCTCAGTAAGAGAAAGATGCAATGGGTCACTCTCCATATTTTCCTCTTTAGGCTCCTCTTCTTGACTTTCACAAGGGGTCTCAGGGATTTCTTCTACATCAGATCCTGTCGACCCCTCCTCTGGATGAGGGTCTTTCATTTCCATAGCTTCTTCCTGATCTAACACACTAGAGAGTGCTTCAGATCGAGTAGCTGGAGAAGGAACTGCCTGACTCCCCGAATCACATGTGAGATCTATACAAACATCTTCTGCTACACTATCTTCTCTGCCTTTGCAATCAGTGGTTAAAATGCTGTCATCTCTGGTTTCAATGTCATCTCTGGTTTCTATGTCATCTCTGGCTTCTATGTCATCTCCCTTTGCTCTGTCATCATTCTGACTCAGTTCTATTTGTTCATCTTGTACTGGATTCATTATTATATTATTATTTTCAGCAGGAACAGGCTTAGAATTAAGAACAGGAGACATAGGTTCTGTATCTTCAATCTGTGTGTTTTCTCCATCTTCATCAATTCTATGAGAGCTCAAGCTCTCCATCTTTGGGGACTGACTATACTCACTCGCAGAGAGCATCAATTTACAAGAATCCCCTGTCAGAGATAGCCCAATATCTTCAGTGGAATTCTTTGGTTCAATTTCTGAAGTTTTAGAACACTCAACAGTCAAAGAGGAAGTATGCAAATCCCCACTTTTCTTCCCATCATTTGATCGTTCTTCTAAACTTGGAGACGGAATGAAAATGTCCTAAGAAAGAACAAAAGGAGTCAAATCATCATCTATTCATAATCCTATTTATTTTACGATAATAATTAATTAATTGGTTTCAAAATAATTTTTTTTGACTTTTTGGCCTATACCCAGCAATGCTTGGGGTTTATTCTCTGCACTCAGGAACTATTCCTGGCTGTGCATGGGGATGATATAGGATACCGGGGATTGAATTCTGGTTAGGTGCATGGAAGGCAAATGCCCTACCCACTGTACTATTGCTCCAGCCCCTCTAAATCAATTATTAAAGAATAAAGACCTCTAAGGTCATGCACTCACCAAGATAAAGCTTATGATTGCACCAGACATTTTGTTATTATTTTGATCTGGTTTTGGTTTGGGGCCATAACTGGCAGTGTTCAGTGATTACATCCAACTCAATGATGCTCAAGGGTCACTCTCTGGTACTCGGGGATCATCCTTAGCCAGATGGATCACATGCTGGAGCCAGGGATCAAACCCAGGACTCCAGCATGTAAAGCACGCATTCCTAACCTTTGAGTATCTCCCTGGTGCTCAGGAGAGATATAACTTTGAGGTGCTCCTTGTTACTCAGATTACTCAACTTTTGTTCCTGGCAGACAGTGCTCGAGGGATCACATGTATGCATAAAGCCCGATCCAGTATCAATCCCTGGCATCCTATATGGTGCCCAAAGCACCACCAGGAATCATCCCAAGTGTAGAGCCAGGAGTAAGCCCTGAGCACCGCTGGTACGGACCCAAAACCAAAACAAATAAATAAAAATTTAAAAAAATAAAAAGTTAAAGGGCCAGAGAAATAGGACAGTGGCTAAAGCACTTGTCTTGCATCCTGCTGACTTGGGTTTGAATCCTTGTACTATATAAATGGTTCCCTAGCACCACCGGGGGTCACTTCTGAGCACAGAGCCCCTGCATAATGCTGGGTGTGACACAAACTACCACCCCTCCCCCCAATAATAACAACAACAAAAGAACAAATATTGAAAAAAGAAAGAAAGAACAGGGCCAGGGAGACAGTTCAAAGGGCTGGAGGGCACGTCTTGTGTAAGAGCCCTGGCTTAGAATTCCAGCTCTGCATGCTCCCCTGAGTTCCTAACCAAGAGTACAGGACCCCAAGCATCACTAAGTGATTTTTTTTAATAGAAAGAAAAAGAAAAAATAGAACAAAAGATAAACCAACAAAATTTTAGAAGAATGATAATATATTTAGCAGACAAGAGAAAGCTGAATTTCTAAGCTAGTAGTAGAAAAAGCCAAGAAGCATCCCAAATTACATCACAGAACCACCATATCCCAAAAATGATTCAGGAGTTGGCAGCAGAGACAGGTAACTCTGGAAGTGACAATTGTGGGCATAATTGAAAACAAAATAGGTTGAAAGTTCAATTCTCAACTCCTCTCTCCCTGATCCTCCTCCAACTTAGATAATGAAACAGTGTCCAAGAAACTGGACAACAGTATGCATCTATAAGTACCTGGGTCAGAGAGAGAGCACAGTGGGTAAGGGTGCTTTCCTGGCATGCTACCATTGTGGGATGGATCCCTGGCATCCCTAAACTGCCAAAAGTAATTGCTTAGTGCAAAGCCAGGAGTAATCCCTGAGCATTGTCAGGTGTGGCCCAGAAACAAAAAAAGTACCACAGCCAGAGAGATGGAATAGAGGTTAAGGCACTAGCTTGTATGCAGTTATCCCCTCCTCACCAAAAATGGTTTCCTGAACAATCTCAGGCGTGACTCCTGAGCACAGAGTCAGGAATAAGTCCTAAGCACTACCAAGTGTGCACCCCCCCCAAAAAAAAAGTAACAAACTGGAGACCGAAGCAACAGTACAGTGGGTAGGGTGTCTGCCTTATGCAGTCAACCCGGGATCAATTCCTGGCATCCTGTATGGTCCCCCCGAGCACTGCCAGAAGTAATTTCTGAGTGCAGAGCCAGAAGTAATCCCTGAATATCCCCGGGTATGACCCAAAAGCCAAAAAAAAAAAAAAAGTAACACACTAAAAACAAAGAAACTAAATAAAATGTAAATTGTACATATTGGATGGATTCTGCACCTGACTCCCAACAAATCCCAGTCTTCTTCCATCAATAAATTTCGAGAACAATGACAGCAAATAGAAGAGTAGGCTTTTTATGAGGAATCTGACCTAGCCAGAACAAATCAAGAAACTGATAGTAGAAGATGCCTAACAAAATGGCCCAGCAGGGAGTCAAAGCGATAGTACAGCAGGCAGAGCATTTGCCTTGCATGCAACAGATCAGGGTTTGATCCCTGGCACCCCTTATAGTCCCCTAAGCACCGCCAGCGGTAATTCCCTGGCAGAGCCAGGAATAACCCCTGAGCTTTGCCAGGTGTGACCCAAAAAGGAAGAAAAAAAATGGCCCACTAGATCACATTACATTATATTTCAGAAATAAGCACCAACTACCCAGAACTTCTAATCATGATGGCTTACTGAGCTAGAGTGTGCTTAGCATGCACATGGCACAGAGTTTAATTGCCAATACCAACTAGCTCCAGAGCAACACCATGAATAACCCTGAGAGCTCCCAGCCCCTCTGGAACCCCCTCCTTTAAAAGAGAAGGAAATTCAGAACTTTTAACTCGTTTTCCACATTTCACTTTTCTTAAATCAAGACAAGCAGCATTATCAAATATTTGGGAGTCTTTAATTTGAAAATCAAATTTGAAAAAATTAAGAATAACTAAAATCTCCCTAAAGAAATAAGAACCATTCTAGAAAAACTTCCTTTTATAACCTATTATTGGGAGAGATAACAGGCTGAGGGAATACATTATATGCAGGAGGCCCAAACTCAATCCCTGGCAAAATAATCCTTCAGTCACTGCTGGGAACAACCAGGGCACTGAGTCAGGAGTAGCAGCTGAACTCTGCCAGATGTAGCACAAAAACCTAAAAAACAATTAATGGACTGGGGAAATAGTACAGGGGTGAGAGTACATGTCTTGTCTGCGTGGGACCCTGGTTTGGTAAGACACTGAATGCCCCCCTCCTCCAATCCACACTACCACATCCTTGGGACACAGCAGTCACTCATTCTACCTGAGTGACAGGTAGAGAATCCTGAGCACTGCTTGGGAGGACCCCTGCCCTAAAGAAAAACTATCACCCTGCTATGTTTTGCTTTTGGAACACACTCAGCGGTGTTGGAGGCCACTCCCTACTCTGTGCTCCGGGGTTGCTCCCAACAATGCATGGGGAACCATGCAATCCAAGAGATGAATTAGGGCCTCCCACATACAAAGCATACACTCTTCCACGGAGCTATTTTTATAAGCCTACTATTAACATCTTTAGGAAAATAATATACCTAAAATAGACCCACAAAATAAGACAAGACATTCATTTTTTTTAAAAAAGACAGAAAATACCCCCTAAAAAAATTATAGCCAGAGTGATCCCAGAGCACAGCCAGGTGTGTTCCAAAAACCAGGGGACCCGGGGGTTGGGGGGGAGCGCGGGGGGGGGGGGGGGGGCAAGGGTAGTATTGCACTTGCCTAGCACATGGCCAACCAGGGTTTTATCCCAAGGATTTTCCAAGCCCTCCAGGAGTGATCCCAAAGTGCAGAGCCAAGTGTAAGGTCTGAGCACATCTGAATGTGGCCGAAAAACCAAACAACAACCAAAAAAAGTAGATCTTACAAGTTTCCCTGTGATGAGTGGTGATGCGTGCTGATAATAAACTAGATACACTAATCACTCAGTTACATGTACAAATATAAAATCATTTATACATATATATGTATAGATATATATAAATTCACTCAATGTTTTTAAAAAGAAAAAGCTTGAAGAACTGAAAGTGGCTATGGGTAGAAGCAAAGAGATTTTGTTTAATTATCTTAACTTCTTTTCTCTTTTACAAATATTTTAAGTAAAATCAAATGGTTATCATAAAAACTATGTAAAAGTATTCTTCGGGGAATTTTTAGGTAGCATGGAATGTACTAGCTGAGCCATCTAAAGACATGAAACCAAAGACATCTGATTAATCACCTTAGGTTTCAGGAACTTCTAAACTATGTTCAGCATCTCTCATTTGTCTCAAATTGTCACTGCTGGTTTTACAGCTGTCTCTGAATAGCTTTAGTAAATGCTGAAAGTGAATCTATTTTTTTCGATGGTGCCTTATTTTCAGAAGTTCTCCCTTTATGGCCAGGCAGCACTTCCTGGACTGGGAGGAGTATCTTTGCAAGATAATCATCACCATAAAAGTACTGTTTGTTCTCAATAATATCATGTATCTTTGATTTAAAAAATTCTTCTTAATGCTTTGGGTCAGTGCTTAGCTTATTCCTAAATTATGATGACTCTTTTAAACTATATATATATATATATATATACTCATGCATAAGTCTGATTAAGAAATAAAAGCTAAAGAAATACAATGGTTGTACATTTACTCCATATTTATTCTTCCATTGCTAGCAACAGCTGGCCCTTAGCAGGTTTACCACGTGTAAGGCACTATTCTAGGCACTTTATATACATATTATAACCTTCGAAACTATCCTACAAAGTAATACCAATATCTCCATTTGATTGATAAACTAAGACTCCTTTTCAAATCCTCACAACAGAAATAATGAAAGAGCAGAAATAAATCCATTAAGTTCTTAATCAACAGCCCTTGTTCTTTTTATCTTTCAAGTCACACCTAGTAGTGCTCAGGGCTTATGCCTCAGGGATCACTCCTGGAGGGATTACAGCAAAAATCAAACCTGGGTAAAACAAGAGTAAGGCAAGCACTCTACCCATTATACTATTTCTCTAATACCTCACTGGTTCTTTTTTTATTACTTCTCAAAAGAATTTTAATAAGTAAAATATGAGTACCATTTTACAAATTACCATACAGTCTAACATTATACTAAAACTGGAATGTTAAGTAAAACTATTTTAACTACGGAACAGTTAAACAGCATGGGAAAGACCCAGGTATGATCAATACCACCTTATGGTTCCACAAACAGAGCCAAGGGAAACACCTGAACAATACACTGAGAGCAGCCCCTAAGCACCCCAGCTGTGGCCCAGAAATCAAAACGAAAATAAAACAAATATACCAAACTTACCTCTGCCCCTCTCAGAGAGCCCGGCAAGCTACCGAGAGTATCTCGCCTGCACAGGAAAGCCTGGCAAGCTACCCGTGACGTATTTGATATGCCAAACAGTAACAATTGTCTCAGTGGAGACGGTACTGGGCCCACTCGAGCAAATCGATGAACAACGGGAGAACAGTGACAGTGACCAAACTTACAAAGCAAACTGTGACAATATAAAGCTAATTATTTTTAATGATCTATGAGCATTTAGGTATGATTGGCTACCAATGATTTATAACTCTTATTCGGTTTTCTTCATTGCTTTTTAAAATTTCCTTCATTGCTCACTAAAAACTATCAGTGAGGCCAGACCAATAGTAAGTAGGGTCCTGTCTTACATGTGGATGAATAGATTCAATCCCCAGCCTCCCATAAGATTCCCCAAACCCACCAAAAGTGATCCCTGAGCAGAAAGCCAGGAGTAAACCCGAAGCATCACTGGTGTGACCCAAACCCCATCCCTCCCCCACCACCAAAACAACGAAATAGGGCCTACAAGAGAACACAGTGGATAAGGTGCTTTTCTTGCATTCAACCAAGTTTGATCCCTAGGAGCATCACTGCATGTGGTTCCTCAAGCCCCTCTAGGAGTGATCCCTGAGCACAGAGCCAGGAATAATGTACAGCAGGTATAGCCCAAAATAACAAAAAGGAGAGGAGGTGATAGGGGAGGGGAGGGGAGAGAGGAAGAAAAGGGAAAGGGGGGCCTCAAGGATTGAATCCAGATCTCCTGAATGAAAAGCACGAATTTCTATCTCTCCAGTCCAGTACTAAGTTTAAACATAACAAGTATATATATCAAGTTGTTAGATAATCTGGAAATTATCTAAAACTAGATTGGGATTATAGTTACACAACTCTATTTATTAAAATATCCCTAGTCTAAATACTTAAAACTGCTGAGTTTTATCGATCATACCTCAATAACATTATTTTTAAGAATGTGGGGATTGGCTTGTTCCCCCTGGTGGCCTGGTGGCCACAATCTTCCGCCGGCCCTTCCCTCGAGACCCCAAGTCGCCACCCACGAACAGACTCTCTGGCTCCTGATCAAGCTGCTTAACAGCCATGATCCCAGAGACTCAGAAACAAATCTCGAAACCCAGCGGCTTCTGGCAGAAATGTATCCGGACGCTGCAGTAGGTTACTGTCACCAGGCCTCCCCAGTGGGGAAAGGGTGCTGTCCCTCCACCTGCTCCCTCTTGGCGGCTCGGTGGCTGCCATCCTCCAGAGGCCACTGGACAGTCAGGTTTGGGCCCGCAGTAATGAGACACAGGGAGCCTCACAGGATGGGGTTGGAGCCAGCCCTTTCCTCCCCATCCCAGCGAGACCCTGAGTCGCCGCCCATGAACAGCCTCTCTGGCTCCTGATCAAGCCGTTTAATAGCCATAATCCCAGAGACTCAGAAACATATCTCAGAACCCAGTGGCTTTTGGCAGAAATGCGTCTGGACCCCGCAGTAGGTTACTGTCGCCAGGTCAACCCAAGGGGGAAAGGGTGCTGTCCCTCCGCCTGCTTCCTTTAGGTGGCTCGGTGGCCGCCATCCTCCAGAGGCCACTGGACAGTCAGGATTGGGCCCTCAGTGAGGAGACACATAGGGCCTCACAGAATGGGGATAGAGCCGGTTCTTTCCTCCCTGTCCCAATGAGACCCCGAGTCACCGCCCCTGAATGGCCTTTCTGCCTCCTGATCAAGCTGCTTAACAGCCATGATCCCTGAGACTCAGGAACAAATCTCGGAACCCAGCAAGTTTTGGCAGAAATCCCTCCAGATTTAAGTGTTAAAATTTCGGAATTTCAAATTCGTGCAGCCACTACTGCAGCCACGCGACATCATTATGTTATTCTTAACCAGCAATAGAAAACAAATTGTCTACTGTTGCCTTTTCAGCAGATCTGAGTGTTGGGGTAAAATCCCAAATAATAATGGTGGGTCTGGTGTCAAAATATTGAATGTGATCAAAGTAGAGAGAGAGTAATGTGGAAATCATCTGCCCCACAGGTTAGGGAAGGGTGTGGGATGAGGGGTATACTGGGGTTTTTGGTGGTGGAAAATGGGCACTGGTGAAGGTATGGGTGTTTCATTGTATGACCGAGACTTAAACCCGAACGCTTTGTAACTGCTCTCAGTGATTCAATAAATAAAATTATAAAAAATGAAAAAAAAAAGTAAAGTGGAGTTCATGCCCAATTCAATCAGCTAATCAGTGGCTGAATAAATAGCAGTACTCCTACATAAAAAAAAAAAAAAACATAATGCCCAAAAGGAGAGAGAGGAGAAGGAGGAGGAAGAGGAGGGGGAGGAGGAGGAATTGGAGGAGGAGGAGGAGAAGGAGGAGGAGGAGGAGGAGGAGGATGGAAGAAGAAAGAAAAGAAAGAAGAGGAGGAGGAGGAGAAGGAGGAGGAGGAGGAGGAGAAGAACAAGAAGGAGGAGGAGGAAGAGGAGGAGAAAAGTGGGGTGGGAGTTGGGGTGAAGGTTGATGGGAGGGAACCTGAGGATACTGGTGCTGTGAAATGTGCAATGGTGGAGGGATGGGTGTTGGAATACTGTATGACTGAAATCCAATCATATATGACTTTGGAATACTCTATCCCACAGTGATTCAATTAAAAAGTTTTTAAAAAGAGACAAATAAATAAGTAAATAAATAAATAAATAAATAAATAGAAATGTGGGGCGGTAACAGCATGGCAAGGCACTTGCTGTGCACACAGCTGACCCAGGTTCAATTCCTAGCACCTCATATGGTCTGCCAGGAGTCATTCCTGAGTACAGAGCCAGGAATGAGGCCTAAGTATTGTCAGGTGTGGCTCAAAACAAACAAAAATGTGGAGACAGACTAGAGAAAGAGATAATGCAGAGGGGAGGGTACTTGCCTTGCAAACTAGACTCGAGCATTATCAGAATTCATGAGTGCAGAACCAGGAGAAAGCCCTGAGAATCAGTGGGTGTGGCCCAAAAAAAAAAGTGAGGAGCAAAAGTATCTCCTAGAATAAATTTATATGAGAAACTTACATGAGAAAACTCAGGTTGGGTTGGGATAGGAAGTGACCCAGGAGTGAAGATTGGCGTGCTCTGAGATACTGGTGTTGAGGCTTGTGGTGAAATGGGCTCAGCTGGAAGAGGAGGATTTTCCATCTCCACTCCTGGAAACTTCTTCTGAAAAGACTCTCCTCCTTCTTCAGGTAACACTGACATATCCATCAGATCATCTACTTTAAAATGAGAAAAACAAATTGAGAAATAAGTATTCATTGCAGTACCACTGAGAACAACATTACAACAGCAGCCAGTCAGTCATAAACAAAAGTGACAATCTCCAGAGTAGCTAATAAAATTAATTAACGGCAGATTAAATTCTAAAAATGTAGCAATACTTCCCTCCCCCCCCAGAAATAGGGATAAATAGAGAGAGAGAGAGAGAAAGAGAGAGAGAGAGAGAGAGAGAGAGAAGAGACAGAGACAGAGAAAAAGAGACAGAGACAGAGAGAAAGACAGACAGAGACAGTGAGACAGTGAGACAGAGAGACAGAGAGAATGGAATGGGGTTACTTTTCTGGAGTTATCCATCCACACACATGAAATGTTACTTGACTCCTCTGAGACTCTTTTCTGAATTATACCTCAGTTTTCACCTTTTTTTTTCACCTTTTTTTTTTTCTTTTTTGTGGTGGAGTTGGTTGGGCCACACCGAGGTATGCTCAGGACTTACTCCTAATTCTGCAGTTTAGGGATTACTCCTGGAAGGCTCAGAAACCATGCAGTGTCCAGGATTGATTCATGGCTAGCATCTTAGCCTGTATGATCAGTCTGTATGATCAGACTGATAGATCAGACCTTAGTCTGTATGATCAGAATTTTTTTAGAATGGATTCAGTTTTAATTTTACAAAAGAGATCACTAAACATATGTTTATAATAAAGTTAGCCCAATTAAAAACCTATAGCTGGGGACTGGAGCCATAGCACAGCGGGTGGGGCGTTTGCCTTGTATACACCCGACCCGGGTTCAATTCCCAGCATCCCATGTGGTCCCCCAAGCACCACCAGGAGTAATTCCTGAGTGCATGAGCCAGGAGTAACCCCTGTGCATCACCAGGTGTGGCCCAAAAAGAAAAAAAAAAAAGCTTATAGCTGATCTCAAGAGAAAAGATTCAACATAACTATTCAGCAAAAAAATTCTAAGATTAAATTTTGGTATCGACAAATTATACTTGATTAACAATTCAATACTACTCTTTTTACATCTCAAAAGCTGAGGCAACAAATTATCATAGAAAGCAAATGGAGAACTGACAAGAGCATATACTCTGCAGGTCAGAGATGTAGCTCAGTGGTAGCTGAGCACTTCCCTTCCATGTGTGAGACCCTTAGATCCAATTCCCAGCAAACCCTACCCACCAAGCGCCCTGCAAAAAAAAAAAGGCTCTGAAAACAGATGCTTGAGTCAGAATCCTCCATCTCCATTTCCTTATCCTAAAAATGGAAATAAAGTACTTAATTCTTAAAACTGTGAGAATTAAAAAAAAAAGCAAGCTAGAACCCAAAAAAAAGAATTAACTAGAACCAACAACAAAAAGCACAGAGAAAAGAACTCACCTTTTCTCCCTTCTTGCTCTGTAGGACTGCTAGGGACGATAAAAGGTGTAGATTGGAAAGCATCAGGGGAAGGAGCAACAAGATCTGAAGAATTCCTTTATAGAAAGAGAGAATCACAGTTTATTTTACAAGCCAAAGTTCTGCGTTTCTGTATTTACATTTTATTCTTTTTTGGAGGGGGAAGGTTACCCTAAGTTACTCAAAAGCTGCCTTGGTTCTGTGCTCAATGTCCACTTTTTACAATGCTCAAGGGACCATAGAGTGTAGGGACAGAAGTAGGGTCAGCTGCATACAAATGCAAATCACAGGGCTGGAGCAGCAGCACAGCAGGTAGGGTATTTGCCTTGCACATGACCTACCTGCATCCCATATGGTCCCCTGAGCACCGCCAGGAATGATTCCTGAATGCAGAGCCAGGAGTGGGTGACCCCTGAGCATTGCAGGTGTGACCAAAAAAAAAAAAAAATGCAAATCACGTATTTTAACTCCTATTATCTCTTCAACCCTATTTTTACTCCGCCCACCCAGGTTTTTGGGGTTGGTGGCTATACACAAAGTACTCAGGGCTTACCCATGGCTTTGCACTCCTAACAGTGCTTGGGGAGAACATACTCAATGCTAGGAATCAAACTAGGGTCAGCCATCTGCAAAGCAACCACTTTAACCCCTGTACTATCTCTATGGCCACAAACCTTGTTTTCACTTTTTAATAGCAAAAATATCTAAATCATTCAATCAAATATTTATACAACTATTTCTAACACCAGACATACAAGGCAAGTGTCTTAACCTTTTTAATATCTCCCAGTTCCCAAATAGGAACTTTCTACCAAAGAATAAAGACTTATTATAAGAAAAAGTGAATGGGGAGGATGGAAAGAGTATAGCAGGTAAGGTGCCTTATATGTAACTGACCCACGTTCACTCTTCAGCACCAAATATGATCATCCAAGCCACACCTGAGAAAGACCCAGGAGTAAGCTCTGAGCACCACTGGATGTGACCCAAAACACAAATTTAAAAATTTATAATTAAAAAACAAATTTAAGAGACCAACATAAAAGTACAGCAGGTAAGGGATTATCTTTCACTCAGTAGACCCAGGTTCATCCTGGGCACTCCATATGGTACCTCAAAGCACTCTGAGAAGTGATCCCTTAGTACAGACCCAGGTGTAAGCACTGAAAATTCACAGTGTAACCCAAAACACCAAAGCACAAAAAAAAAAAAAGAATTTTTTTTTACTTTATTTATTGATTTAATTATTTTTGCTTTTTGGGTCACACCCAGCGATGCTCAGGGGTCACTCCTGGCTCTGCACTCAGGAATTACTCCTGGCAATGCTTGGGGGACCATATGGGATGCCGGGGATCGAACCCTGGTTGGCCGCTTGCAAGGCAAACACGCCCGAACCGCTGCGCTATCGCCCCAGCCCCTGAATTATTTTTAAAAACAAGAGAAAGTGAATTATCAAACTCACAACATCACGACTGAAAACAGGACGAGGGGGCAGAGAGAAAGGGCAATAGACTGAGTATATTCTTTGCATGCAAGAGGTCCAGGTTCAATCCTTAGCACCATACAATTTCCTGGGCACTGTGGGAACAACCCTGAGCAATGAACCAAGAGTAGCCCCCAGTATCACAGGATATAGCTCCAAAACTAAAAACAAGGGAAAGGAGGTAAGAAAACAATTTTTAATGTATTAATTTATCCATCGGTTTAAGGCAGACGCTGATTCTATACTCTGAATAATATACAAAGATCATAACTTTATTTTTGTCTTGGGGCCACACTCAGCAGTACTCAGGGTTTACTCCTGGCTCTGAGCTGAGGGCTCAAAACCAGTGGTGCACAGTGGACCATAGGTGGTGCTAGGGATAGTATCCAGGTTGGCAATGTGTAGGGTAAGCACCCTACCTACTATTATACTATCTCTTTAGCCCAGGTCATGCACTTTTTTTTAAAGATAAACCTCTAATCCATAAAGAAGCCCAATTACTGTCAACACTAACAGGAACAGGAGCATCCCCGAAAATTCTGGAGCCAAAGTCTATCTTTGGTGTTAAAAAAAAAATTCTGCACTTGGCACCAACTATTTCAGGTTTACTCACGTAGAAAGACTCTCTTGAACAATGGACCGTTGGCCAGAAAGCTGGAGAAGGTGCAGAGTAGTGGCTGGAGTGGAAGCCAGAGAACACACGTCTTCTTCCTTTGAAGGTGTAGCACAATCTTCAGAAGCTACTGAAAAATAAGAAAAGAAATTTCAGACACATTTTTATTTAGTAGAAAGTTCCTTCACCATAATTCATGGAATGCCATGCTAACATAGCTCTCAAGTAATCATAAAATAGACTCACTTTACTAAAAATTACAGATTTACTTAAGAATTAAAAAAATGGTCAAAGTGACATCTGCACTTGTTTGTTCATTGCAGCACTCTTTACAATAGCCAGAATCTGGAAAAAACCTGAGTGCCCAAGAACAGATGACTGGTTAAAGAAACTTCCGTACATTTACACAACGGAGTACTATGTAGCTGTTAGAAAAGATGAAGTCATGAAATTTACATATAAGTGGTACTACATGGAAAGTATCATGTTAAGCAAAATAAGTCAGAAAGAGAGGGATAGACATACAAAGGTTGCATTCATCTGGGGAACATAAAGTAACAAAATAGGAGACTAACACCCAAGAGTGGCCGAGATTAGTACCAGGAATTTTGCTCCATGACTTGGAGGCCAGCTGCACATGCTAGGGGAAAAGGGAGCTCAGATAGAGAAGGGAGCACCAAATAAAGGGTGTTGGGAGGATCCTCCCAGGATGGGAGAAGCATGCTGAAAGTAGACGATAGACCAAACATGATTGCCACTCAATGCCTCTTTTGCAAACCACAACACCCAAAAGGAGAGAGGGAACAAAAGGGAATGCCCTGCCACAGAGGCAGGGTGGGATGCGGGAGGATTGGAGGTGGGACCTATAGTGGTAGAAAATGGGCACTGGTGGAGGGATGGGTACTTGATCATTGTATAACTGAATCCCAAGCACAAAAATTTGTAAGTCTACAACTGTACCTCATGGTTTCACTAATAAAAATTAAAAAAAAAAAAAGAATTAACAAAATGAAGGGTAAGAAAGATAGTCCAGTGGGAAAGCACTTGCCTTACACACAGCTGTACAGGTTCAATCCCTGGAACCTCATGTAGTCCCCTGAGCCTGCCAGGAGTGATTCCTGAGTGCAGAGCCAGGAGTAACCCCTGAGGAACACCAGGTATGCCCCCCTCCAAAAAAAAAAAAGAACAAGAACTCTTTCATTTTTTTCTCATGTTCACATAATCAAAGCTTGAAGAAATAAAGTCAAAATACTTATACCCCTGCTTAGTCTTTCTTTGTGTTTCTGAAGCTTCTATTATAGAGCAGAAAGTAAATGAATCTTTTAATCCCAAAATCTAAGATGAAGCAAAGCTCATGCCATGACATAGATGGGAAAAAAAATCACAGAAATGCATATGACATCTGAAAATACAAATGCAGCGATTTTTATTATTAGAATCTGGGCCTCCTCAAAAAGAGAATAAAAATACTAATGCTTTAGTAAAAGAGTATCTGAGCATATATTATGGATTTGTAATATGAAGAGGCTATTATTCCCGTCTCTGTAGTAACAGATGTATCAACTGTATTAACCCCAAATATTAAGGATTTTCATAAAAAATTACAGATTTAGGGGCTGGAAATATAGCACAGCAGGTAGGGTGTTTGCCTTGCACGCAGCTCACCCGGGTTTGATTCCCAGCATCCCATACGGTCCCCTGAGCACCGCCAGGAGTAATTCCCTGTGCATTGCCAGGTGTGGCCATAAAAAGCAAAAAAACAAAAAAAACTACAGATTTAGTGAGACCAAAGGATTCTTGGCAAACCTTCTGTGAATGTCTTGCACATCAACCTACATCACTGCATAGTAAACAGAATAACCTTTTCCTCTCTTTTCACAAACAACACATTCTATCTTGCTATTTTAGAAGCTTCTAATTTTGCAGCAAGCGAGGACAAGAAAATAACAAAATGTGGAACAAATACCATTCTAGTTTTCTAATTTTTATATTCTATTAGACAACTTCCTATTGTGGTAGATAAAATTACATGTATGTGTGTGCATACACACACATACACACACACACACACAAAATAGCCCAGGTGAATATGAAAAGCTTATTTATCATGTTAAGATTTTAAGACCTGAGTTAGAAAGATAGTACAGGAAGTAAGGCATTTCCCTTGCATGAAGACAATGCCAGTTTGATCCCCAGTACCATACTGCTGAGCCAGTGATCACTCTTGAGCAGAACCAGAAAGAGTCCCTGAGTCCCAACACAAAATAAAATCAGTAAGATTTAAAGACCGATAGTGATAGAAATACCTTCTGTCCATAAATAATAAACCTACTACAAACACTTATTATTCCTCAATTTTTTTATTCCCAAAAGAGAGAACATAAAATACTAAACAGCAATAGTTCCCTCAAACTCCATTTCTAATCAGCTAGAAATACATTTTCCTTCCAAATCACCAACTGTGCATGTCTTGATACTGTATTTATTTATTTTTGTTTTTGTTTGGGGGATGCACCCTGTGGTACTCAGGGCTTGTTCCTGGCTCAGTGTTCAAGGAATCACTGGCAGAGTTTTGAGGAAACATATGGGGTGCCAGGGATCAAGCCCAACTCAGCTGGGTAAAATGTAAGCATCCTACTGGCTGTACTTCATCTCTCCAACTCCCTATTTTTTATTTTTTAAGTAGTCTTCTTTACTCATGCCCTGAAGAACTGCCATTTTCTTTAGCACTGTTTGGTTTGGGGGTCATAAGCAGTGGTGCTCAGGGTTTACTAATTTTGTGCTCAGGCAATCACTCCTGGCAGTGCTCAGGAGACAATATGCAGTGCCAAGGATCAAATAAGGATTAGCCACAGGCAAGGAAAGCACTTAACTCCTGTTAGTATGATCTCTCTGTCCCACTTTATATACTTTTTAAAAGTGCCTTTTAGATACCAAAGCAATAGTACAGAGAGTAGGGCGTTTTTCCTTGCATACGGTTGACCCAGATTAGATTGTCCGCATCCCATATGGTCCCCTGAGCATCATCAGGAGTAATTCCTGAGTGCAGAGCCAAGGAGTAAGCCCTGAGCATCATCAGGTATGGCCCAAAAACAAAATCAAACAAAAATAGTAATTATAATATAAATTCCTAAATAAAGTGCCTTCTAACTTTAATAGTAATCTCAAATCAGAAATAAAGGTCAAAGAGACAGTATAGAAATAAGGCACTTGTCTTGTATGTGGTCACCCTATTTTGATCCGTGGCACCATATATGGTTTCCCAAGCACTTCCAAGAATGACCCCTGAACAAAGAACCAGGAGTAGACCCTGAGCCCACTGTGCATGTCCCAAACTGCCTCTACTCCCCTCAAAAAAGAACAGAATAGTCCAGGTCTTTAAAGAAGAATTGTAGCAAATAACCATTCTTTGTACCTGTTTTACTACTCTGGTCAAACAAGTCTTCCTGAGTAGACAAAACCCCAGGCTCTGGTGACTTCTGAATCTGCAGTCCACTTTCCAGAAGTTCTTGAGCAGATAGCTGTTCTTTCACTTCCACAGCAAGAGATACTTTGGGACTAGTAGGTATATCCTCTGACCTAGGAAATTTATATAAGCAGGAAAGAAAAGCTGTTAAGTTCAAATATTTGCACTTTGGAGGGCAGGGGGACTCTTAAGTAGTATTCAGGGTGCTCAAGAGCCACTCCCAGTGATAGATGGTCTGACTGAAAGGATTAGACAATTTAATATCAGAGGTCCCTTCAATCCCCTTTACCTAAAGTCAACAGTCGCTGTTAAACTGAGTATCTTGCCCTATAAAGATCAACTAACAGTCAACTTTGTTCAGGATGCCATTCCCCACTGTTCCTATTAAAGGAAGTAATACAACAATATTGTATGTTTATTCATTACCTCTGCCAAATTAAAAGCATCCACTTTTCCTCTGTGACAACCACACTTGAACTACTGAACAAAATGATGTTTTGTGGGATACAATAATCACCATATGCAAAGCTGAGGTAAACTGCCAATTCATGCCAAGTTAAGAACCAAAAACACTTAGAAAAAGGAGTATCTGTCTGTGAATCTCAGAAATAAAGCTCTCAGAAGAGAGCAACATAGAAAAACATGCTGCAGAAATGCCTCTAGAACCCACGCCAGGCTGTCTCATCTGAGGCAACCCAGAGTGGGGCAGGTGAGTTCCCCTCCCCACCCCAACAGAGCCCCAGCAGTCAAACACACCCAGAACTCAATCACTGCCATGCTCAAGGTTGGTCTCCACAGGCTTGGACAAGCCTAACCCATGAGTGAATCTGCTGTATAGCCATATTTTTAATTTTAGAATTCCCAGAGTGTGTGGCCACAACATCTCATACTTTACACCAATGATGTACCAAGAATAGCATATCACATTTGACAGAGTTTAAAGTAGAAAGCAATCAATCTTGGGGCTGGAGCAATAGTACAGCGGGTAGGCCAACGTGGGTTCGATTCCCAGCATCCCATATGATACCTTGAGCACCGCCAGGAGTAATTCTTGAGTACAGAGCCAGGAATAACCCCTGTGCATCGCCGGGTGTGACCCAAAAAGAAAAAAAAAAAAAAAAAAAAAAAAAAGCAAACCAATCTCAGGAGGAAAATATAAATATATATATGTGCACACAAAGTTCAACCTTTAACAGCATGTGAGTAATCTCTTATACAAGGGCTTAATGGCTCCAGGGTGAAATACAATAATCTTCAGACACTTTCCTCTAAGGAAACTTTATTTGGTCATTTTTGGCAGATTACTCATAACAAGCAATACAAGATAAATTATTTTGGTTCTGATTTGGTGACAGGGTTTGGGGTTGGGGATGGAAACATTCAAAATCAGGTGATGGGAAGGTGTAATGGTGGTGGGATCAGTGTTCTAATATTAAATGTAATAAATTATTGTGAGCAACTTTATAATAATTAAAAAAAAAAGAATACCTGCCTGCTACCTATATCATAAACTACCAGATGCAAGATATTTGAAGACCCGGGGCTGGAGAAACAGCACAGCAGGTAGGGCGTTTGCCTTGCACGCAGCCAACCCAGGTTCGATTCCCAGCATCCCGTATGGTCCCCTGAGCACCGCCAGGAGTAACTCCTGAGTGCAGAGCCAGGAGTAACCCCTGTGCATGGCCAGGTGTGACCCAGAAAGCAAAAAAAAAAAAAAAAGATATTTGAAGACCCAAGACAATCTGGGTGCACATCAAGTACACAAATGGTAGACTTTCAAATATAATTCTTGTGATTCTTCATCAGAAAGGCTAGGAAGTCCTCTCACAAAGAAACAGCCCCTCTAAGGCCTAGGAGAAAAGCTCAAATGCATCCAGTGCATGCTTTGTGTGCTAAAGCACCAGATTCTATCCTGGCACTGCATGGTTCCCCAAACACTGGCAGGAGTGACTCCTAAGTACCTTGCCAGGAGGTTAGCTTCCTAGCACTGCCAGGTATGGCTCAACAACAAACAAAAACAAATACTTCTGTGGGCAAAGATCAGAAGGAAAGAGTGGTAACCAAAACTTAATGAACTATGCATGACCTATTAATGACAGTAGCAGTAAAATGACTTGCCTAAAGATAAGGACACAATGAGATATCTTTTTTTGGGGGGGGTGGGGGGCCCGGGGAGGAGGGATGTGCTAAGGGCTTACTCCTGGCTCTAGGTTTAGGAATCACTCCTGGCAGCCTCCAGGGACCATATGGGCTACTGGATATCAAACCTGGGTCAGCCACATGTGCAAGGCAAACACCTTCCACTGTACTATCTTTATCTTTCCTGTCCCTATAATGAGAAATCATAGCACAGTAGCACTGTCATCCCATTGTTCATCAATTTTGCTCAAGCAGGCACCAGTAACGTCTCCATTCATCCCTGTCGTGTGCTAGTGTAGCCCAATGGCATCTGCTCGCTCCAGGAACACAAAGTGAGACTTGTTGTTACTGTTTTTAGCATATCGAATATGCCACAGGTAGCATGCCAGGCTCTGTTGTGCAGGCGGGATACTCCCGGTAGCTTGCCGGGTTCTCTGAGAGGGAGGGATGAATCAAACCTGGGTCAGCCGTGTGCAAGGCAAACAACCTACCCACTGTGCTATTGCTCCAGCCCCAATGAGAAATCATAATCAATATTTCTACTGTATCAGAAATATCCAATACGAGGGAAAAGTGAACAATTTCTAAAATTATGTACACCTGCAAAGTGAAATTAGTATAATCCTGTTGTAGGAAATCATAAACAGGCTCTAGAAAGAATTCAGGGCCAGAGAAATAATACTACAAATAGGTCACTTGCCTTGCACACAGTCAATATGGATTTAATCCCCATCAATACATATGGTCCCCCAAGCCAGGAGTGATTCCTAAATCCAGGGTGAGGATTAAAGTCTAAGCACAGCCAGGTAGGGGAAATAGAGGAAGGAAGGGAGGGAGGGAGGGAGGGAGGGAGGGAAGGAGGGAGGGAAGGAGGGAGGAAGGTGGAGAAGAGAGAGAAAGAGAGTAACAGTGAGTGAGTTTACCTTGCAGGTAGGAGATTTTGCTCTTCTGCCAGATTTACATCCTTACTGGGATGTGCTACCAAAGGAATATCCTTGTTGAGTTGTTCTACCATGGGGATAGCTTCATTAGACGGCTCTTCAAGCTTCATTGCTTAATGTTTTAAAAGGAAAGAAGAATTTTTAATAGAAATTTAGGATATCTAATGGAAATAATTTTGATAGCCAATTTGAAAATATGTAGCTATCATTCCAAAAATGGAAAATAACCATTTGCAAAAGAATCTCAATTGCCAGGCCACCCTATATGAGTTCCACCATAAGTGATCCCTGAGCACAGAGCCAGTAATCTCTAAGCATAGCTGATGTGGCCCAAAAACCGATTTTTAAAAATCCCAATTCAGAAGACATCAATTGTTAAGTATTTGCAAGATGATTCTGACATATTATTATCTTAACTTCCATCATATTAACTTAGATATCTATAAAATATATCAAGGAAATAAATCACTTTAATATGGAAAGAAAATGCTTAAAAACAAGTCCAGAAAACATATTTCATACCAGTATTAGTATCCATATCAGATAGCCCAGTACAGACAGAGTTGGTGGTTGCTAACTGTACGTGTTCTTTTTCTATTTCGTATGGCACAGTATTTTCTTCAACATCCTGGCTCTGGGAAAGTTCCAACACACCAAAGCCCAACTGTGATGAAGCAGGATCTAGGAATAAAATCCCATGAAATCAAAGAGTCAATTAATATAAACCATGCAAACTACTGCCCTTTAGAAAGAGAGCATCATAGTCAATCATTCACAGTAAAATTTTTCTTACAGCCCCAAATTTTTAAAATCAGGAGGCTGGGTTCAATCCCCAGCACTGCATGGTCTCCTCAGCACTTCCAGTAGTGCTGAGCACTACCAGGTGTGGTCCAAAAAACAATGAAAGTAATTAAACTATTGAGGTAAAAGTGGAAAATGTGCAATGCTGAAAATAACTATATACTAAAAACCTTACCTAATATTGGTAGACTGTGTACTTCCTGAAAATATATATACAAATCATATACAAAGCAATTCAGATTGTACTTCTGCCTCATGAAACATGTATCCCAAAATAATTTTAAAAACTAATATGAAAAGGAGTAAGAGTTACTATACAGAAAGAGGAGTAAAAGTTATTATGTAGAATCAAAAGATCTACAGACCATCAAATTAGGTGGAATACCTTAATTTTTCAAGCAAGTCTCTTAATGATAAGTCGCAATTTTATCAGTGTTAAAAAGAAATTTAGCTATCTACATGCTTGTATTAAAAGAGACTTAACAATCTATTGGGAAAGGCAAATGGCTACCTTCAGCACCAAGGGAATGTGTCATCTCATCTAGATTATCTTCTTCCTTTTCATCTTTCTCTTTTTCTGTCTCTTCTTCCTTTTCTTCCACCACAGGAACAGAGTCCACTGACATTCCCAGAACACTGCACAATAGAAACACACAATCATGTATACCCAAATAGGTTGACACACTTGACTAAAACCATAATAAATTTTATTTTGACTTCCCTCTTACCACTTCCTAAGGAAATTTTAAATCAAAGAAATGTACCTACTTATTAGGGTGCTTGACTTGAATGCGCTGACAAGGTTTGATCCCCGCATCCCATATGGAGCCTGAGCACTGCCAGGAGTAATACATGAGTTCATAGCCAGGAGTAACTCCTGAGCATTGCCAGGTGTGGCCGCAAAGCAAAACAAAAAGCAAACAAACATACTAAAAAAAACCCTTTGGGTAAAATAAGCAGTACAGTGGGTAGTGCACTTGTCTTGCACATGGTAAACCCAGCTTGATCCCCCGCTCCCATGTGATACCCTGAGCACTGCCAGGATTAAGCCCTGAGCACCACCGGATGTAGCCCCAAAACAAAAACAAGAACCTTACCTAGTTAGCTCTTCTTTCTACATAAAGAGAACACCTAATAGACTAACAACTACAGCACCTGAGGAGACAGTACAACAGGGAGAGAACTTGTCTTGCATGTGGTCAACCTGGGTTCAATTCCCAGCACCCTGTATGGTCCTCCAAGCCCTGCAAGGAGTGATTCCTGATCACAGAGCCAAGAGAAAGCCCTGAGCTCTGTCAGGTGTGGCTCCAAAACAAAAAAGAAAACAGAACAACAACAACAAAAAAAAAAAACACTGTGAAGAATTTAAAAAACACAATATTAAACAGAAAACCTACTGGGCACTTTGGTGGCAGTGGGGTACAGTAATTTTGTACATCAGTACCATAAATTAGCACTACTGTAATCACGTTACCTAAGTCTAATTTATGGCCCATGTTCAATCCCCAGCATCCCATATGGTCACCCACACATCACCAGGAGTAAACTCAGTGGCACAGTGCCAGGAGTAAGCGATGAGTATATCACCAAATGTGGCCCCAAAACTAAAAATAAATTAGTTAATTAACCATCATTTTAAAATTAAATGAAAAACATATATTAAGGTGCTTGCCATCCACAAATCTGACCCTGGTCTGATCCCCAGCATCACTCAATGTCTCCCAATACCACCATGAATGGCCCCTGAGCAGAGAGACATGAGCAAGACCTGAGTACTATTAGGTATGGCCCAAAATACTCCAAAAAGTAATAAATGTTTTTTTAAAAACCAAATGCTTTTAAAAAAAATGTAATCTTAGACTGAACTGATCCTGTGTCATACATATACTAAATATAAACAAAACTGTTTTGAGCACCAGAGAGATACTACCTGCTGATACTACCTAAGCTGCACGGTCAGCTTGGGTTTGACACCCATCACCCCATATGGTGCTTCAAGCCAGGCCAGGAGTGAGCCTGAGCATAGAGTCAGAAATAAGCATTACTGGGTGTTGTCCCCCATTCAAAAAAAAATCTGAATATAAACTCTATTATTAGACAGTATATGTATTTTCAAGGTGTAATAATGGTATTATAGTTATAGTATAATACATTATTATTTTAGGGGATGATTTCTGATATAATTAAAGGGAAATAGAATGTCTCTAACTAAGTTTCAAATACTCCAGCTCTCAAAAATATTATACACAATTATATATGCATGAAAGATACTTGTGTATGAATAACATCTGTAAGCATACAGAGAAACAAATACGTACTATTCATTTCTTCTGTATATTTAAAGTTTTTTTATTGAAGGGGTGGGGGGCTTGGGGCCACCCTAGTGGTGCTCAGGGTTAATACCCTGTTCTACATGCAAAAGCATATGCTCCAACCTTTTTTTTTTCCCCTTTGGTTTTTGAGTCCCACACAGTGGTACTCAGGGATCACTTCTGTGCTCAGGGGACCATATGTGGTGCCACAGACCAAATTGGGGTCTGCCTCGTGCAAAGCAGTGCCTTAACTCCTGTACTATCTCTCTGACCCTGCTCCATTCTTTAGAGATATTTCTCTGTCCCTGTCAGTTTAAACTTTTTTTTTTAATTACTCTCAGCAAAGTTACTGAGCGTTTCAGCAAGCACACAACTTTTCTTTCTTTTCTTGGTATTTTTGGGTCATCTCTCAGTGCTACTTAGGGGATATGCAGTGCCAGGGATCAAACCTGGGTTTCCAACATGCAAAACATGTATTCTAGTCCTTTAAGGCATCTCCCTGGCTCTAACAAACATACAAACTTTCACTTTCCACATGCCAACTATAAAAATCAAAAGCATAAAAATATTAAAATTAAAAGAGAGAAAATGTATCAAAGTGTTTATAGCAATTAACTCTGGGTGACAGAATAGGCGACTTTTGCTTTCTTGTAACTTCTATATAATGTATTTCACAAACAACATTAAGCAATACTTGATTAAGCATAAAAGAGGAGAAAACACAAAATTGAAATTTTCAGGACTATGGCCCAAGGAAGAGATACAGGATTAGAAATTTTCACTCATTGGGGCTGTACAGACAATAGAAGGGGAGGGCACTGGCCCTGTATGTGGCCAACCTAGGTTTGAGCCACAGAACCCTATACAAGGCCTATACAAGGCCTATACAAGGCCAAAAGTGATTGTGAGCGTAAGTCAGGAGTAAGCCCAAGCGCTATAGGAGATGGCTCAAAGACAAAAAAAAAAAAACCTCTTTTTACTAAAACAGAAGCATCATTTATATAATTAGAAGAACCATATGCATGAAATTGGAAAATATGGCAAAAAAAAAGAACAAGAGCAAAATGACAAAAAAAATAGAAGAGTAAATGACAGACATTACAAAGCATACATGTCAAAGCATTCTCTTTCGGTGGTCTACCTTCATGTTTTGCCTAACCTAAATGCTGGTGGATAAATGTGTTCTCAAACCTCTTCCTCAGCTCTGCTCATCTCCCTATAGTCATCTTATCCAGACTCTTGACTTTTCATATGCTGACTATTGTGTAATTTAAATCTCTATCTTAGATCCCCCTACATTACACAATTGTACACAGTTAGCTCAATATTCTTTAACTTTTATGAGAAATAAAATCTACATAATTTTCAAACTATTCTTTTTTTTCCTCCTACTTGGGGATTTGAGAGGGAGTAGGTGTTGGGCCACATGTAACTTGTGCTCAGGAGGCTATTGTTGGCTCTGTGCTCACAAATGACTTCTGGCAGTGCTCAAGGGACAACATGTGGTGGCAGGAATTCAAACACGGGTTGGTGGGATGCAAGGCAAGTGCCTTAATGCCTGTACCATTTCTCCAACCCTTCAATCTATACATAATCTGGCAGTAATAATAATTCTGTGAAAGTTTAAACCAGAATGCTATTCTTCTGTTCAAATCTTTTAAAGCCTTCCTATCTCATTAAAAGTAGCAGCACAAACTCATGCCAAAGTACAGAACTTTACATATGGCACCCTCATTTCTGACTTTTCACCCATTCCTCTCAACTCTCTACTCCAACATTAAACTCCTATTTCTCAAATATTCCACTCTAGAGCCTTAGGGCAGTGTTTCTAAACCTTTTTTCGTCAGCCTTGGAGCCATGGGCCACTTTCAACATTATTTCCTTCCCATGGCGTTCCACCTTATTCACCGGCTTCCTGGTCTAGTGCGGAGGCCCCCAGCTATTCAACTGTCATTTGTAGCCTTCTTAAAATATCCCACAGGAGCAGTATGTCCTCCAGTTGAGAAATGCTGCCTTAGAACCTTTTTATTCTTTAGTTATGGATTATCTCAGATAATAGTAGTAATCACTTACTAAAATTTCTTTTCACATACCAAAATCAAGGGGCCAGAGAGATAGTAAAGCTGCTAAGGTGCTTGCCTTGCACACAGCTGACATAGTTTTGATCCCCAGCATCCCATATGGTCCCGAAAGCCCTGCCAGGAATTATCCCTAAGGGTAGAGTCAGGAGTAAGCTCTGAGCACAGCTGGTTGTGGCCCAAAAACCAAAACAAACCCTCCAAAATTCTAAATGAAATCTTTATATATAGTGAAGCATTCACTACATATTACCTAAACTTGCAACTCCTCTGACATTTCCTACTCACTCCCTATTCATATTTCTCTTCAGTCTTTGTCAGTGTCTACCATACCACATATTTACTTATCATGTACTGCTATATCCACACAATATAAGCCACATTAAGGTTGAGGATTTTTATCCCTTTTGATCATTTGTATCCCCAAAACTCAACAGTTTTCAGCATGCAGGAAGTAATACCTATAGAAAGATTACATTAGTCAAGAGGCTTGAAATGAATCAGATTATAAACTAAACTGTACTTATGATAAACTTTTCTTTACTGTCTAGAACTGATGGAAGAACACGAAAATTAAAGATGTTATTTAGATTACACAATACGCAATAAAATAATTATCAAAAATTGGAAGTGTTGACATGAGTTAAATACTCGTCTTTTATTATGAAACTGAATTGTCTTGATCAAAAATTAAATTGATGCTTCTCCCTCCTCCTCCTTCCATTACTACTATCTGCAGCCCCGAGGAACTGCCATTTGCTGCCAGTGACACACACAGTCAGAGCCCAAAGAAAGCAGAGTCCTGCCCCACAGAGGCACACACTCGGTGCCCAAGCAGGCAGTGCATGCAGCACCAATTCCTCAATGAAAAACAATAGAAGAGGGACCAGAGTGCTAGTACAGCAGGTAGGGCGTTTGCCTTGCACATGGCCTACCCGGGTTTGATCCCTGGTATCCCATATGGTCCCCCAAGCAAGCACTGTCTGGAGCAATTCCTGAGTACAAAACCAGGAGTAATCTCTGAACATCACTGGGTGTGACCCAAAAAGCAAAATGAAAAAGAAAAGATAAAAGAAAACAAGAGTTCTGGTCAAGATGGCAGAGGTAGGGGCCAGAGCAATAGCACAACAGGTAGGGCATTTATCTTGCACACAGTTGACTCAAGGTCTATCCGAGAGAGAGAGAGAGAGAGAGAGAGAGAGAGAGAGAGAGAGAGAGAGAGAGATGGCAGAGGTGCAGCAGCAAG